CGGTATTGACAGCAGAGTAGACGCTATGCGTGTTTGAGGCCAATCATGTCTCCGGTTAGGGTCCCGTGACAACTTTCTCGAAGCTGGTGATAACGCTGGACACGGCACCTGCCTTAAGCCCAATGCCACACATAGCATCCACTGCACTATCAACCTTGGCTCGAACTGTCAACAGGATATAAGTGACACATTCTCTCGCTCTGGTCGTTGTTGGTATGCCCCTGAAGATTAGTCTTTGTGATCGCGCCCCCATTCTGGCCTTGAAGGAGCTCTGCTTTTCAATTTTTCTCTTTTCTCTCTCTCCCTAAGCTAAAAGCATTGTAGAAGGTGCGGACTCGGCGGACCAATCAACCGTAGACTTTCTATCGCTTCACTCCGCTCTCTGTGCGCATGTAACGGAAGGAGCGTGATCACGTGGTTTGACGGATGACGTAATAGCCGCTACCGATCCCGGAATGAGGCTGCTTGCGGACCTAGTTTCGCGTGTCGTGCGGCCCGCGGGGCTGCTGTGGATTTCGCTTCTATGGTAAAAGGTATCCCGATCGAAAAGTCCTACCCGTATGTCGGCAACGAGCGATTTCTTCAAAGAAGCCCAAGACATTCTTGTGATGCGTTCAGTGTTCGGTTCAGCAAATGACAGCTTGTGCTACATCGTGGTGAATCTTCACGGATCCCTTTCTTCTCGGTTTTGTGTTTGAGTGGTTGGTCTGCAGTGCCCGTGTCGACGTATATTTCGGATCACATCTTTCAAGTCCGGTATTTTGAACGTAAGTCCGCTGCAACCTATTCGGCGACAATTGACCGCTCTGTAGTGTCTATCTCCTGGCAGTGCCTACCTTCTGACAGCTGGGAGAATAATTTCCTCGTAATTCTACCCCAGTCGCCTGCTATTAGCTCTCTGAAATCATGTGAAAATTGTAGTTAGAATACTGACACTCTTATTCTCTCTGCGTTTTGTGAAAAGACGTTTCATGGACACCTTTTCGTGGATAGACGCTTCATGGACACACGTTTAGTCGGCACTCGTTACGCGAATTGCACGCTGCAGGGACATTTCGTCGCGCCTGTATTCCTGAGGCGCGTGCTTACCGACTTAGCCCACCCGTTCACGCCACTTCTTGGCAAATCATTACAAAAAAACAAAAAAAAAAACATATTTTGGGTTGTTTATAAACGTCACGTGTTGATGAAACGATCTCGATGAAACGTCTTTTGATAAACTGATTGCAGCGCCAATGAGTGGCGACTGGCATTAGAATTTCGGGGGGAAGGAGGGGGGGGGGGAATTCGGCCGGCTGCCGGGGGACTATACACTACCCAGGAATTGCCTTTGGTTCTTGTTTGCTTTACAATATTCTCAGTTGTATAACAGCTCAGTAGTACCTCTTCACATAGTAGAGATTGCTTAGTGTGTGCTTGTCTACAGAATGGGCTGTGTGTAATAAACTTCTAGGAGATTTGAAAACAATACCTTGTGTCTGTTTACCTGTGCTTTTGCAAACACCTGAGTGAGTGCATTTGTTTTTTGTTGTTGTTTTGTTTAAATGTTCGCTCTTTGTTTTAAATGGGGCTATGAAGTTCGGCACGCCTCACAAGGTTTTTTTTTTTTAAAGATGTCCAGTGACAACAAATAATTTGTTTCACATTTCATACGATTGTGGTAAAAAGAAAAACTACAGGCAGCTACGGAACGATGGTAAAGAGACTCATAAGACGAGCTACAGAATGAGCTATAGCGGACCATGCAAAGAGCCATAGGCGGCTAAAGAAACCATAGAAAAAGCCATTAGCAGCTATAGCACGGTGTCTAAAGAAAGCCATAAAGTAAGCCATAGAGATCTCTATAGCAGACCATACAAAAAGCTATAGGCGGCTAAAGGAACCATAGGAAATGCCATAGGCGGCCGTAGCACGATGGGTAGAGAACCATAGGACAAACTATAGAATGAGGTATAGCGAACCATACAAGCAGCAATAGGCGGCTAAAGAAACCACAGGAAAAACCATAGGCGGCTATAGCACGGTGTCTAAAGAGACCCATAAAGTAAGCCATAGAGGTCTCTATAGAAGACCATACAAGAAGCTATAGACGGTCAAAGGAACCAAAAGAAAGGTCATAGGCGGCTATAGCATCCTTTCTAAAGAGACCCATAGATTAAACCATACGAAATTCGATAGCCAAATTTCCATTGAAAAGGCTATAGACAACCATAGCGCAGACCATAAGAAAAGCTATAGACAGCCATAGAAGCGGCTATAGCTAATTGGGCCAATTTTCTATAGCCGGCCATACAAAGGATTTTCTATAGCCGACCATAGACCATTTTTGTATGGGGATGCGGGGGCGGGGACGGACTCGGATTTTTTTAGAATGGCAGCTAAGTGGGTTTACGACTACGTTACTTTGCACAGTGTTTGGTGGCGGCCTGCAGCTCCTGGGCAGTTCCCTTGCGGTATTGGTTGGATGACCACGGCCATCAATCCAAATACAAAACGAGAAGAAAAAAAAAAAGTACTTCGCAGCCGGCAGGATTCGAACCTGCGCGGGAATTTCCCAATGGATTTCGAGTCCATCGCCTTAACCACTCGGCCACGACTGCTTGCTTTTTCTGTTGCGAGACGCTTTATTACATATGCAGTATTGTATACATGGTTAGGGACTAACATACCAAAGATTGATCGCGACTAATTTTAGGTAAAAACGGCTTCTGAACAATAATCGAGCCGTTCCCGACTTCTTGCTGGTGAACTTGACCGACGATGCATCTTGTTGGCTAATCTTCTTTTCGGGAAACGATGCCCGTGTGAACGCGACCGAAAAGGTGGCGCGCCTCGCTTCGGGAGTGAGATCTACCGAGGCCTGCCTAGCACCCGAAGGAGAAACGCTGATGCTGCCGATGGCCGCTCGACATCGCTATGACGCCCTAATTTCGAGGCGCAGAGAGAGCTTTTGGACTTGCAGAAATAAGGGTTGTGGCGCAGGCTAGCTGGTGAACGTTCACACTTGAAGAAACCCCGAGACAAGGAAAAAGGAGGGGACAAACACAACAAAATCTCTGAGACTTCGTTGTGTTTGTCCCTTCCTTCTCCCTTGTGTCGTGTTTTTTTTTTTTTTTTTTTTCCTTATAAGTATGAAGTTTTGGAAGAGCCTGATTCTTGACCTATTCTGTAACTGAGTCAAAGTGGCCAAAGCCGAGGACAGAAAACCAACATGGCGGCGAGCGACAGGCGGAGAAGTGGCCGACACGGGCTGGTGCAGTTGGTGGCGTGGTGCAGATTTCTCTAGTCGCGACGACTGCAAGCACTGCAGATAAATATCGGTATAACTAAGGTGTGTACTTTCCGGTGTTTCGTCCTACAGGAAGAGGGAGAGGGGAAAAGATATAGGTAGAAAAGGTTAAAAAAAAACACACATAAAAAAACTGTACATTGGCCCTTAGGCAGGGCCATAGCGCAGGGCGCATAAAAGAGTCAGGGCGGGTTCTCGATGTCGTGATTTGCGTTGATCAGGCTGTTAATTTTCAAAGACGAGAAGAGAGTCCTGCCTCGACGAAGGCAGGACTCTCTTCTCGTCTTGTCATCAAAAAAGGCATGACTGATCCGCTGGTATGACATATCTAATATACCTAAACATGCAATATAAAAGGTAATCCCTAGAGAAGTCAAATTAAAAAAAAATTACCTATCTAAATATAATTTCCAGGCACATAGAACAAAGCACTAAAAATGACCAACGTTAAAAAAAAAAAAAAAATTCTGAATTATCTTAACAGGACTGCTTCACAGTTCATCACAGTGTCACAAGTCAGCAAAGGCAAGGTTACCATATTCACAGAGGAACCAGTTCTGTTCTACCATAAAGGTGGGTTTACAATTTAAAACAAACCTCTACCACAATTTTGGTGTTGAGCACTGTTCAAGCTGCTCATGGTTGCAACAATAGTGTAATAATAACATTCTGCCATGTGAAGGGACAGAAAGTTATAATATATTCAGGCATGGAGCAGAAGTGTAGACAGGGGAAAAAATTGTCATATTTTGTATGTTTATACAGCCTTGATGTTGGTTTGCCTCAACGGGTGACCGGTCGCTTAGCTGTAGATGAGAATATTAGCTAGTGCAGTACAACCACTAACCTGAGGTTTTTAACGTGCAACACGCAGTAGTCGTTACACAAACACGTGCCGGTACGGTATGTTTATACAGCCTTGATGTTGGTACGCCTCAACATGTGACCGATCGCTTAGCTGTAGATGAGAAATTTAGCCAGTGCAGTACAACCGCTAACCTGAGGTTTATAACGTGCATCACGCAGTAGTGATTACACGAACACGTGCCGGTGCTAAACTTATCCATATCGAAACGGGTGGGGGCGGTGGGGATCGAACCCAAAGGTTCCTAGCGCAAGCTTTCGCTCCACGCTTCGAGCTGAGAGGCGTTAGCACCCTCGGCCACCGGTTCCCCATGGTAGATAGGGAAAGGGAGCGAGGCCAATAGGATTTAAACCCCCCCGCCATCCAAAAAAAATAAAAATACAACAAAACAAATTTTGGCTATGCCATTGGTCTGGAGGGTTGATTCATTGTATCCAAAGGGGGGTATCTAGTCTCTTCATGCTAACAACTCCTGCAGAATGTCACACCTCATTAAAGTATATGTTTTTTTGTTTCTTTTGTGGTAGTTAATGAGTCGCCTCTTGATTACATATCCATACTACTGGAAAAAAGGATTCAGGGAAAGCTTGTCCAGACTTGTTTTTCTTTTAAGATATATCATGCATAGAGCCCTCTTTCTGCGAAAGCCATGCTGCCATCATTAACGTTGTGGACAGCACAGTTACAGTGCGGGAACATTATAATAAGCAAACCAAATTACTTCTTCCTGTAACACCAGCACAGGTGTACCCAAAACATAGAACAACACAACAATTTATCTGTTTAAATTATGGCAACACCTGCACAATTAATGTTGCTTCTCGACTACAGCCAGCATGTCAGTAATTACATTCCACTTTTCGCCTTTTATTTCAGCAGAAATTCTCATGTACACACTCGACTAAGAGTTGCCCGTCGTCGCTCCCACGAAAGTAAGAACAACAATTTGCTTCTTTTTATCCGACAGACTCCCACGAGAAACGAATACGGGGCGTGGAACAGAGCTAATGTAACAGTACTTAAACACAAGACATTCTGTTCATGCAAACATATTGGGAAAAGAGAGGATAAATGTGGTCATCATTTTTACCCCCCTTCCATGCCTAATTGTAGAGCTCTCCCCAAGAATTTTAAGAAAAAGGAATGTATAGTCTATTTTTTCTCTCTGGTTTTGGAAGCTCGGGCATGAAGAAACAAGCCACGAGTGCTGAAATGAGTTCGGGGGTTATGTACAAACATAACAAAACAAAAAAAAAATCAAAAGCTTCCCAAGCAGCACTGATCAATAGTCGGTAGCAATTGCTCGGCGTTCGCCAGGGCAGTCCAACCGCAGCGAGTGCCAAGGACATACATTACGTATGAGCCCCTTCCAGCCCGGCTCGACTCAAACGTTGGCTCGCCCTAACGAATCTGAGAATAATACGGCGCTCTACGGGTCGGATTCTTGGGCACAGCCCTATCCACGGCCGGCGTGTTCCAGCACCTAGGACTTCTTGTACTCGATCCGTTCCACCTTCACTTCGTCGCCGATGAGCTGGTAAACGTAGGTGACCACGGTCGAAGACTGGATGTCCATCAGCACGAAGGAAGGAATGACGTTGCTCTCGAGCGCGTTGTAAGCGCCCGTCGCCGAGCCCGGGTTGATGTAGAACTTGTTCTCGCGCTCGTACGCCTCGAAGCGGTGCGTGTGGCCCGAGATTAGGATGTCCACGTCCAGCTGGCGCTGAATGAGCGCCAGGCTGTCCGGGTTGCCCCAGGGAACCACCTGATGCCCGTGGCAGAGGCCGATGCGGAACTGGCCCACGGTGACCACCTTCTGCTCCGGGTAGTTGAGGTTCTCGTCGAAGTCGCCGCGCACGATGTGCACGTCACTCGCCAGGGTCTTGAGGTAGTCGTAGGACTCTTTGGTGCACAGATTGCCCGTGCAGAGGATATGCTGGATGCGACCGGGCACCAACAGTTTCTTGAACTTGACCGGCAGGCTGTGGCAGCGGTGCGGGACGTGCAGATCGCCCAGAACCAGGACTAGCATGGCGTATCTGGTAAGGTCTGGTCCGTTGCCGTGCCTAACCCTTTGCCTACGGAGCTGGCGGTTTCCACAAAGCCACGGCGGTTTGTCCGATCACGAAGAAAACACCGCCTCCAAGATGCCAGATTACAACGACGTCGCCACTCTGCCCTGCCTCGCTGCAACACGCCTTGTTCGCAAAAAGACGCGCGTGACTTCCGGTCCGTTGTAGTGACGTCATATCAACATCCGGTAGAGTTTAAAGGGCAAATCGAACGCGTGCCATTTTTGTTCATTTTTCGTTTCGAGTTAGCTTTGCACGACGGCCGGGAGGTGGAGAAACCGATGAACTCGAGATTGGTCGTTTCTCCGGTTCTCCGCGTAAAGTCCCAGATTGTGCAGCGGTGTCCTTCTTTCTTTCGACGATGCCGCGTTTATCATGGAGATTATGGCCTGGGGTGGTCGATCTCCACCTTTAGCATGCGAGTCCCCTGCCTCTCGGAGGCACTGCACTGTGGCGTCTCTAATTGCGCTACGTGAGACGTCGAAGGCGACTTTGCTCTTGGTTTCGAGGAAGTTGCCTTGAGACGCCCGTATGCTCGTACTGCTGGATGTGCCGCGAAGTCTCAACAGGTGAGCGTATGCAGGTACTCGATAACACTGAAGGGCAGAGTATTGAATCTCGTACTTTTTGTCCGAGTACGCGCGAGTGCTTTCTAGTGTTTAAAAGTGCGCCGCTTCTCTGTCGAAGGTGGTGGAGGAAAACAAACAAACTACTACAATAAGAAAAAAAAAAAAAAAATGTAAATCTTGTCGATGTCCTTTGGAAGTGGCTTAATGCAATAAACCTGTTTTCTTCGGATTGTTTCGTTTCAGGTACCTTTCGCCTGTTGTCGCGGCAGCACTGACAGCAACCCGTACGTAAAGCTTGATGATTGATTATACCGTCCGTTGCATCGTAGAGGAAAATGTTATTTCTAGCGTCACCATTTAATTGAATCAGTGCATGCTGTCGCACAATGCTGGAAGGACTCTGCAAGGAAACCTAGACCTAGCTAGCTGTTCTTTGGTCCGAGGTACTAAATTCAAATCTAAAGTTAAGAAGAAAAAAAGGTAACGCATGAAATTATTTTAGTTTAGATGATACATCCAGAGAGTTATGTCGGATAGTTTTATAAGTATTGCCTTTATAGTAAGCCTGTCAGATGTTTTCTAAATAATGTCCACCGTCTTTGTAGGAATTCCTGTCAGACTTTTTTCTGAATGTCCACTGTATTTGTAGGAATTGAGCATATCAGATTTTTTTTTTTCTCTAAATTTCCACTGTCTTTGTAGATACCCCACAGGCCTGACAAGGGCAAGGAGTTCAACATGCCTTCGGACAGTGGGTCCATGGCGGCGAGCAAGATGCTTAGGGATTTCCGGTACGTGCCAGACTTGTTCATCAAACTTGCAAGTTGCAAATGCAGACAAGGAAAAGATGGAAGCTGTCAGCAACAGATATAGAAATGTTGGCACCTATCGTTTGTCGTGGTAAAGCAACCGCAGAGGCTTCGGCCCCCCAAGAGCTCGGTCAACATATGACAGAGGCACAGAGTGCTGTGGCTCAATTGGAGGCTGATGAGTCACCTGACTTTGGAAGCGGAGCGATTGAATACCGTGCACTTAGTGATAGGTTTTGGGACGTTTGTGCAGGGTGTACATCATGACGTGGAACGTGGTGTGCCGTGGGCCCATCGAGGACCTCCGGTCTGCCCTGGGGCTCGAGCCACCGGTCATACCAGAGGCCCTGCCTGACATGTACGCCATTGGGTGAGCATCGTCAACGGCTGCCGTTCATGCGTGTTGATTAACACTGTCGGCGTCGAGACGGGAGTTCTCGTCCCGCTTGTGCCGCTCGTTCTGGATTACACTCATGCAATTTGGATTTCTAAGGATGCAACACGGATGATCGGACAGAATTACAGAACCATGCTACTAAAGTTCGAGAAAATTACGACTTTTGACTGTCTTAAACTCATACCTGCCAAGTTCGGACAAACCTATTCCGGGAGACTTTTTAAGCCCGGAGGAAGCATTTTTTAAAAGTAATATTGAAAGTGATTTTACATGGAGACAACTTCATTACATTTGTATCGCACTGCTCATGCTAGCAAGAAACAGCAGGACTTTGCTATCATTGCTGTTGTCTGTTGAGATGGCAAAAACTCCTTGAGTCTCCCAGGTAATACGGGAAATTTAGCAGGTATGTGAACTTAAAGGCAACCATTTTATTGTTTTGAGCAAGCCAGCCCCAGAACCTTTGTGTGTTTTCATGCCATCAATGCAGCCACAGCTGGCAGAAATCGTGGAGGGGACAAGCACATTGCCGCCCACTGCTGATCCAGTTATGCATGTGTTGCTAACTCAATTATGGCAGTACTTTCAGGAGTTCGAGCCGGTCAGCTTTCGCAACACGGCATTTAGGTTTATGCGTGGAAAGGTGTAGGGGAAGGTAAGGACAAGACAAGTTCCGTTCAACTTGTGTCGTCCCTGTCTTTTTCCAACTTTTCTTATATCTTTATTTTTTTCAGTGCCTTTTCTATGCATCAAGATGAATCAAGTGTCTGAATTATCTACTTTGACGGTCTATAACTGTTATGACCATCCGCAAGAAAACCGAACCCCTATTTTTCCCACCACAAAAACAAACTAGACATCGCGAAGATCTCAAGCTCAATCAAAATGTAGCCCCCTCCATTCGAGCAAGATGCCAAAGTTTCAGCACCAACCATTATCTTATTCAAAAGTTATAAGCAATTTTCTGAAAATTTCAATGGAAAAATGTCGGCCAACTTAGCTCTCAAATACATGAAGCTCTATGGCGCCAGAAACCGAAAACGGGCAAAAATGGCCCTTATTTTCCCACTGAAAATTTCAGAAAATTAACTTTTGAATAAGATAACGGTTTGTGCTGAAACTTTGGCATCCTGCTCTAATGGCTGGGGCTACATTCTGACGAAGCTCGAGCTCTCCGTAATGTCTAGTTTATTTTTGCGGTGCGAAAAATAGGGTTCGGTTTTCTCGTGGATGTCTGTTACACATGGAGAAGTTGAGTGCAGTACCATAGTTTTCTTCTTCTTGCTGGTATTCCGTGACCAGCTTCCAGGAAGTGAGTGCCAGGCCCCAAAACCTGCTGTCTCAGGCATTCTTCGAAGAACCCTGGATCCAGGCCATTCGGAACGCCCTGCACAAGTACAGCTACGTCAAGGCAAGCTAGCTGTCTGCAAAAGCGAAACAATCTTTCTAAAAAAAAAGGAAAAAATAATCTTTTTTTTAAGTATCAGCTAAGAATGTTAAAGCGATTGTCTGAGGAGAACTTCCAGCCGAACGCTGACGCAGCACTCATGTCCCATCCGTGTCCCGTGCTGACCTTTGGCGGGTCACATAGAAAATTTAGCACCATATGTTCTCGTTATCTAGGAGGTGTTGACTGTACCTAACAGCCTGGGAGAGGCCGAAGCTAAGATCTTTTGCCTTGCAGAAGATGGAGGTTGTGCGCAGGTTTTTCAACCTAAAGGCCATTGTGTGTAGGTGCAGTGTGGGGGCAGTCTGCCGTGTCCAACTTTCTACAGTCTGCTGTAACGCGAGGTCGACACTCACTCGTTGCTTTCCATGACTCTTTGACTACACTCGCTCATGAGATGCTGAAGCATTTTCAGAGGTAAAAAGCTCATGCTGGAGGCAGCGGCTTCTACTGCAGATCTTGCATTGCAACAGACTGTGGTGCATGCATTCACACTTGTGCCCTGTTGCAGGTGAAGCATGTGAGGCTGCAGGGGCTCATCCTGACCATCTTCACCAAGCGTGAGCATCTGATCCACTTGCGAGGCATACAGTCAACATACACCCGCACTGGGCTGGGCGGGGTCTGGGTGAGCCATGGAGTCTTCATATACCGTGAATTACTTAATTTTTGCGGGCCCAATATTTAACGAATTTTGCAAAGTGTAGGTTTAGAAAATGTTTTGCAGGCACAAAATTTTGCGAGTGGGAGGGGTATGTCATGTGTTCATTACCCTGATGTAATGTATTTGCGTGATTAATGTTTCGAGATGTTTTTCTAGTCGTGAAATTGATAAAAGTTTAGTCGATTACAGTAAAAAAAAGTCTAAAGGAAGAGGTCTGCCACCTTCCAGCGTATTTCGGCTGCCTTGGAACAGTGGAGCATCGATGAAAACATTGGTGGTACCAATGTGTCCAGTGCTAGCAAAGGATTAACAAATACAAAGTAGCAAATTACCACTTGCAGGGTTGGTATGTAGTCTTCTCTAGCTTTATTTTGTCAGTGCCTACGATTAGCCGCACTCTGCTTCTGTCTCTACCCCCTCTCCCCTCTTCCCTGGCGTAACCCCTTTGAGTGGCTGATGGGTGATGAGCTTGCACAAGCCGAACCAGTTGCTATAAAATATAAAATGCGGCAACAAAAAAAAAAGGGCAGCAAAGTGATGCAGTCTTTTCCACTCTTGGGTGGGTCTGCACGTTTTCATGTGTTTTGTTCCCACTGTTAAAAACTCAGTTAAAATAATGTCTTGTGGCTGTCACTTCATTCCTTATGCTCTCATGATAATATGAAGAAGAAAAGAAAAAAAGTGGGTCACAATGTGACATATGGCTTTCTCCACTCTTGAGCTTGTGCCGCTTAATGTTCGCTCGGAATCCACGGCAATGCAAATAGTCTACATCAGTATTTCCCATGCTGGTAGACAATAGCTTTTTGATTTTAGAGCTCATTTTAGCTCTGTTGAGTGAGCTGTTCCCACTGTAAGGGGGCACTACAACGAGGCAGCGCTTGTGGTAGTGGTGTTTTGAGTCTGATTGATCATTATTTCAGTATCATGACTATATGAGCTCTATGTGATTGAATCCAAAAAGTCAAGGCCTGTTTACACACTTGCGACTGCTTTAAACCGGAGAAGCTAAAAACTGGCTTTTTTAATCCTTTTGTGATGGCCTACGACCTGCTCCGCAGCAGCGCAGCCGGTCGTAAGCCGTCACATGAGGCTTTAAAAAACACTGACACCCCAAAAAAACAATTTTTTTTTCTTAGGCGATTTATTGTGGTGTCAGAAGACTACCCAATCAATATTTTGCTACAGTGTCACATATATTTTTCATAAAGACAAAAGACTCAACTGCTTGAAACCGAAGCTGGACTGGGAAGGAAGAGCAATTATAAAGCACGAAAAAGATACCGGAAGTCACGCGGCTCTGCAACTTTATTTTTTCAGTCAACGTATTTGCAGCTTTTTAGAAGCCACAAAAAAATGGGCGTCTTATGTTTTGTTAATTTCTAGTATTGAGTGTGTGCCTTCGATGACCCACGACTTTGATTATCTTTGGTGGTTGTGTCTAAACCATAGAAGCCAGCCAGTTCTCGATCGGCGGTTTTCGGGCGGAAACGCAATGAGTTTTGAACCGTAATTAAATTGTGTTCTGGGTTGTTCTGCTCTCATATGTCATGTACAAATTAAGAAACCCGGGCGACCTTCAACAAAGGTTTTTGTGTATGTTTGTAATGCTGATTCGGTAGCTTCCACTAACTCCTAAGTCTTTTCTGTACCACATGGCCTCAGTCATTGTTTAAACGAGTAGTAGTAGCACTAGTGGTGAGATCTGCCCCATGTCCATTTAATTTAAAGGACTAGATTTTAACATTACAAGGGTATAGCATAAGGTACTGGGTCTATCAAAATAATGAGATTAAAATAGCATTGGATGATATGGTATTTATGACAATGCAATTAATGCAAAGGCGCAAGCGAGCTGGACAAGAATGATGATAATAATCCCTGGAGAAGGGGAACAAAGAGCAAACAAATATGTGGGAGAGATGGTATATTAACGACTGTGCCAATAAAGTTTAGTAGCTGTGTTTTGAGACGTTTTGTGTGTTGTCCCCTTTTTCGTCCGCTGTCTCAGGTTTTTCAGAAATGTGTAACATCAACCAGCTTGCCTGCCTACTCTATCTACAAATATGGCTTTGGTAAAAACGATAGCTTTGGACAGGAAAATGAAGTGGGCGATATTTTTTTTTTTAACACTGAGTGTGTTTTATGTGGTGTTTTTTTAAAAGAAAATTGTCACGAATGAGCGTCCTAACAAGCGTCACAGACACTTGTTATGACGCTCTGCCAGTTTAAGCCCCGGCAGGGTTTGGACCAGGGTTGGTGTGGTGGCATTTGGATGCTATAACCACTAAGCTACTAGCACAGCTGGTATGGATTGGTCGATATTTTATTTGAATGCAAAAGTGTTGGCATCAGTGGCAGGTTTTGGGTTGACCTAATTAAATAGTAGTAAATAAATGAAAACAGAATTAATAAATCTATAATAAACAAATAAAAGATAAATGAAGTAAATAAATCAATAAAAATAAAATAAAGAAATAAAAATAAGCTTCAAAAAAGGTAACAAAGTAAAAATAAATGAAAGGAAAAAAAAAGTAGAGCAATTTTTTATCCCAGAATGACATTTGCCTCAGTTTGTTTTGTTCTGTCCACCGTGACAAGCGGCTCCCCCTTTTCTCGTACATCCTCGCAGGGCAACAAGGGCGGAGTGACGATCCGCCTGTGTGTCTACGGCTGCTCCATGTGCTTTGTCAACAGCCATCTTGCCGCTCACGAAAGCGAAACATTCCAGCGCGTCACTGTGAGTGTGCCTGGCTCGCGATTTGAGCCAGAATCACAGTGCTTTACATCTAACTGCTGTAGTGCATATGCCCCCTTTGCCCCCCCAAAAAAAAAGATGTACAGTGCCTTTTCACTGCCAAAATAGACTGTGCATCGCCGAATGATCAGTCTCCACTAAAAACATAATGCTATCGGTCCACACCAGTAAAGTTTCAGAACTAACTGTTTTATCGTTAAAGTTATAAGTGGTTTTCTGTAACTTTCATTGAGAAAATGGGGTTCATTCTCGGTAGCTGACGCTTTTGTCTCCACGTATTTGTGGGCTTCGTCGGCTGCCATTTTTCCGTTGAAAATTCACAAAATTCGCTTATAACTTACAAATCCGATAACGGCAAGCTCTGAAACTGCGGTGAAACCTCTAGCACTACGTTTAAGTGGAGACTGAGCGTTCAGCCATGCATAGTTTATACTCGCGGTGCAAAAAAACTTGTTTTTTGTGGGGAAATTATAAAGAAGCAGAGGTTTGTGGACGCTCAGACATAGCAGTCAAGTCAGAAGCCTTTACGTAAAGATACGATAAATAAAGTAGAAGTGAACACCGAGTTATCCGGGGCAGTCACATTGCCTGTACGAGACAAGTGGGATCAAAGGTCAAGGGACTTGGCCCCATCGCTAGTGACAAAAGTAAAGCCCATGCCAAATAAATACAGGGATTGGTGCTATACAAAAGGCTTCCTCGACTCGCAGGTCTATCATATTTTAGGTGCACAATGTTTTGCTTTGTTCTGATCAAATTATTTTGGCACATAACTATTTCTCAGTTTACAAGAAACAGGAAACATCTCCCTGTAAAGTACAGTGGACAAGTCGCAAACATTAATGCCTGCTCTTTCGTTTCCAGGAGTATAACATTATTATAGAGAAGCAGAGGTTTGTGGACGCTCAGGCAACAAATATCTTGACTCATGAGTAAGTGAACGTTCAAGAGACATATTCTACTCTGACAGATGCTTTTGTTTGCATTGTGAAACCATAAGTTTTGTTGTGGCACTACTGCAAGATAACAATGTTGTGTGCCGGCTTGAAGGAACCTTAAAGCAAATTTTAATTAACCCCTGGTTGAATAATGCTCAGAACAAAACTTTGACATGAAACGATTAGGGACCAAGCTTTTTGTTTCATATTCTAAAATTTGTATTAAAAAAAAAAAAAGAGGAAAAAAGAAAAGCTACTGTTGTCTTTCTTCACTCGGCTCAGGAGATTGAAAGGTCAAGTGCGGGGGATTTAATGGTTGCGGTGGCATACGAAGACGAGAATTAAAAGCACATGCTTTGCTGGAGGCGTTCTCCTCTTTCTTTGTATTGCAAAAAATCAAAGACAATTAACTTTTCTTTGACATTTCACAATAAGGTTTTGGGTTATCAGCTCTGGCAGTAGTTGTCTTATTGGAAAATAGTGCTTTCTACCTTTAATACCAAGTTTTTGCTTTAATGCCCTCTGTGTATGTTGTGCCAAATAGTACTCTATAAAAATAAGTACTGGATTTTCTGATTCGTTTATGGTCTCTTTAAGAGTGACAACCTACTACAGATGTTAAAATTGTGTGGCAAATGCATGCGCTTCGTTCAATTGAAGTGGCATTTAAGTTTGGATTGTGTTTGGATTAGAATGAAGCATTCAGGGAGAGACTGAGTATAATGAAGCTGCAGACTGCTTCAGGGCATTTTAGGTATATCAAATTCAAAGGAAACTAGCCCCATGGTTATGCATTTGTTAGGAATAAAAGCAGCTACAGTTGTGTAAATTACAGCAAAATATTGTGGTGAAATAACTTCTTAGAAGAATTGTCATTTTCAAAACATATAAAAAGCCATTTTTCACCTAATTGACTTATTCACTTCTCCTAACAAATTTATTTATCAAATATATCAAACCAGATATATATAATCACCGTGAAAAACTAAACAAGGCTGTGTATATAACATTCTTCGAATTTTGTTTGCATCCCTAATGTCGCCATGTCGTCCTATTAAAGATGAGCAGGCGATACCTTTATAGCTCTGAATAGATCCACTGTCACCCGTTCATAATGATTCATTGGAAATCTGTAAGGAGGCCACTATGTCGGTGCAAAGCACGAATGGATGTTGGCACATAGGCAAAGTCGGTCTTCATAGGGCATGCATGTTTTACCAGTCCCCCGTACCGTGTTCTGAGACTGCGAGATGCTGTGGTCGTTGCAGCTACGCGTTCTGGTTCGGAGACCTCAACTTCCGCGTAGACGACTGCACCATGGAAGAAATGAAGGCGTCCATTGAGAACGGCACATTCGACCAAATGCTTCAGAAAGATCAAGTAAGTGCCATCAGCTGCACTATGCAGGAGTGTATAGCTTTGAAGTGGTTTCAGATTCGTCTCAGTGAAGCCCTCTCTCAATCGGAGCTTTTAGAGTGTAGAGTGCGACGCAGTTGGCTTTTTTCTATTTTTCTTAGCATTGAAAAGATGTAATCGAAATTACTTAAGTTATAAGAATGGCTCATCTTTTGGGGTACCAATTCGGCCGGTAAAACTTTGTGACCCTCTGAGCACCATCTACGCAAAGTGCAAAAGAGTGTGTGGCATGCTGCGTACAAGTAATTGCAAAATAATTTATCCACACGTCTCATGGGCAAAGAGTTGTAAATTGCTTTTAAAAGTCGCTACAGTAAAGGCTTATTTTCAGGACTATGTTTCACTATATCAGTCTTTACTATAGAAAAGTTCTAATGCTCTGCTAACTGAAGTGTGGTTTGTCAGATTCACTCTGTGATGTGCACATTCCAAAATGAAGGGTGCCATTTTTATTAGTATTTGAGGTTGTGTCTCTTCTAATGTTGAGTAAAGCTGCCCTCTAAAATGGCCACTTCAGCCCAAAAGCTGCTCTTGAAGCTGAGAATTCACTCTCTTCGACACAATTTCATCTCAGACAGACCAAGGCACCATGAGGTCAGTGTCATAGTCAAACATCGCGACATGCTCGTTTTTCCGAGATATCTCGGAGAATGGGACTTGCTTTGATGTTTTGTCACATTTTCAATAAAGAAAAAGACCATATGTGAGTATAGGTATAGTTTTGGGTATTTTTGGACCCTTGCAGCATGTAGATTGAGTTATTGTCATAACCATTTAGAAAAATTGGGTTATGGGGATATTTATACAGCGTGTAGTTGGTCAGGCATTAAAGTTGTGACGAGTCGCACGCTGTAGATGAGCAATTTAGCCAGTGCAGTACAACCGCTAGCCAGTACAACCTAGTCAGTGCACCACGCAGTAGTGATACTTGACCGCGCGCCAGTACAATGCTCATCCAGATCGAAACGGGCAGGGGTGGGGCTGGAACCCAGGATCCCTGGGTTCTGCAGCGCGAGCTTTCGCTCCACGCGCATCGAGCTGGGTGTGCGCCTTAGCCCACTTGGCTACCGATCCCCCGATAACCATTTAGTACCCCCTTAAAAGGATGCTGAACCAAAATTCGGATTTCACAAAATAAGCTTACAGAACTGTTCAACAGGGCGCCATAAACCACGCAACATCATTCATATAGCCATATCTCGGGCGGATGGCCGTATGTCTGGAAAATAAAGAAGCGAATGAGCGAGATTGTTGACGTCATCTTATCACAGAAGAGTTGAGAAGAAGGAGAAATGGCCTTGGCTCCCTCTCCTCTCCGCACCCTCGCGGAGCCAAAGCGAAAAGAGGAGGAAATGTGAATCGCGAGGTCACGCGTCTTTTCGGCCTTGTGCGAGCGCGCATACGACGATCCGTTGGAGATACTGCTTTATGAGCGACGTTTTGGGATTGGTAGCGTCCCATCTATCAATTCTGCGTTGTTTTCTGAAATTCGATTTTCGGTTCAGCATCCCTTTAAGCAGTGGCAACTGAGAATACTCTTTAAAGAAAAGCTGTGTTAAAAAAACATTTCTTAGATGACCTGGGTAGGCTACACGTCACAAAATGTATCTTTTATGAAAAAATTTAATTAATTCAACATTTGTTGTTAGACACAATTTAAATGCAGTCGTAGATGCAGCGTATAGGCCATCCTCTACCACTTTTTTCTCCAGTGTCTTCTCTCGTAGCACGGAGGGCAAAAGGGCAGAGGAGAGGTATGTGGTGACCTCACCTGTACGCTTTCTACAGCCAGTTAAATGCTCGCAACATAACTTCCTTTTTGATGTCACTGCAACATTGGCAGAAGTTACTTTTCAGCAGGCAAGCGTGAGCAGACAAGATATCTTAATGCGTCTTGCAACATAAATATTGCATTCCGTAATTTTTTTTTTTTTTGGGGGGATGTGTATTTTGTGACAAATGTGTTCTACCCAGACAGTTAAAGAAATGTCTTTTTGTTGTTGCGCAGTGCCCTTTTAAGGTGTGATGCACGACTGGGATACATTTGATGCACACTGCTGATGTGTTTGTCTTTGCACTTTGCAGCTGAATCGCGTGAGGAGCAAGGGTGAAGCATTCCACGAATTCATGGAGCATGAAGTCACCTTCCCACCAACCTACAAGTTCCAGATAGACCGCATGGGCTACAATTTCAGGTGCCACACTCTTAGACCGCGCCAAATGTTTGTTCTAGAGAGAATCTGTTGAAAGGGCGCTCTCAAGCATTGTCATATGCAGTCATGCTCTCCTCCCCATTTCAGATGTCCAGTAAACTGAAGTTTTGCTTAGAGCAGGGGTGGCCAGACAGATGTATGCAAAGAGCCATAAAAAGAGCCATCTTAACCGAAGTGCTGCAGTAAAAAGGGGGTTGTGGCATTTTCGAAATAATTTTGTTCATATTAGTTGGTGACCACAGTGCATTCCACTTATACAGCAGCTAATATTTATGTAATTATGTTACCAACCCCAATGTCATGTATCTGATTGGTCGGATGTGTGCTTGGTGGCACAAGGCCACCAAGACACAAGTTATTTTTTATTGTATATCTTTTTTTCTGATCCAGTGGGGGGTGAAAGAGGGTGTGGGAGTTATGCTTACTGGGAAATTACGAGCCACACTTTTATAGTTAAGCGCCTTTATAACGAAGTCTGCGGGACTGGAAAAAACTTTCCGGTGTACAGATAACTTTGTTGTAGTAGTTGAGTGGGAAAAATTTATCACGCGAAACCGAATTTGTGTTATTGCATACTGACATACCCGCGCGACATTCAAGGTGTTCTAGAAAAATGTAAAGCACCAAACATACCTAGTATGAGCGGCACCAGACACGAGATTTTGTATGTTTACAATTGACCTATCAAAAAGGGGAATGGTGGCCGAGTGTGGTAGTGCACCGCAGCTCGGAGCATGTGGGGCGAAAGATTGCGCTCTAAAATCCAGGCATCTTAAGCTCAATTACCATTTTATTTTTTTTTTTGTAAATAAGAATTGTACCGGCACATGTTCATGTACTCGCCACTATGTGACACAATTTTTTATTGACGCCAGGCTAGCGGTTGTACCGCCGGTAGCGCCACTGGCAAAGTTTGTCATCTATAGCCAAGAGATCAGGTGCTCCTTGCTGAATCGCAACAATTACTTGACTGTCGACATCGTCCCCTGATCACGAAGTGAATGGGAGGTGTTTACCGACCGTTTAAATTTGCCCTCTTCTAAACCGGGCGGCGGCTTGCGCCACCACGTGTCATTTGCAGGAGGCTTTCGAAGCGGCTGCGCTGTTTTCGTAGGAGAGAGCGCAGCAGCTGTGGCAGCACTACGTAGCAGAATTGGCTGTGCTTTCGGGACACAACAGCTGTAGCGCACGGCGCAGCGAGTTGCAAGGATGGGGGGAGGCACACAACCGAGCAGACCAAGCCCTTTCTCACATCTGTGTGGCACAAAGAGGGGGGCACGTTTTTCTGAGCGGCTCTACAGATTTCATCTAGATTTTAACAACACGGGTAGTCACAATCACATTTTCTCGACCGCATATTAACGCTGCAAGGCGGAACAATTTGGCACTCAAATCAAGCAAAACTAGGAATCTTGGATCCTGATGAAGATTGGAATGTCGGTCGAACAAATGCCAAGACGGCATAAAGAGAGTTGTAACTGCCCGTGAAAATTACTCTTGTTTGCGCGGGTCCTACATGTACGTACATGCAAAATAAGAAAACGGGTGCGCACATTGCCCGGACTGAGGTTGAAAAAAAAACTATTTTGGAGCAGAGTGGCGTGTACTCAAAGTCGTGAGCAAAACAAAGGTATGGACGAGCACGTGTGACTGAGGTGCGGCGCCGCCTCCGTTGCACTGCTTCCGCTGCCGCCGCACAGCGCATTCTCGGTTTTGGGTTTGTGTTTACATGGCGCTATGTGACCATGTTGCATTGTACAGGTTTCCTATGCAGCAACATAGTCGTGTAGTGCCATCTAGACACATGGTTGCACACTAAGAAACTATTTAGACTTGAGAACGTGTGGCGTGGCGACGGCAGAGGGGCGCAGCGGCGGCGGCGGTCGTCGCCATTGTCGCGGTATTTCTGTTCTCAACACGCGTCACTTGAGTGCAACAATTTACGTAAAATCTATTACTTTTCACCTAGGAAATTTATAATACCGGTCATTTTTGCTTTGTGGGGCCGTGCAATTGCTTCGTTAGACAGGAATCCATTGTGGTAGTCAGAGAAACACATCAAACGCATAGAAGACTGTCCGGGGCTTTATTTTACTGTGTTAAATGGGCATTTTCGTTGTAGAGGTGTCCGTTATAAAAGCGTTTGACTGTACCTGCAATGAGCCGCATCGAGCTTGGGAGCTGCAATTTGCCCACCCCTGGCTTAAAGGGACCCAGAATTCTCTTGAATCTTTGATTGAACAACAAACATTCCTGCATTTCGAGCGATACCATTTAACAGTTGATGTTGACTGCACTTAGTGCAATCGACCTGACAGTTGATGTCGACTGCACTTTCTGCAGCCATCGCAAGCCAGCGTGGACGGACCGCATCCTGTTCCGCTTCACCAAGAACGCCTACGAGAATGTTGCTCTTGATCTGAAGCAGCACCAGTACGTCAGTCATGACCTGTACATCCAGAGCGACCACAAGCCTGTCTCCGGCTTCTTCTCACTCAAGGTGGGCCGCCTTGTGACTCGTTTTTTCCGAGCCTGCACTGTTCTAAGTGAGTGGATGGATGATGCTGGCTGTGCTACCACCCAAGACAACAACAACAAAAACAAATGTGGGCATGTTCCCCCGCCAGGTGTTTGCCAAGCCGCTGCAACCAATGATCCACTTCCTGCCTGTGGGCACCTGGATCATCAACCAGGACAGCTTTGCTTGGTACTACACGAGCGCAGACACAGAGCTCAAGTCCTGGGACTGGATAGGCCTCTACAGGGTGAGTGCACGGAGCGCCCTCTCACATTCTCGCAGCTAGTAAAACGGTTGGCAAGTAACAAAGCTTGGAAACAATGTTATGCATACTGCACAGAAAGATGAAAGAGCTCGTCTCATAGTGATGCAGCAGTTATGGTTCAGTCACGTTCGAGATGTGCTTAAATTAAAACGGTGCCCAAAACCACCCAAGGCTAGTTAAAAATAAAGCAAATTGAGCGCTCGACAAACCCATAGGTGCTTGTACAAACCCTGGGTTTGCTGGAATACAGTTTAGTTTGAGAACCTACATTATAAATACAAGATATGTGTGGGACTCCAGATATAAGAAATTAGCCTACGTCATGACATGACATAGTCAGCACCTTATTTTTTGATGCGTTAGCATTTATTGCCCCGGTGCATGCAGCCGTCTTTTGTTTGGACGGTCGTGGTTCAAAATAGACTGGTTTTGCAAGGTCCTGCCGCGGCTTCCGCTGTGCTCCTTCGTTTCGTTGGTGTTCGCTCGTTACATCCACTTTACCTCTTAATGCAAGAGGGAAAGAGTCTTCTCGCATGCTTCCAAGGACGTTCCACTGTCGGCACACACTCCTCTTACTGGGGCACCGGGATGCAGGCAGACGGTTTCGTTTCCCCAGTAGGCACAACGTAAGCGACAATGTAAAACTGAGGCGGAGTGACGCCGCTGTTTGCGCGAAACCGCCGACACCCGGGAGGGAAGATTGGTTCTTCGAAAACAACAGTACGCGGACCGTAGGCGGCGATTGAAGGAAGGTGTGGTGGCTGCATGGGAAACCGCCATCGCCCGGGAGAGCAGACTGGCTCTCCGAACACATTGGTATGCGGACCAGCGCGAGGTTGGAATTCCCATCCTTCGTTGAGTCGGAACTTCCACGCAAAATCCCAACGTGTAACGCACCGGGGCAATAAATGCTAGAGCATTTAATAACTTTGCCATTCCTCAATTCCCACGGATGTCCCTCCTCAGGAGAACTTCAACAGCCTCGAAGACCACTTGGGCTACGTCTGGGCATCGACACGCCCCACGGATGTCTACCCAACCCACCTGCGCTACCGACGCAGCCGCTCGCGCTCCTCCCGTGGCAGCCAATCGCGGCTCTCGCCGGTCAACGCCGTCTCGCCAACCCCCGGCACGGGCAGCGGGGTTAGAGAAGGCTCCCTGCGTTCGTCTCCCAACCTCGATGCCCTGTCACGCTCACAGTCCCTCGGCCGGCCCCACAAGGTTGACGACACGCCGGACGACCTCGTGGCGCACTCGGACGACGAGCACAGGCGCCGCCCGTCGGCCAAGGAATCCGTCGTCATGGCGTCGGCAACCACGGTGACCACCGTGGCGAGCACGACAAAGGCGCCCGGTGGGTCGACCGACCGATCGAGAGTCAAGGTGAGCTATCAAACCTTGTGGAAAGCGAAATCTGGTGCTTCGTTTTAATGAAGATTGCACTTATCAGTAGATTTTCCCAGCAGCCATAACAAGAAACCGACACCGAGAAGCGTTACACTCGTAGGGAACCATAAAAAAATACTTCCGTCCCCCGGCAGGATTTGAACCCGCAACTTTAAAGCTCGCCCTACAAAAAGATTTTCTGCTGGGTGGGAAATCTTTGCTACCATTCCCATTTCCCGCTCTCCCATGGCTATTTTGACTGAGGGGGACTCCTTTTGTTGCTGCATCCTGGGCCGGGCCCAGATATGCCGGGATCTTATCCGGGCTTACCTGGCCCTAAGATGCAGCAACAAAAAGAGTCTTCCGCCATCAAGATAGCCGTGGGAGAGCAGGAAATGGCAGGGGTCTCAAACACGCAGTCCGCGATTATCTGGGAAGCGGCCTGCAAGCATCACGTGGGTACAAGCCACACCTTCCCATGCCTCGAGCACTACATGTGCTGTAAATAATAGTTTCATATCATTGATTCATTTCCACTCGGAAAGAGACTCTGCTCATGTAATGTGTTCACACATTTTGCACTATTCTGTTATTACATATTTAAACTGAGTAATGCTTCGTCTAGGTATTTGCTTTTCGGTCCTTTCTGACAAATCTACCGGAACGGCAATACCGCTACTAGTCTACAAGACTATCTTTTGCTCAAGGAGGCATCTTGACTGCACAATCTCTCTCTCAGCAGGAGCAATTGCTAAAAATAAATCTATGAGCTCGGCTTTTAATATACAAGTATTTTCTTGCATGCTGCTATAAAAATCAACAGGAAAGCGAAAGCTCTCTTATGGAGAGAAATTTTTTTCAATTTCTGTTGAGCCTAGTCAATTTGTGTGACAGGGCATTGACAGTGTGCTTGCTCTCGTTCTATTGAAAAATACCAGCACATTGGCATTTTAAATTCGTCATCACGTCAAGTGTGCACCCGAAGTGGTAGTGTAAATCAAAGGTGAAGTTGTCACTGGCAAAATGGCAAGCTCATAAAAATTGGAGAGCACAAGGTCTCTTCTTCAGAAAACTTGTAAGTTGTCACTAAAAGCATTGGCTGCAAAGCAGCCGATGCTCCTAGCATCAACTATATTTTTTAATATTTTCTAAAAAATTCTAGAATATAATTACCCTGGCCCTCGATTTTTCGGGGGTGAGCTATTTGGCCCCCACACTTAAATGAGTTTGAGACCCCCCTGGTCTATGGGACGAAAGAAGAAATTCAAGACGTGCCTAAGGTCACGTAAGAAAGGGGATTTCAGAGGTGTGTTTAATAAATTTCGAGACTGATTTTGTAGCGTAGAAAGAGAGAACAACACAATGATGCGCGTGCAGCAGTCGGAGGAAGGAACCTTTGTGTCTCGTTATACCAAAGGGCGTCGCTCTGCGAGCATTTGGAACTGTGCTACACGTGTTTGTTTGACCCCATGCATGATATCTCTCCATAGGCTGCAAACCAAAGCAAGAGCAGACATAAATTTTCTGTCAAACTTGGCAAATCTAAAACAGAAACCTCAAAAATATTAAGAAGGCTTATGTCAAAAAGCAGTGAGGTGTGCGAGGTGTTTTAAAAGGCACTCGCACCTAAAGAATGGCAGAACGTCCCTGAGGTTGGGGAGTGGTCGGATAAGGCTGCCCTACCGCTCTTCATCTTCGATCGAGCACTGTTCTGCCATTCATGAACCGCGAGTGCCACTTAAAACACTTTGCAAAATTCACTGGTTTTTGACACAAGTCTGCTGAATCATTTCAAAAGTCTCCCTTTTTATATTTGCCGAGTTTGACGCGCAGAATTGACGTTCGCTCTTGCTCTGGTCTGCAGCCTATGGCAAAATCACCATTGTGCCTGTGCACGTGGTCACAGAAACTCGTGTAGTGCAGCTCCAGGTGTTCACCGAGCGACACCCTTTGGTATAACGAGACACACAGGTCCCTTCCTTCGACTGCTGTGCACGCATCACTGTGCTGCCCTCTCTTTTTATGCCACAAAATCAGTCCAGGAGTTATGACTTCAAAGTGCATAAACGTCTCCCAAAACAGGTACTCACTTGATTACAGACACAAAAACATACACACAGCACTGAACTTGCAACTCTTTGTATTTGCATTTTATCCTCGTTTTCTTCTACATACTGTTAAAACAGAATCTGCAAATTGTTTTGTCCTTATTTTCTTCTCCACCTATTAAAACCAATAGGCGGAGAAGAAAACGAGGACAAAACAATTTACAGATTGTTTTAACAATATGTAGAAGAAAACAAAAACAAAATGCAGAGTTGTGAGTTTAGTGCTGTGTGTATGTTTTTGTGCCTGCAATCGAGTGACTGTCTACTATTTTGTGAGATGTTTATGCACTGTGAAGTCAAAAGATGAAACACCAACTAGCTCAAGCTGCTCAATCCAGGAGCTTTTTTTATCGCACCTCGTAGTTCGGAAAAAAAACTTGACATGTTACAAACAAAGAAAAATTAAAAAGAACTGCAATGTCCACCACAAATCTCAAAGAATGCCACAGAAACAAATCTGTAAGGACCGACTCTATTCATAGTATCAAGATAGACTGATTATTTTAATTTTATTCATTTGTTTTATTTGAAATACTGCAGGCCCTTTTCAGGACCAGTAGTCTATGCAAGAAGATGTGAACTGTAATGCAGCACTGTGCACAGATAAAAACAATGTTCTATGCTATTCTATTATGCTCAAGTACATAATGTAGTGTACAGCAATATAGAAACAGAAAACACTCAGTATAGAACTTGCAGGTGCATGAACTGTATACAGTTGAACCTCGATTTAGCGAAGTCACCGGGACCCCCTAATTATTTCGTTAAATCGGGAACTTCGTAAAGTCGAGAAAGACATTCTTCGGGATAGGCTGCGCGGGGAATCCGAATTTGTTCGTTAAATCAGGAAACTCGTAAAATCGGGTTTCGTTAAATTGAGGTTCAGCTGTATAACAGTGATTAAAACACTAGCATTATTGATTACAGTAGCAACAGAAAAGCGACGAAATTCCAGCAAAGTGTACCGTCTCAGCCTTCATTGTGCCAACATCTGGTTTATGATTGGCAATGCACACTTACCTAGTTATTTTGCTGGAATCATTGCATCGTGATTGTCTTTGCAGCAGTTTGGCAGCGTTCAACGAGGTCACTCGAGTGCGTAGCGAGGTAGCACGCTTGTCTCAATGCCCGTTTTACCCTTTCTCTGGGACTAGTGGTACGGGCCTTAGGACCACCCTTCCATGTCCGTGAGTCTTGATCATATGTGATGAACTTCGAGACGCACAGAGTCTGCTGCAGAGAGCTGGGCACATGCTGCATGCGTTTTGGACCTCATGCGACTGCAATGATCACATGGCGTCATGCGATGTAACACGACGTCACAGGACATGTGACCTCACCACGTCGAGTGACACCGTGATATCATATCTTGAGCAAGTGGTAAAAAATGTGTCTTTTGGCACATCAGAAAACAAGGAGGGCACTCCAGTCAAAGGGCAACGTAAGAATGCACGAGGAACGCGCAATGATGAGGCAGCCAAGCACCTGCCGTCATTGATGGAGGTCAGGGGGAAACAAAAGCACGTGGACGTAAACAAACATGCAAGGAGCGCACAAACTTGCGTACCGTATGACGTCCTCATAGGGCCTATGGGCTATGTGGACGTCGGTCTTTACAAACCCTATGCGTAAAATGAATGTATGTAGTCTTTATTTCAGATAAAAATATTCTGGAATCTAATTCTCAGATGTAACGGTTTTCTCGTAAAAAAAAAAACTAGCGTTTAATCGCACCCCGCGTTAAAAGTTGTTTGTTTTTCCCTCTGCCAGGGGTCCTTCGCAGCCGGTGGCTCTTCCAAGAAGCGCCCGGATGCAATGGTGACGTGGAAACAGGGAGCGCAAGCGTCCCCCTCGACCTACAACAGCCTGGACGAGGCGGCCGAGGCGACTGGCGTGGGCTCAACCGGCACGCCCACGCCCGAGGTCGGCAACGCGTCTCCCTTCGAGAACAAGACTGGCTCCGACCAGGAAGAGGAGGTAGGCTGAGCGTTGGTGGAAACGCGCCGCCAGTCTAGACCTTCGTTTGCCACCAAGATAATCATATCGCGACCCACGACATAGGTCCGGACATAATTTTATGGGCACTAGCACGCACGAGTGCCCGTGAAATGGCGGTCACTCGGATGGTATACCTTTTCCAAAACTTCCTCAAGGGACATTTGCGGTTGCCATTTCTAGGGCACGAAGCGTGCAACTGAATCCGAGCGCTTGCCAAACGCCGACACGGCTATCGTGACTTCGATTTGTGCCCAAACAATGGCAGACTCAGATAATTGACGTGGCGTGCATTTTGGAAAGGGTCTATTGACTGAGTATGTTGTCACAGACAGCGTAAGAATGGCAGGGCATATCTTTGGGAGGCCCTGCCTTTGGCACGTGCTTGTTGCCTTCCGCCGCACTTTGACCACACGTGCACGCTGTAAGCTCACGAGACACCAAAGTGTTATCTAAGGTAGGTAGCTCGCACCGGTTGCGGGACAACTGAAAGACCTCCCCGTCATTCTTATCCTGTCGGGGACAATGTGGTTCCCCCATGGAACAACCCCAGTAGGGGAAGCACGGACACGTCGCAGCGGGTCCACACCAAGGAGAGAGGTTAAAGTCGTTGCTGATGCTGCCCGCCGTCTCTGTCGTGGCGTCCCGAAGGTGTCGTCTACCCGGGCGGTCCTTCCCAGGGGTGACGTCTCGGGATGTGGGCACTGGCGAGGCTTAGGGAAGGACGACGTCGCTGTGTGTCCTGCTTTCCCTCGAGTCCGGTCTGACAGGATCGGTCGATTCCGCGGGTTTCTTGCCGGGGGCTCTCGGTGTAGCGGTCTGGGTTTCTGCGGGGCTCAGAGGGTTCTGGAGCTGGAAGTGCCGACTCTGCACATCGGGGTCGGCGTTACGATCGAGGCCCCTTCGGCGAGCCCGGCGCTCTCCCTCGCACTTCCCTGGGGCTCCTCCTCCCGCTCGGACTTGCTTCCGAAAAGAGTTGCTTTCTCTGCCAGATCTGGCTTCGCTGCTTTTCCCTCTGCCCCTCCGTCTTTCCCTTCTCTCCAATCTCCCAACCGGTTTTCTGTCCTTCCCTTTCTTCTCCATTCTCGTCGGTGCCTCTCTCTTGGACGACACCTCTTTCGCTACGCTTAGGGGCTTGCCCACGTTTCGTGTCCGTACGTGTCCCCCATCACCACAGAGAACATCACAACTGTAGCAGTACGAGCTTAGATCTACGATGCGTAAGTAAGGCGAGCAATATAAGAGTTAGTTCGACGTGAGCGTGTTGGTGAAGTTAAATGAAAACAGAAAAAATAAACATATTGACGGACAGAACAGCACCTCTTTCGCATTATAATGTCGGAAAGGTGTAAGCAACTCGAGATGTTTTGCGTTTGTCTCCTTTTTCATCCATCATCTCCGCTAAATATGTAACCATCTTTACATTGAAATCTATCATCCGCCAACCAGGTGAGCGTGGTTACCACACCGCGGTATCACCACCACTACAAATTGCTTGCTAATAAGTTAAATGCTCGAATTTGATTCCACCAAGTGTCCGCGCTCTACTTTTCTCGTGATTATTCATTATTTTGGGAAGGGTGCGCACTTGGCACCTGGCAGATTGGCCGTCAAGTCTTCCTTCCGTGGCAGCCTACCTTTTGCCCCGCATACGATCGGCCACCGCATCGCACAATGGTGATCGTCCGTTTCCCTACGATAGCTTCAAATGGGAACTCTGCACTGTGCACAGACCTTGCTCGCTTGTGTTGGTCGCACCGTAGCAAGGCCAACGGAGAGAGCACAGCCATTGGTTTGACATTATAGCATGCACGACTAATGGCATCGCACCACCTGGAAGGGTGGGTAAGCCGTGCACCAACACTCCCCTCTCCCCCTCCTCCTTCTGCTGCATAGTAGGTTAGGGACTGCGTATTAAGACCCATTCGCACCAGAGCATTTGCTTACATCACCTTCAGTTAAGGGAGCTCGCGTTTGCTTATGTTCAGAGTCTCTAAGACATCCATATTTTTTTACGAAGTGTGGTAACCAATGGACTAGCTTTTCGCACGACATACAAAGCGCCCAGTGCCTCGCAGAAAAAAAGTAAGCTAACACTCCCGTGCAAGCGGGCCTTCTGTACCGTTGCATTTGACAACAGCGTCCGAGTGATTTCTTTCCACGGCGTGCAGGTGCCGGAGTCCCCCCTGGCCAGGGCACCCCCCCAGTGTGCCCCCTCGGAGACCCCCCAGGGACAGCCCCGGGAGTCCCTCACGGGCCAGGCCCCCAGGGTCCCCCCCTGCCCTCCAGACAAGGTGTTCTACCGCGTCCTCTTCGGAGACCAGACGCTGCTCGTCTCTGGCCGCTACCGGCTGGTCTACCTGCGGGGGCAGTCGGACGTCCTCGGCATGAGCGAGCCCTTCAAGGTGCGTCTGCGGCTAGAGCACGCAGGTGGCATTTGCACGGTGCCCGCTACGCGTCTTCGACTGGTGCGTTTACCACGCTCTCAAAAGGCGATCCCTCGCCGACATCGCGAGTCACTCTTAGTTGGGACGCCTTGACCACAAAGACGCTCGCGTTTTCCCCGATTTTTGCCAAAACTTCTTGGACAGTTCGGCATGATCATGACATTTAATGTGATGTGTACGTCGTCTGTTGCCACTTTGGGACCACCTTTGACGCGTGGGTGATATGGGACGCCGAGGACGCCGGTCGAAGACTCGTTCCGAGCGTCATGTGTTGGCGGCTAAAGCGGAAGTGGGACGCAGTCATGGTCGTCGTATTTTGAGCAGCGGTGGCACCACATTGGCATCCTCTACGGAGAGTGCAGTCTTCCTTCGCGGCAATCTCGAGGCAACGGTGCGGGCGAGTCGTAAACACCCCCCGGTAGTTTACTGCATTACCTATCGGATAATAATGTAATGCCTGCGCATTTCCTGCGCCAGTTATTGACGGGAGTGTGTTGCACCAGTAAGGACGCTTGCCCCGTTGTTGTTGTCATTCACCCGCGACGAGTGCACTTTTAGTCCTTCATGTTTGCCTCCTCGTGCTTCGTGAATACAAGTGTGTGAAGTTGCACTTTGGGCAAGACTCTCGCATTTGCACCTTATTCGAGCACTAAAAATAATTGATCCTAGTCTTTGGGGTGAAACTTAACATAGAGCCATCCCATCCGGGAATTCGGCATTACACAACTCCAAAGGCTCGTTCAAGCACTTGCGTGTTCTGCTTACGACCGAGTGCCTATGATATCTTGCGACAAGAGAAAATGCCGGCGACATCTATGACACAACCCTAGAACTGCGTTTCACCAGGGCAAAGGTTTTGCTGCATTTGCACGACGAAATGTACATGCCATGTACAAGAGACGGTCGTTTATAACGTTGTCAGATTTTAGAGCGCGGCACTTAGGCTCCCGTTTCTAGCTTGAGCAACGTGGCGTCGCCGTCAGCGTAACCGTAACGTGTTTGCGTAACACGACAGCATGACGCGTCGGCATCATTGTAACCGTAACGCGTTTGCGTAACGCGTTGGCGTTACACAAGAGCTTGAAAAATAGAGCGGTCTCATTTGCATCAAGATATCACGCAGCATGTAGCTATCCAGGTGGCCCTTCAGGGCTTTATTTTGCCACATCACGTAAGTTTCCACGCTCACGTCTTTACCTTCACCAGCCGTGGTACAAAAGATTAGGTCGTGCCTCTGACGGAAGCAATGAAACCCCCCCTCAGACACAGCGAAGTCGTGGTGTTTCAAATGTAGTGCGAACTCGGCTGCCTTCGCCATAATGATGAGGCCGCTAAGAACATCTTGGTTTCTCATGTCTTTAACCCATGTGATGAGCACCTTCTCTAAATCCGGGTGTTTGGCAGAGCAAAGTCTTTTTCTGTCGTGGGCAAAAACTTCAGCTTCATAAGCATCCTCGATTGTTTTTTTTTTTGTTACGGGTGTATACAGACAACATGGTTCTCGGGGTCTCGTGCTTCTGGGCAATTTCGACCTTGCTCACTTTTCCTGCGTCTAGTTCACGCAAAATCTCTACTTTCTCTCCGAGCGTTTGGCGTGATACTTCTTTCGGGCCAGTGCACCCGATGACGACATTGTGGTCTCAACGCACATAACGCGTATACAGCTAACACCGCCAGCCAAGTCACAGGCACAAATGAAACAATCGGCAATTGCACATTGGTGGCAGCAGCTCAACACAGTTGACCCGGTTCAACGAAGCACAGAAGCAGAACTCGTAAAGAGGAGAAGGAGAACAAAGGGAGGCTGGAGGCATCAAAAAGCGCTAAAGAAACCCTCTTGAACTCCCTCTGATGATGTTCCATCCATGTGTGCATTCCTAGTGGCCCACAGTGGATACCGACGACGTCTCGCGGCAGCAACGCGCTGCAGTGTTTAGCAATGAGGCTCCCGCAGCGCCACCTATCGCTTGACTGGGAAAGCTCACGCATGGCGGTGTGCATTTTAAATTAAAGGTGCTGGAAACGATTCGAGCGCGAATTGACAGGCTGTTTTACCATGTGCCTCTATGCAGCGTGACCGGACCATGGCGATTGGTTCGAATTATCCAAAAGTATGAATTAATGAGTTGTGAATTAATGAGCTTTCACTGTATTCACCAGTGGAAAGGTGCGACTGCCTGTGATTTCAATGTATATCTGAATGTCATAAAGCTGATGGCGCATGCAAGGAAGGTTACTAGCATAGAATGTCCACTGAACCAACATGAGAAAAAAAACAAAAAAACCTGGCAGGGGTGAGGAGCAGTTAAGAAAAAACCTGGCAGTGAAAGGGTTAATGGGTCTTTCTACGACATGGTTTAAACGTTAAAGAGGCCACAGTGAGAGTTGCTCCCCGACACCTTTTTGTGAACCATGTTGATGATTTTTTACCCCGTTTCTCTCTTATTCACGCTTCCCGTAGTTCATTAATAATGTTGAAGTCGATTCTCAGGGAGCTGTGAGTATCTCTCGTTTAAGTACAGCTTTTAAGCTTTCAGTAGAGAGTAGTTGCTTTATAGTAGGCAAAAAAGGGCTTGCCAATAACACATTTTCTTTGGCTCCTTGGCTGGCACGTTGGACGAAAGCCGAACTGCACGGTGTTTCTACTTTGTTGCATGGGTTTATGCAAAGCATGATGCTGCATGTGCGAATGCTTGTGTTGCTTGTCTACAGTTTAATTTTCATTTGCAGGGACAATAATAAGTCACTTCAGTTTCTGGCACGAAATCTGCTGCATGTCTTTATTTGCAACTGAAATCAAAGTTTGTGCTCTAAACTCTTTTTGTGGCTGTAATATGCCCAAGCTGGCTGCACTTGGCACACGTGCAGGAGCATGTTTGTTTGTTCAAACCCAGATTTTCTGCAAATGTACACATTTGGCAGCAACTTCTTTTTCGACAGCACGGCACACGCTACAACAGTGACTCATACCCTTGAAATGGTATTCAGGTATGCGCAATCGCAAAATTGTGACAGAGTAACATTTATGGCCCATTGAGTGGTTGTAAGGAACTACTAAACATACTTTCTGCGTTCTGCGACATTGTCTTTTGTCTTGGGAACATTACGGAGCCGTGGTGTTGGCTGCTTGCTCTCGCGTCATGCCAGGCTTGGCGTCAAGGTTAAGACTGTTGATAGCAGCAGACGACGGGCATTTTTAAGCAGTTTGCCTCAACTGCATTCTTGAAGCACAAAGCACATTATATATAGGGTTCTTCGTTTTCGGGTTTTATATTTTTTTCAATTCGGTGGGAAAAAATCGGGAGCTATTTTTCCAGCTGATGATCGGGGAGAAATCGGGTTTTATGTGAAACAATTCCTAAGTTCGGGTTTTTCGGTTGAAGTTTATAATTTTCTTTAATCTGTACATTTGTTTGTTTGTTTTTCTTTTCAAAATCGGAGGGTAAAAATTAGGGCTACGTTTCAAGCTGGTAATCGGGGAAAGATGAGGGTTTTCTAGAAAAGATTTTGGAACTCAGGGTTTGTTTGGAACAAGCTTCCAACCACTTCCTCCTCTCCAGCTCGAGAAGATTTTTCTTGACCTGTCGCTCTCACTAATAACCAGAGTCCAACCTCTTATCGCATCGCAGTGACATTCTTTCAGTATTCTTCCTCCCTCTGGAACACCTCCCATTGAAAAATGCCACCCGTCTCAGAATATTGGCTGTTCCTACCAAATCACAGTTTTCAGTGCAGTCGTGCCTTTTCCTTCTACTGTGTGCGGTCGAAAACAGAAAAGACCGCTTCATACAAACTTTGCGGCAAAATGTTCACATTAATGAAATATTTGGGGGATCAAACTACGACACCGACCAAAGTTCACTTTTAGCTAACGGGATCTACCAATGTTACCACGAGGTCGGGTAGCTAGCATGTGTTCTGCAAACAGTAATCTCGAAATTTAGGGAGAAATTGGGTTGAACCCGATTTTTAAAAAAAAATGTTTGGGATGTAAAAATTGGGCAAAGTCGGGTTTTACCCGAAAACGAAGAACCCTAGATATATATTGTAACATTGTGTATGTTAAGTTCAACATTTTTCAACAAATATAATATTAAAATTAAAATTTCAAAAGGTGTACCCACCGTTTTTTTTTTGCTTCACGGCCAAAACAAAGTTGTCTCTCCGAGTGCGCCGACGTGCATGTCCAAGCTGCCAGTGTGTCGTTTTATTTTGTTTCGTTGTCACCTTACGCATAACTTGCCTCTTTCTTTTTTTTTTCTCGTGCGAACATAAGGTGTTTCATGCAGGAAAAAATTTACCTGAGCCTGTTTCTTCGTTCCAGATCAAGGCTGCAGTCAGCTGAAGCGTCCAAGAAGTTGCTTCGAGAGCGGTGCTCGGTGCTCCTTGGATGCTCGTTCGTGTGCGTCTGCACGAGCACTTGCTGCCTCTTGCATTTACGGAAAACAGTGCCTGAGACTCCCGTGTACATAATAGCGACCCAAACTCCGTTGTTTTCCTGCAAAGTACGGACGGCAGGCCTCTTGCGCCGCAAGACATGTTGTGCAATTAATTTCGCAAAGGATGCAAAATGCGAGAGAGAGCAAAGAGCGGTTTTTGCGACGACGAAACTATGCGGAGTCATATTTACGGGGAGATATTCCTTTGTACAGGTGGAGGATATCAGGTTGTCCATTCGTTTGTTTGTTTTTAGAGGCGAGGCCTCGTCAAGATGCACGGCGGTGTCGCACCGGCACTTTCCGCTCAAGTTGGAACGAGATTTGACCATACTTTCCAGCCGCAGTTAGCGCCGTCTAATGCTCGACGTCAAAGCTTTTGAGGTGCAGCTCCGACCTTTCGGCAAAATCTCCCCGTAGCTCAATACAGCACTTGGGGTATAAGCAATCTTTCCAAAAAGATAACTGTTGTATGTGTGTGATCTCAAGTCTAGCTGAGCGAGATTGCAGATTTGATGAACTCTAATCAGCAGACCTAAGGTTCACAATATTTGTCGCGAATTATGCAACTTGCAGCAATGTACATATCCCTACTTTTATCGCCGATTAGCGATTGTAAATATGTGATCTATTGCCTAGTTTTAATAAGCTTTTTCTTGACAAATGAGGATAGGCATTTCTCGGTGTAGGCTCACATTCTGTTGGCTCGAGGGTTTGCCAAAGTCTTTGAAGTAATTGGTGGCGCGACGTGTGCCCTTGGCCAGAGAAGATTCCCAAGTAATGAAATGTGCACAATTCACCTGCGCACAGTTTATTGTGATATTTTGTACCGTATCGTTAAAGCACACCTAGTTATGTATGATACCTGTTTACTGGATATAATAAAAGTTGCCAATGAGAACCCCTTTTTTTTTGGTTGATGACATCCTGAACGACCAGGTTGCCTGTATCTTGCTTCATTCTCACCGAGTTTTGGCTTTGTCCAGAAGTGAAAAGTGGATTTTGCTTGCAGCTAGCTGGAAAAGAATGAATTATTGTCAGAGATGCTCTTGAATTACAAATTAATTGCACGGCATAGATACGGTGGCTAAATTTCATAGTATGCTAACCAAATATGTTTTCCTATAGTGTTGAGTGGCAGTGTAGACACCTCACCGCAACTGAACTTCAGTGAAATGGAACTATTGAGGGGCCGTGTGCAAAATGATCTGGAGATAAGCTGCCAGAAAAATGGGTTTGAGTGTCAAGGAAATCAGCTTTGGGTTCTCTATTTTCCATGGGGAAATCCCAAAAGACCTGGACAAGGAGTTGAAACCAAAGGACAAGGAGTTGAAAAAACTATTGCGTACGCTGAAGACAGTTGAAACTGCTTACGAGTAGGAATGCAAAAGCATTCCTAAATGCAGCGCATTCCTACAAGCAGCGCACCACATCTCCCTTTTTCACACTGCGCTCCGGCGGTGACATCACGCTACCCCACTGCGCAGGCGCAATGAACCCCGCCGGCTCTATGGCTTCCATGATGGTGCATTTGCGTTGCTGTGCTTTTGGCCAATGGGAATTTAACTGCCGTTTTGCTGCTATAGACAACGCAGGCTTCGCTCCATCGGACAGTTAATGCTTTCACATTAATACCTCGTTCCTGCAATAACTATTAAAAAAACTCGCTTAAAACACTTAAAACTGCCTACATGTAGGAATGCAAAAGCATTCCTATGCACAGCGCATTCTTTTCCGCTGCGCAGGCACAGCGAACCTCGCCGGCTTCATGACAGCTTCCGTGACAAAGCATCTGCGTTGCTGTGCTTTTCTTTGTGTTCTATTTCTGAGGTGCGTCCGCCAGGCACGTAGCCAGGGGGGAGGCCCATAAAGCCCATCTATAGGTCATAACTGTCAAAGAATAATTCTAAGTGGAACATACCGAGAGTACAAAAATTGTTGCTTGCCCCTTTAAGAATAAAAGTGAAACAGTAGCAAAAGACAATTACCGTGATGATGATGATGATGATTTTCAGTGCACAGTCTTCCAAATGCACACAATGTTTATGTCGGTGCACGCAACAATGAACTGCCCGTCTGGGCTGAGGCACACAGCATTCACGTTGATCTGCAAAGAAAAAGCACTGTTAGAGCTGCAACGAGACAGGTCATAAGCCACATTGAGCCACTGCGTCCCACGTCTTAAGTTATGCTCGGCGTTGTGCGGCTTTGCAAGGAGCTTCGACTGCACGACTGATCGTACGGCGAGAATGCCCTCCGAGATTGTGTGCTCGCGACCTTCGTGCCGCCATTTCGCTGCAACGTGCCCACAGGTTATGATATATTAGCAGTGTGACCGTGGCATTAGTATTTCGTTCCGTGCAGATCACATTGGTGCAGTGTTCTTTAAACTGTGAGTCGCAACCCCAACGGGGGGCATCACGAAGCGGCTTGAGAACTTGAAAAAATGCGAAGTGGGCTCCTCTGCAGTAGCATCGGTAAAACCAAAGTACAGGTCGCTGCTAAACATTGAGTTGGAACCGAGTCAGTGCCCCAAGCTCCGCCCTCATTTTAAAAAACCGCTCCAACAAAGAAGCTTACTTTAGTCATTAGGAACAGTAATTTCTGCTGGCACATATTTTTTAACACACTGTGTTCTACAAGTAATTTTTTTATGAAAGAACTGTCTCGAATGGTGTTGTGAATGAACGTTAGGATTGAGCGTCAGGAACCAGTCAGGAACGAACATCGTGAACTATCGACATGAACAAGCGTCGGGAACGAGCACCATGAACGACTGACATGAACTTTCGACACGGATGATCGTCGTGAACTGGCAACACGCTGAGATAGTGACACGACGTTAAGGTTATATATAAAGCTTACAAAGGCCCAATGTAAACTCAACGTAAGACACCCCAGCAGGGCTCAAACCTGAGTCGCTGCAATGGTGGTCAAATACTATAGCCACTGAGCTGCACAGCACAGCTGCCCTGGCAAGTTTACGGTCTCAACAAGATGTGCCGGCGAGAGCGATGTGACGTCGTACTATGTGACCGCTCGCCTCATTGACTTTGCACATCATGCGAGAGCCACATAAGGTAGCGCAGCGCCCGTGCGGCACGCCCATTCGCTTGGTCTCACCCTGGCTTAACATCTGTGGCGTACAATGAAAAAACTAGCATAAACCACACACAAAGTGTGGTTTGCGCGGGACAAATTGTGCTCCCTGGTCTCTGTCCACATAATCAAGCTCGCATAATTTTTTTTTTTTTTGCAATGGTTTTAATAGTTTGTTGCAGTTTAAGGAAAGCAAGACAAGCCCTCTAACAATGCCTGCTGCTTACTATGATTGGTGGCTTCCTCCTCTCCACTTGACTTCTTTCCAGCATTCACTCTACTAAAGTGGAAAGAGTGCAGGGCTTTGTGGGAGGAGCTTGTCCTCCTTCCCCTAGCTTATCTCTGATTCACTCTGACTAATAATTGTCAAATAAAATTTCGGCATTATAATCACGATTACTATAAGTACCAAGCAACTAAAAAACCACAACTAGAATATTTATAACTGATTTTGCTACTTGCGACACATAGTACCAGACGAATCTGAGGGAGCATAGCTCCATTATACTAGATCTGTTATGCCTCATCAGTAATTCTTGAGACAAACCTCAAACGCTAGACCGAAATTTACTGCATACTATACTCCATTCCACCTTCAGTCCGAGCGCAGTGGACGCCACGAGCTATCCCAGCCAATCCAGCGCCGGGAGAAAATCACGTGACCTGCCGGTTAGGCGGAGTGACCGGAGTGACACAGGGAGCTCAAGGTCACATGACACTCTCTCCACGCTGGATTAGGTGGGATGGCTCCTAGCGCCCGCTGCGCTCGGACTGAAGGGGAAACGGAGTATAGATGAGAACTGTGTTGAGTGCTGTAGAATGCCACATTTGCCAGACTTCCGTTTAGAAATCTACAAAAGCTGCGAGCGGAGAATCCAAGCTCGAGAAAACTGTCGTGCCGCAAGTTTGCTCGAGCGATGGAAAGATTTCAAAGGGCTTGTCGGCCGACTGTGTTCACAAGCTGCAATCTGGCAATGCGCTGAAAGTTCCAACTTGCAGACTTGACCATATTTAGCTTGAATTTATTCTTACACCTGTTTCGACACAGAAGGTTGAACGGGCATCGTATTAGCATGCACTCGTGAATTTCTGAATTAGCGACAGAAAGATTCACAAATGAGGCACACATACAACTTGGAACGTACCTTCCCACCCTTTTCGTCCACCGAAAAGCCCTTGCTCTCCAGGGTAGTGGGCCAGTGCAACGTCTTCAACGGTGGCATCAACGTGTCTCCACCGTTTGCCAAGTCGTACAGCCAGATAGCACCAGCATCGTCGCCACAGGCAACAATATCTAAAAGCAAGCATAAACCCTTATGTGTCAGAGGCAGTGAGAAATGCTGCATTCCCCCCCCTTGGCTCCGAACAAGCCTTCCCACACTTTGAAAGCTATCGTATCCTGAAGTGCTGCTCACATCCGAAAGAAGTCCAAATGTTGCCAAAGTGTTCACTTTGTCAAAATTATGACACTTTTTTTTTTTTTGTCTGGCACTGTCCTTTGATCGTGCAGTATCTTAATGCCAGTGCCGGGAATGCTGCAGCGTACTGCATTCTTTTTTTTTACGAGGGGAGCAAGTGATTTGGTATATTTTGAATCGCAGATGACAAGAAAAGTGGCCCTGTATGATGACCCGTCGGAGCTGAAAACAGTTTGAATTTATGTTTAAAGAAAGCACTGTTACTTTTATTGCACTCAACCAGTTTTTATAGCATTCGTTTTGCTGAGATTAGACGATGGGTGAGCACATGCCAGCAGACTCCTAGGTATGTTTACTATATACCATAAAGTCTTAAAAGAACGCAGAAAAATGAAAAGATAGACAATGAAATATTCAAATATGTGACAACAAAATTTTAGTAAAAATTTGTGATAAGCACGGGTGCTATAAGTATGCTGATATTTGCTATGAACTCACGTCATGGGTACAGCAGAAGAAAGCGGACATGGCGCATTAGCGCTGCGTCCATATTCTTCTCGTTATCTAATGATCATTCTCGTTAGATGAAAATAGGCACTTGATGCCTGTTTTCATCAAACAAAAATAACTTGCATTAATAACCATAAAAAAAAAAATAAAAAAAAATTTTTTTTTTGGCACTGTGTTTGCGTTTGAGAGCAGGATGGTGCAGCGAAAGTGGATTGGCACACGGTGGTGCAGCGCTTCCACCCTTGATTTGGTGCATCCCAGAAAAAGGTTGGGCATTCATTCAGACTACCAGGGAATACCCAATTAGCGAGTGTAATCTCGGCTACACGACGCCCACTGCTAACCGGAGATCTGCGGGGCATCCTTCTGGCTTGAAGGCATCAAAGCAACTGCGAGAGTGTACAGGATGGCAAACCCCGAGATTGGGTGGAAAAGAGTAAACACAGTAAGAGGGAGACAGAAAACTTTTGAAATATGAAATGCTCTTTAAAGGGGCACTGACACATCAAAATCTTTTTTTTTTTTTTTTTATTATACAAAGTGATTGAAAACGATGCCAGGACATTATCCGCAAAATTTGGAACTTGGGAATTCAGTATTCGTGAATTAAAAAAACAATTTCCAAATGTCGAATTTGAAGTTCCCGCGCGATCCGCACCAGTGCAGTGAGTCAAATTACGCGGTCTCCAGCGACCCATACTTTCTTTCGGACCTCCGCTTCACGCTACGAAGCAAAGCGCCGTTGCCACCGCAACCCGAAGCGAGGAGGATGTGAGCAGGCGGGATAGAAGGGCGCCGGCGTGGGAAAAAACCGGTTTCTTCCCCGACTCGTCGATCATCCTCTGCTCGTCGCTCGAGCGCCGCCAAGTTTTCCGAGGAAGGATACAAATCCAGGAAGCGACATCTCACCAAACTCTGATTTTTGGTATTTCAAAAAGAGGGGCTGTAGTGCGTTCGCAATTGCGTTAAAAAACATGTTTTACGATGCCGTTATTAAATGTTATAGAAATGTCGCCTACAAAAGCTTCTAAATTTCCTGATTTTTGACGTCGCAGATCAAAAGAAGCAAGGAGATGAGCGGCGGGAGATACAAATGCCAAAAATAAAAAGGCGTGCACGCGCGCAAGAAAATTTAGTTTCGTGATGCATTTTTTTTTTTTTGCGTGTCTATGACTACAACTTGCATCGTTTTAGACAATAAAGAAAATACGACCTTTGGGGTGTCAGTGCCCCTTTAATAGAATCCCTCCCAACCACAAATCCCCAAATTTTGTCAGTTGGTCCATCAATCTGTTTGTGCATTTTCTGCTAAATTTAGTGGGGAAGTTGACGTCGCGTGACCTATGCACCAAGAAGAGAGGTCATGTGACCTATACATCAATCCAGTTTCCCCGCTAAATTCACGTCTTGTGACTTAAACACTAATTCAGCTTCCCCGCTAAATTTAGTGGGGAAACTGACGTCCTGTCACATGACCTCTGCACCAATCCAGCTTCCCCATTAAATTTAGGGGGAAATTGACATCACATGACCTAAACACCAATTCAATTTACCCGCTAAATTTAGCGAGGAAATCGGCATTGCATGACTTACACCAATCCAGTTTCTCCAGTAAATTTAGTGGGAAAATATATATCCCGTGGCACTCCAATTCTCTCTCCTTCCTTTTCACACACCCCCCCCGGGGATGTCATTCCTGCCTTCCTCTCCCTCCTCCTTCCCCTCCCCCGATCTCTGGTCACATGATGCACCAATTCAGTTTCCTTGCTAAATTTTGTGGAGAAATTTATGTCACATGACAGTTCCCTCTCCTTATAATTGAAACAAATGCTTCTAAATATTGCATTTGACGCATTATAGGACTTTGTATATAAAGGTTGTTGCCATTTTTTTTTACTCTTTTCAACCTCAATCTGGTCTGCCATCATCTTCAATATAAGTACACCAGCTTACCTGCACTCTTAAGGTGTTCTTTGAGAGTGAAAGAGAGAATGCTTCCCAAGCAAAAATCAGTCCACTTCCAGCTGGATTATGGAACTGGAAATGAGGCAGTCCAGCTGGAATCCAGCTGGACTGCCTCATTTCCAGTTCCATAATCCAGTTGGAAGTGGACTGATTTTCGCCTGGGTTGCTAGACAGCCTATTGCATTCCAACACACCTGTTGTTGCAGAAGGGTAGAAGTAGTCCACCTGCGTGTCGCTCCAGCGACAGGTCTGCTCGTAGCTCACACGAAGCCTCTGCACCTTACGGGCGTGCCTGTCCCGAGACTTGAGGTTGGCAGACAGGCTCCACCTGCCTATCATGCCGCTGCCCGAACACTTGCTCACTGCAATGAAACAAAGCCACGACAACTGTTTCCGTTCGCAGGCGTCGGCTTTTGGTTGCCGTCGTCTAGAGACGGGGATCCGCGCTTCAAAGGGTTGAAACATGAAGAGATTCATTTCTAACGACTGAAGATGTCTTTTCAAGTCTGCTGTAAATGTATGGCACTTGAAGGGATGTTGTTTCTGCAATGGAGGCGACAGAGCATTTGAAATTTATTTGAAATGTATGGTCATCCCTTGCTGGGGTGAACGTATGTTTCGACCCAGGAATTCCGGCTATACTAGAATTTGCCAAATACAGTGGCCGCAAACTAGTGATGGAAGCAGCATTTGAACCTTTTAGTAGCAGGTTCTGTAGCATTCAAAATACTGGTATAGAGCAGCCGCTGACGCTTTTAAAGCAAATGAAAATGAAAAAAAAAGTGATTGCATATCTAAATGAGTTTGTGATAATGATTGCCAGTTCCTCTTTGATACTAGAGCATATAACTTATCACATTTTGTGCTAAAAATAAATAGGATGCAAAAGAAACAGCCTTCTTTTTTTAAAAAAAGGGCTCTGTCAGAGCGGGGTCCCTTTGAAACGGGTACTAAAAATGATCGAAAAATAAATCATAGCCCAAACCTTCAGTGCAGCAAAGCCTCCTTCCGATCCCCGTTCAAACACTCGGTAGTTTAATTGGCCTGTAAATATAATTTCTGCAAAATGCCAGCAAAAACCAGCATATCCGCTACACCAATAAAAACGTGCCCCCAAGTTTTATGAACCTGCCAAACTCAAAACTCTAATATAAAAAAACTACAATAACAACCACTGACAAATATTATAAAAGTCTACACTTGTGCTATAAATGTGACATTGCTCTTCAGGTGCACTGGAACTAGTGTTAAATCAAAGTTTGCTGCTGGTTTATTCGACAGCTGCACAAGAACTACAGTATTTACTCAAATATAGAGACCAGTGTTTTTTGTTTTTTTTTTCCTTATCTTTTTTTTCCGGCTGTTTCCTTCTTTTAATTATTATTAGATATTAATCTGTAATGAAGACAAAGAAGGTCAATCCGTAATAATCCGGAGAATGAATTCCGTGCCTATTGCGCTAACCCTCCAACAGGTCAGTCGCTGCTCCTAGCACTCCGGTGTAAAGCAGTGAAGCCCAACGCATGCACGCTCATATGTGGTGAGATGTAGTGAAGGTTGACAGGAGCGGCGCAAGTGCCACGGTACTCTGCAGTCACGGCACGAAGGTGTGTGGCACACATGATAATCGAGTGATTTCACCAGGAGCACAAGATCCTGGTTCTGTCTCATCACAGCATACCACCATCTTACTATTTTGCAAAGTTTTCTCGAGACTTTTAGTTCCTGACCTCGCAGACATCGTCTGGTAATTTAGACAATGTCGACGATCAACTGGCCAGCGCATCAATCGGCCAGAGCGATTGACAAACAATCCTAATGCTTAGTTTCACCTGAAGGCGACGCTACAGCTGACTCTACGAGTTAATGGGACCAATTAAACAGCATAAAAGCACGACATCACGGCATTCATCTCCCTGTACATGTTTTTTCATCGGCTAAACCAATCGAGTGCAATGAATGCCCCATGACTCATGCTTTTAGTATGTGTGTTCAAGGTTGTATGCGTTGGAGCTTTCGATTGTGCTCAGACCTAAGATGAAACAAATTATATGGCGAGCAGAGACGTCATGAAATATATTCATACCCTTTTTCTTTTTTTTTCTACTTTTCTAAATATTAGGGCCGACCAAAATATGAGCAAAAATGACGCTTTGGCACAAGATGTAGCAGACTTTCGTTCATGGCGCAATCTGGCGCAAATGGCACAGCACTTCCATCAGTGCCGCGAACATGTCCCATGTACCCGATTCGTGAAAAACTGGGGTCGCGAAAATGAAGAGTTTTACAGTATTAGGTATAGCCTCCGAAAGATGATGAAACGCATGCCTTAGTCCCAATAAAATGAATTGTTGGGTTAGTTGGTCAAACATTATGGACACAAAACAGTCCTAAGGACAAGGACTAGTAGAGGAAGTGGACAGGATGGACACTTCTTCTACTAGTCCATGCGTCCACTTCTCCTAGTCCTCGTCCTTAGCGCTGTTTCAAGTCCATAATGCTTTGTCCCAACTCGCCTTGTAGATTATCATACTATACTCGTGAACAACTTTCTGCAGCATTTCAGAAGTGAAGGGTGTGCGTGCATAGCTTTAATCAGCGCTCGACATGCACAAGTGCCCGTGCACTCGTAGTTTTGACTGCATAGCCACAGAAAGTTGTCCACGAGTTCAATACCCCAGTTTTACAGCCGATTTGTGACTGCACACTGTCAGCGAGCGCGGCTGGAGCACACTTACCGACTATGTCGTCAGATGTCAATACCAAACCATCGACAACCGGTTCTCTTTCTACACGAATTCCATCTTTTCCAGGCAGCTCAAATTGCACGCAAGGAGATCTGTATAGAAAACAAAGAGGTTGCTCTGCTTTCCAGTACATTTTGAAATATATAATCTAAATGCCAAACCTAGCTTTGACCAAGGCAGACGTATACAGGCATTGCTTATAGTAGAGAAACAGAAGTTTTGCTACCATCATTTCTTTACATTCAGAAGTCAAACAATGCTGCACAAAGTAGAACATCACACACAAGCTCATACCAATATATGCCCATCAACCCGTCCAACGGCTGTCAGCGTCTACACAAATATTGTCACGAATGACAATTGATAAGGCGATAGGGTTGCCACGTGCCCGGTTTTTGACCGGCCCGGCCGGTTTTTTAGACAGCAGGCCGGTTGCCAGTCCGTATAGGTAAGACCGGCCGTCACTGGCCGGTTTTTTGACAGCCATCGAAGCGCAATTGCTTTTAGCTTATTTTGTTTTTCCGTTTTTAAGCGACAAGTTAACAACTACAATGATAAATATTTGTCGACGAAAAAAAAAAAAGTTTAAAATTACACAAACACTGTGAGGACACGTGATTAGAGGAGGTGTGCGGGCAAGCGTGGCAGAACTCCCTGAGACAGGGGGGAGAAGAGGGGTACGGTTAACACAAAACGAAATGACCACCGGGAGCGCGATGGAAAGCAGGAAAATGAGGGAAAGCGAGAAGACGCCGGCGGACAACTCGGCAACAGGCCCTCCCGATAGCTGAGCCTTCTGGCAGGTGTTGGCTTTCTTAACGATTGTCGGCATCTTGACAAGGACACGCACGGCGCTTCATCCGTCCACTGTGACGGGCGGCGTATGCGCTTTCCCCTTCCACTACACATGATGTAATATTGTTGTTGTTACCTTAAATCCTCGTCGTTTTTTCCCCTCCCTCTTTGTTCTCCATTTAATTGTTTAAGTGCCAAGACCAGAGAAACGCGCCGACGATGTCTAGGAAGAGCTGACCGTCTCTCGCAGCTGTTGTCACTTTGTTGGCTGCCTGTGTCCCAAAAGTAACCTTCCCTTCCCTTCAGACCTCCATAGTTGTTTTTCTTTTGCTCTCACTCGGACTGCAGGTGACGTCACTTTGGGCTCCTTCAATGGTGAAACAGGTTTTCATAGCGTCAACCGGTTTGCTCCTAGGTTGATGACGGCAGCATACTCGCAGAGGAAGTCCATTCCGAGAATAACGTCCCTCGCACAGTCTTGCAGGACGACGAACTTCACAGGGCACGTTTCACCGCGAATCTCGACGCGAGCAGTGCATCGGCCGACTGGTGTGATCAGGTGCCCACCGGCGGTTTGTATTTGAGGGCCTTCCCACGGCATTCACTTTTCGCAGGCGGCGAAAGAGCCTCCCACTCAAGACTGAGTAGTCTGCTCTGGTGTCCACGAGTGCCGATGCGTCGTGGCAGTCGATAATAATGTTTAGGTTGTTGGACACTGATGCAGGGACGTCGTTGTGATGAGAAGCGTCGAGAGAGTGGGAGTGCTCTGGCGTCCTTGCAGGCTCTTTACTACGGTCGTCTTCGGCAACGCCACCTCCAGGCGTTGCCGCACTTAGTTTTCCCGACGAGATAGGGGGGACAGGCTGTACTGACGAAAGCGGCGGAAGGCTGTACCGACGAAAGCGTCGTGGCGAAGGCGAACGGGAACCTCGGGGTCGAGTTGGCACCGGGGACAGGGGTCGTCAGAGGTATCCCTCAATGTCACGAGGGCGTTCGCCGTAACTTGGGCGAGGGTCATTCGGCGCGAACCCTCGTAGGCTTGTTTGACGGCATGGGCACCTCCGGCGGACGTGGTCGGCCTCACAGCAGTGGTAGCATGGTCGCCTGTCGGCCGTCCGCCACACGACTGTCTTCCTCAACGAGGGTTGCTCCGGACGGACGTACTGGACCTGTCCTTCCTGACGCCGAGGATACTGCGGCATCAGAGGGTCTCGTCGGGGTGGTGCTGTGGCCTAGCGGTTAGCTTGCGGCGGTCGTCAGGCCATGGCAGCGTAGCTCAACGTTGGTTCCTCTGGCGTCGTCGTGTTGGTGGAAATTTCAGGCTGGACGGCTCGGTGAACCTCCTCTCGGACAACCTCGGCGGGCGATAGTGAGGACGGGCTATCCGCAGCGGGGAGCATCTTGCGGAGCTCTTCCCGGACGACTTCACGGATGATGTCGCGAATGCCGGTGATGCTAGGGCTGATGTCGTGGCCCAATGTAGAAGCAGCAGCGATGCTCGAGTGCCGATGGTAGTGGCTGGCTCTTGCGAGGAGGGCACGTTCCATGTTCGTGGCTTCCTTGACGAAATCTTTGACAGTGGCTGGAGGGTTGTGAACAAGACCACCGAAGATGTCATTCTTTACGCCTCACATCAGGATCCGCAGCTTCTTTTCGTCGGTGGTTTGGGGGTCGGCGCGAGCGACCAGGCGCAGAACATCCTCAACAAAACTGGTGATCATTTCGTTTGCGCCCTCGGTCCTCATTCGAAAAAGGTCCTCGGCCCTCTCCCGTCGGTACAGGTTGGTGAAGGTCCGTCTCAGCGCATCCTTGCAGGCGGTCCGCGAGGTCAGGGAAGTTTCGCGATTCTCGAACCAGTGCCGGGCGGTTCCTTTGAGCGCGAAGTAAAGACTCTGTAGGCGCTGTTCTTCCGTCCATCGGTCGTGCTGGGCCACTCGCTCGTACTGCTGTAGCCAGTCCTCGACGTCTTCATAGGGCTCACCATGGAAGGGCACGGGCGTACGGGCGGCGACGGGTGAAGCGGTCATCCTCGCGGTCTTCTTCTTTGGTTTCTGTGGCAAGGGTTCAAATTCCGGGGATTGGCATTGGTACGGCGGCTTGCTCGGGCGTTGGCGTCTTCTGCGAAGGGTAGCCTTCCGGGGCTGAGCACCACTTGGCCGGGATGTCTTCGGAGGGGTACGCTCCACGGGCATAGAAAGCTCTACCCCGCACCTCCACCAAAAATGTCACGAATGACAATTGATGAGGCAATGATAACTGAAGAAATTAAATTTTTAATGGGGCGAACTTGTGCCTAAAAATAAAAAAAGGGAACAGATGAAAACAGAGAGTGTCGCGGGCGTCGAAGTCGGCGTGAGAGCAGAGTCGAACGCGGGGGCGAAAACTGACTGCAGCTCGCCACGCGGAGCCCCTTATGTACACGCGTGGGGTTCTGGAAGAATCGGCATAGAAGGTTCTGCGTGTAGAACATTCTGACCTCGAACAAGCGACACGGTTTTTGAATTTACCGGAACATTACGTCAGAGTCTGCAAAAATGTTTCCCTGCGGCAAGGAATCGAGCCCTGGCTTTCTGCGTGGAAGGCGCGTGCAATAATTATTAGGCCACGAGCGCGCTGCCTGCTTGGTCAGCTGTGCTCGCGGCAATATGTAGCAGCACGCTGCCTTAGACAGTCACCTGTAACAAAAGTCATGACACCAACAAAACTAACACCTGGTGATAAAAGTGCAAAGCTGTGATTTGAGCCACACCTGGAGTCATCAAACAGTGAGGATTAAGTATACCGAAATCTCACAACCTCAAGTTTATAAGCCAACGATCCTCGCTGATAGGAAGGGGCACGAACAGTCAACGCTGTAAAAACCTGAAATAAAGCTAAACATTTTCCCCAACGGTTCCCAGACTTCCCACGCCTCCCTCAAGTTTCCCTACAGGATCCCCGACGTTTTTCCTCGGGGTTGGGTACCTCCACTCTCTGGCATGCTCCCCTCCCTTGCAGCAGGCACTTCACCTGTCAGTCTTCACGAGGGAACCCTCGTCAAAGTCCCATGCAAAGAGTCCGCCGTGGCAGGCCGCCAACAACAACCGATGCTTGCTGCTCACTTGAAGCTGCAGGATTTCGTACTTGGGCAGTAGCGTCAGCAGTTTCCTGCCAAAAAATGTGTGCACACATTACGGTATGTTTTACATTTAAATGACTGGCTTCGCGGAACATACTCGACTTTGGTGCTGTAGCTGGGAACTGTCGGGGCTCCAATGTCCCACAGGTGGATCGTGTCATCCGTGCTGCCACCTGTCAAGCGCAACAGAGAACGCAATGGGGATATAACTCAATATGGTTCAGCCATCACCATAAGTGAACTCGACTTTTAGCAAAATGTTACGCATGATGCCATTGCACCGTGAGTGAGTGAGAAAATGCTTAACTGATTAAAAGAAAGAAAAAAAGGGGGAAGGGGGCGTGCCTGCAACCCTTGGCACTGGAGGTTGTTCCTACTTCCTACTTCTCCCCCTTCCCTTCCCCTTCCCTTCCCCCCCCCCCCCCCCCCCCCCCAAGAAATATAACTTTCGTGGCGCGAAATGTAAGCTGAATGAGGTATGTGCTCAGTGGCAAAGCCACCGCAATGGCCACTGATGCGATGTCGATGCACGCCACGTGTACTCCCATGCAGACTGGCGATCTTTCAATATACTTACAAGACAGCCATCTGCTCCGCCTTCAAAGTTGCTTCACACCTCCAAAAAGAACACACCTCCAAACAAGGCAACCTTCCACTGCATTGGACCACACATGAGGATTAATCTCGGGATAAATGGTCCCTCAGACTAAACCTCCCGAGCTGCACTGTGTCTGTGTAGTCATACATTAGGGGACTACACTAGGCTTGCAATAATTCACACTTGGATATTTCATACTTCTGGTTAATTCAAACGAATTTAAAAATTTTTCTTGTCCCGCTATGTTTTAGAGCGCAGCTCTTAGGGGCCCGTTTCCGGCTTGAGCGGCGTCGGCGTCGCCGTTGGCGTCGCCGTCGGCGTAACCGCGCGGTGCATCATGGGAAATGTCCCATAATGCACCGCGCGAGCCCCCCACCGGGGTCACGTGACCTCGTGGGGGGGGCTCGTGACCCCCCCGAGGTCACGTGACCCCGGTGCATCATGGGAAATGTCCCATAATGCACCGCGCGAGCCCCCCACCGGGGTCACGTGACCTCGTGGGGGGCACGTGACCCCCCGAAGTCACGTGACTCCCCTGAGGTCACGTGACCCCCGCCGATGTCGCGTGACCCCCCAATGACGTCATCGTCACTGATGACGTCACCGGCATCTACATCGTCATCGTCATCATCACTGATGACGTCATCATCACTGATGACGTCACCGGCATCCACATCGTCATCGTCATCACTGATGACGTCATCAGTGACGTCACTGATGTCGTCACCGGCATCCACATCGTCATCGTCATTGATGACGTCACCAGCATCCGCATCGTCATCGTCATCATCACTGATGACGTCACCGGCATCCGCATCGTCATCGTCATCATCACTGATGACGTTACCGACATCCGCATCGTCATCGTAATCATCACTGATGACGTCATCAGTGACGTCACTGATGTCGTCACCGGCATCCACATCGTCATCATCACTGGTGAAGTCATCAGTGACGTCACTAATGACGCCATCGGTACCCGCATCGTCATCGTCACTGATGACGTCATCAGTGAAGTCAGTGATGACATCATCGGCATTTGGGGGTCACGTGACCCCCAAGGTCACGTGACCCCCCTGGTTAGTTGAACCCCCCCCAGTGCCCTTCCCTCCTCCTCCTCAAGAGCTGCGCTCTAATTCGGCGTTACAGGGAGTTGTAAGCGGCTTTCACTTTTTTAATGCATTAATAAGCTGCTTAATTCGAGCGGAGTTTTCGCCTAATTCACACTTTTTGTTCTCACGGCCCCGTTGAGTGTGCTTCTTCCCGAACACCGGTGCACTGCAGAGAGGAAACACACGCAGAGCTTGCTTCCGCGAATGTGGCTTCTCCGCAGTGCACCGATGGTCAATGAAAAGTGCACTCAACGGGGCTCAACCAAGCAAACATGAGCTACGAAAACGAGCACCACCCGGAAATTTCCATAACTTGCGCGGACGCTGTGACGTGGCGGCATGGCATAGGTCCACGTGACAGCGTCTGAGCGAGTCTGTGCGAGGTGCTATGAAAACTGCCGCTCAATGCCTTTTTCATCGCTCACACATCCCGTGCATTAGACAACTTCTTGGTATGATGAACAAACTTAATTTTGCTTTGAGTTGTCATGTGCTGTCTAACAGTCCACAATAAGGAACATTTTTGAACAACTTATGTCATACATTTCACAAATATTTCATGCGTGGTTTACCTGCTTATGATCAGTAGGCCTATGCAGAGGAAACCCTTACAGTGAAAGAAAAAGAAGACCCTATACCTGCGTGTTTTCAAAATAAGAAAGTTAATCGTCAGTGCCTTGTTCTGCGTGTATTTCTCTCCTCTTTGTCCTTGTGTTTCGCGCTGTTTTTCATCATGAATGAATACCAACTAGCCAACTCTCCGTTCTATTAAATATCTGCTTTGTATGTGTAGCCCTTCATATGGGAAATCATAATTTTAGCTTGCATCATATTTAGCTGAATTTCTGATAACTCATACTTCCGATAATGCAAACAAAAATCCTTGACTTCCTGGAGTTTGATTTAACGAGAGGCTACTATATTGAAAGAAAAGTCCTCGTTTGCACGCAATATGTTCTCTGCAGATTACACAGGGGACCATAATACATGACAGTTCTCAATTATTGACCACTTGCTCCTACACCGGCATTCGTTACTGCTTGTCGGCCAATGCACTATTGCCATTTAATTAAAAAGAGGAGGTACATCCAATCAAGCCCTAATTGGGGACCCAACGTTTCAAGGCCTCCTTGTCCTCTTCTTGAGGAGTGACTGAGGTAATGGCTGTTAAGAAACAATGTTTTTATTTTTTTGGCTTTGTGTTTTTCCACGGTGGTGCATTTCTCATTGGGTTGGTAACATCGTAAACCCCATTACATAGACTGTTTTCTGCAGTGTCGAAATGATCTGGGGGCTGGCAACTCACTGAAGAGCCAGGTGGGGTGTTGGGGGCAGAAGGTGAGGCAGTTGATGTGCTTCTTGTGAGCGTCGAACGAGTGGTAGCAGACGAGCTGTTCTGGATGAATCAGGGACACCTGGCACGCCTTTCCCGCCACGGCCAGCACCGCACTGGGCCGGCCCTCGATAGGCAGCACACTCCATGCCAGACAAAAGAACTCCTGTGACGCGGTTACGCAGAAATGTCCGGCTTTAACTCGGGGGACGCACTAAAGAGAATGAAGATATAGTTCATTCTATATAATGAGATAACAATCTGGTTCAATTACAATGTCCTCCTTTGTGTCACTACTTTTTGTAGTTCGATTTTAAAGTGCGGCTGCGATTTATTGCGTCAACAACTTACGTCCGCATGTTCTTTAACGCTTCACCGAGATGTTTCACAATGTGCGGAGTAACAAAAGTGCAGAGTCAGCTTTGTTCGCTCACCTCTTTGGGATTTGAGTGCCTGTAGCGCTTCACGACCGTGCCCGTGCTGCAGTCAACGAAGTTCACAATCCTCCCGCCACAAGTGGCAAAAACACTCTGCGACGTCCCTGCAACACAAGCGATGGCAGCAGTGTGATCAAATAATATACTAATAATAGGGAAGACTGCACCATGACAGTCAGATATGCGCTGCTAAGACATGGTTTATATTAAACATTCTAATCATAAACTTTTTTAATTTCACTCTTAAAAGGGAGATGCAGGGGAAAGAAGAAAACAAGAAAACTACATGTCAGTTTTTTCACAAACAGACGGCTTAGCATAACACATGGAATTCGTAATGGGCAAATAAGAAAAAAGGATGCACGTAGTTTGCAACTTATTCAAGTCATGCCCCACTAATGACAAACAAAAATAAATACAGGCTATGAAATTTACAAAGGCAGGTTTTCCGAACAACGGCATTGAAAGTCTCCAAACAGCGTGGACACCACAAGATATATAAATTAAAAACAAACAAGCAAGGATGTGCAAGTTCTTCATAAACTGCGTTCCATGTTTTCGGTATAGACCATTTTCACGTAACCTCATACCAGCGTGCAAGTGATGCACCCTCGACCCGGTGCATTTTTGGATTGTCCGCTGACCAGTGTTGGGTAAAGTACATCTCAAAACTACATGAAGTAAAGTACAAAGTCAGTGAGAGGTTATGTACTTCAAGTAAAGTAGAAAGTACATTGGACACAATGTACTTGGAAGCAGAGTATTATTATTAACCCCTTGCCTGCTAATAATCAGCGTCACTCGTGCCTCCCCTTATGGACCATAAAGCCCTACCATGAGTGCGACTCGCAGTTCGGTTTCAGCACTTGTTTAGCGCGCTCTCTGGCAGATGGCTAAACCACCCCTGTTGCTCCATTTACCTTGGGCAGTTTGCTCGCTTGTTGTGCCGTTTGACAGACAAATAACGCTCCTTTTTAACCAAGAAATAAAAAAAAAAAAACGCATGCGAGCGTTTACGCTAAAACAACATGGCTTTGGCGCGGAAGTCCAGCTTAGCCGACAGAGGTACAAGACCTGCTTTTTGATTGGGATTAATGCTCAGGCACATGTGACGACGGATCCTTTGGCCTTTCCAATTTTTAGAAATCAGACGATAGTTAGGTGGGCAGTGACAGAAGTGATGAAAACTATTTGAATCCTGCAAGCATTCCAACAACTTCGGCGCCTGCACGTCAGTGGGACTTGGACCAGACGTCCTGATGTAGAGCAAGATATGACACCTGGAAGTCGAGGAAATATATTTGCCTTATTTTATTGCAAATTGCCCGCTTAAAATAAAATTTAGCTGCATGTTCCTTGAAGAAAAAAATGAGTGGGCAAGAGGTTAATACAATGTACTTTCAAAGTAAAGTACACATACTTTTCAACACAACCTTTCGAGATGCCCTTTCATTCCTTTATGGTTGTATGGATGCTTTGCCCTGGGGTAATCGGAGGTGCATCGGTTATTTTCGGAAATGGCGGCAAATATTGGATAAAGTCAAGTGACCACGTAGTAGTTGTTTTAATCTTGCCAACAAACTATATAACACAATCAACTTTAAGGGACTTATTTGTCCACAAATCATTGTTTTGCGATACAAAATTAACAAGATCAAATTTGGGGAATGTACTTTCAAGTCAGGAACTGTACTTTCCGCAAAAAGTACCAGAAGAAAATACTTAAAGGGGCCCTGCAATCATATTTAAGCGTGTACCTTTTTTGCGGTTTCCAGGTCTTTTGGGGTTCGGGCAAGCCTGCGGGCACGGAGAGAGTAACTAAACATCAGTGCGTCATATTTTAACCGGACGACGCGGAAACCTCCTCCACCTACGAGGGCGACCCGCGTTGGCGAAAGCGCGCGATATGTGACGTCTTTGGTCCTGGGCTTACTACTGGTCAGAACCGCTAAAATCTTTTTTTTTTTAGTCGAGATACAAAATACAAGTGTCGCAAACCGTTTCAATTATGTATGGAAGTAATTTTTGTTCAGTATTTTAGATCAGAAAAGAAACAAATGCAGTTTATAAAGTACGGAAACAAGAAATGACCCGTCGACATACCCACCACCAAGCGGCGGAAAAAACGGCGCATACTAGAAAGGGCTAGTGGGATGAGGCGCCGACAAACGGCGTGCGTAGAGAGGTCCCAGATCTACGCGTCGGCGCTGCGGTCGTATGGACAGGAGGATCCGACCGGTTCCGAGCGCTCCGAAGGCCTTCGGCGAGAAGCTTTCCCTTGCGGTTTGGCCGTTTCGCGGTATGGCAGCGCGAAGTGGATCCCATTCTGAACTGAGATTTACCCCGTGTTTGCTGTCGTTTGTGGCCAATGAAGTGTTATGTTGAATTAGCCTTTAATTGTGCAGCAAATGCAATGCGAGCCGCCCTGACCGCCCGCTTCATACAGCCTATCCAACACGTGCTTTAGTGGCGCCTTCTCGAGCCGTCGACACGGAGTGCGGCAGCCGTGAGCGCTCAATGAGTTCACTATCCCTCGTCTAGTTCACGGCCACTCAAGCCAGGACCTACGACGTCATGAAGGAGGTTATTTTTTGCTTGTTTTTGGAATTCTAATTTGTCTATAACTTTTAAAATAAAGCAAATTTTGAGAAAAGAAAAGTATCATTAAGTTACTACATTCAGTGCGCTTAAGATCGGCGCAAAATAAAAACCAGTCAAAAAGTTGTTGCAGGGCCCCTTTAAAGTAACGCACAAGTTTTCTAAACCTACTTGAAGTAGTAATTTAAGTGCACTGTACTTAAAGTGCTTCCCAACACTGTCGCTGACACAGGGTACGCAATCGCCAAGGGTACGGGTGAAAAAGCTTAGAGACGGACGTCATGCGAGAGTTAGTTCCGAGTGTTGATTTTTATCATGTTACTATTTCTGAAAATCGATGGTTGTATGGCTATTATTGTGTCGTCGTCAGGTGCACAAATAACTTTATTAAGCATAAGAACAATCCCGGAAAGTGTGTGATGAGCAAAAGAAGCTGCAGTGCGAGTGTGGCTGCAATGTTATTGAGCTTCACACGTTCCCCATTGATTCTTATTTATTAAGTCGGTCGACTGTCAGTGTGAATTGCGAGGGCTTTTTATCATACTTATCGTCATGTTTAGGCTAACGACTACTTCATCTAAGGCAACAAGACCAATTCCAACCCTGTGTCAATGCTTTGATTGGGTTATCACTGCAAGCTATATTATCACAAAAAGGTATGTGAAGGGCATGAAAACGTCTGCACACCACCGTCTTGTCCTCGTTCTTTCCAGGAGGCAAGCTGACGGCCCATCATTAGTCAGCTCGATTCAACTGGCCAAGTTCAAGCCATACCGACCACAGCCAAGTCTAGCCAAGTACCCCCCACCCACACTGCTGCCTATGCAGACAGTTGCGCTATTACAACTAGCAGGCATTTCAGGTTTCAAGCCGCTCGACGGTGGCGGTGCGACTCTCAAGATGGCGTTTTGACACCATCGCAGCCTCTGTGCAAGAAGCAGACGAACTTGCACTCCGCATAGCGTTGCTAACTCGGTCGTCTGCGAACAAGCCCAACCTTGACCTTGGCAAGTTTTTTTTCTTTCATTTTTTTACAGCAAGAGAACTGTGCCTTGAAACTTCAGACGGTGCACTTGACCTGGTCAGAGCACATTTGGCGAAACTTTTAACTTTCCATGTGCAGGCGCCGATTTTTCCGGCTCGTTTTACAGCAAAAGGTTTGCTTGGGACACCCATATGAATTCGGTCCCTATGCATGTACCCTGGAGGGTAAGAAATTCCACACACTCCTCCTGTCTTCTTCAACAGAAGCCTCTGTGAACGCCGTTATTTTGTCCGCCTAAAAAGACAGAATTTATAGAAAATAAACCGTCCTCCAAAACAATTGGAATATGAAGAAAATGTAATGTAAACTTTGGAAATGCGGAACCCTACTGATAAGAAAACTGCCAGCGCACAAAGTTGAGAAAGAGAGATGCACCAGTGCAGGCTCACCCATAGCGGCGTGGGTCGGTTCAAAGCCAGCTTGCCAGACTTGGGTGCCGGAGTCATTTGGATCCAACGAGTGACAGCGCAGGAATGCAAACACTTTAGCTCCTTTTATGGTACGCTGAAAAGGCAGCATGAGAAAAATATGGAAACTTACAAAAGCATTTCTCAAAAATGGCCTCCTACAGAGCAGTGATCCTGAAATGGGGGTCCGCGGAACCTTGGGGGTCCGCGAAGGCATGCCTTATCAATCAAGCCCGGTAATAAAAGTTGTCTTTTTTTAAGATTAAGAAGAAACATTAAAATTTTTGGGTGAGTTTTTTTGTGGGTATGTCATTGAGAAAAGTCTACTTCACACTATCCCTTAGTTATATCAAGTTATTAAATAATTATTATAATTAACCTATACCTTCCCCTTTACCTCACCAGAAACGGGGTCCTCCATCATCTCTGTTGACCCACAAGGGGACCGCAAATTATCAGTGGTTGAGAACCACTGCTACAGAGCATTTATTGTCGTTGTCCCCTTAATTTTGCAGCTCTTTTTAGGGTTTCAGAATCTAGTTGTCTTCTTTTTATATTGTCCCTGTCAGTTAGTTTCTATCTTTTGCAATACATAGGCATGAAAGGGCAGAGTATGGCGAGTATATCGAAGCACTTCAATTCAAAATCCAGGGTCGAACGAGTTAACATGCATGATGTTTCCTGTTGCATGGCATCGAGGTTACCTGTTGTTGTTATAATCAGCATGACCCATATGAAAGTAATATTGGGACAGGAACTAATAATTTTATTTTCCTTGATGCTAAGAAATATTTAGAAGAAACCCTTGCGGGTTCAACCATAAACCAAAGTGATCAACAATGATTTCAAATACTAATCCTCTCTCATGCAAAATATGGTGGACCTAATACTTTTTAGCATTAAAACGTCGGAGCACGTAGAGCGAAAGCTTGCGCTGCAGAACAATCCAATCCCCAAACCTGCCCATTTCGATCTGGATGAGCATCGTACTGGCGTGCGGTCGTGTATCACTACTGCGTGGTGCATGTTAAAGACCCCAGGCTAGCAGTCGTACTGCACTGGCTAAATTGCTCAACTACAGCAAGTGACTTGTCGCAACTTTGAAACTACTCGCTGTATAAATATCCACACAACCACTTTTTAGCATTAAAAAGTGGAGTAAAGGCTGAAATTACCGTTGGACACCATTTAAGGACAAAGGAACACAAGATCACATAAAAAAACACCGTTTTCTGAATACAGGACACTTTAATTTGTCGGCAGTTGGCCGAAACAAAGAAAGCGTATGTATGTACCATAATATCCCAAGTCATCGCCCATGCCCCTGCCACCTGAAATTCATAAAAAAATTAAAAAAAATGGGGTGGGCCATGTTTTGGTGGGTAAACACAAAGTTTAGAAAAAGCAAAAAAACAAAAACGCCCGTTTTCTGTACATATCTAGCACAGCTGCGCAAAAGATACATTAAATTCAAAACTTGAATTAGTTGCATCGTTTTGAGCAAGAAATGGTCATGAAGGAATGTTTTACTATCGCAATGTTTGTTGCTTGCATACGAGCGATGAACACCGCCGATCGGCGTACCGCACAAACAGTTGTTCCGTGAAAGCATGTTTCTAACACCGCTATGTTCTTTTCATTAGTATAAAAAAAGAAAAAGAGTCAACAAGGAAATAGAAAAAATCAACCAGGTGCAGAGAGTGAGCGAGTGGGCAAAAGAAGTGACGAAGAGCGATGCTAGGGGAAACGGGAAAGCTGGCAATTGCATTGGGCATATATTTTAGCAGTGGGCCAAGTTGGTCGCCTTGTCAATCACAAAGAGTGGGCTCTTCTGCAACTTTCTTGTTTGGTGCATACAAGCGTGCGTCTGTACACCACGTGCTATCAACGCGGGTTGAGGCGGCGGCGCTGTGTTGCGTGGGCGGCGCCACAAACACAAAGCTCTAAGCGGGACGCTTTGCTGGAATGTCTCTGTGCAGCGCTCCAGCAAATCTTTTATTTACCTGTTGGCTTTATCGCAAACATTGCACAACATGACCAGCCGCGGTTGCAATGTCCTGGGAGGAGCGGGATCGCAGTGACCTTATTTCGATAGAGACGGACCTTACACTCTGGGATATGGGGCGCTCGCTGACCTCGCAATTCCTGAATGGGTTACTGCTTGTGTTATCTTTCAGACGTCTTTTTTTTTGTCCGACTGAACTCTTTTGCAAGCAGAACTAAGTTTTATTCTGTTGTTTCTATCGTTTTCCTTTTGCACGCATGTACACCGACTTTGGGGTCGCAAAAATCGGGGAAGAAATGTGTAAACAGAGAAGCGCCTTTCCCTCCTTCGTTTTACTTTGTCACGGACGTCCTCCAACTGCAATGTCCGCGGCCGCGTCATGCGGGTAGGATGAACGCTCACGGATCGTGAAGTCTGCTGTTGGAGTATCTGTCAAGGTGGGCGATCACTCCGTGTTTTTTCGGAAATCGATATTCGCCCAAAAAGAAAGGTGAGTGATGACTCGGGATATTACGGTAGTTAAACCTCTTTACGGTCAAGTGTCCGATAGACCCTTTACAAAATTTTTCAAACACCAAAAAGCACACTGACATTGTAGTTTCTCATGCAAGAGAAAGACCCAAAGCAAATAGCTCTTCGCAGATGCAAAGCTGTTTCCAGATACACTTCCTGTTTACTTTAAATTTCTACCACAGAAAAGGCCAAAACATGCTAGTTATGTGCAAAGTGATGCTTCCATGCTTATCACTGCTAAAGAACTTGCACTATTCAAGCACTAAAAATTCCTTTCACTAAAGCCATGGACTGCGTAGAATCACAGCTGCAAAGAACATTGCCCTTCACCTTGACCTTCTGACGAGCATCTTCTTTAGAAAATGCTTTTTGTAGGCTCTTTCTGGGTGCTTTTGGAGCTTGAGCTTCCAGGGCCTTGACCTTTTTCGTCGGAGAACATTGTAGTTCACAAGTATTGGATGTGGTGGAAGAACCTTTGCTCGAGAGGTAGGCTTTCAACGGGGTCGTCTCTTTCCGATTGCCGTTGGGGCATGACCGCTTCGTGGGGGATGCAAGCTTGGAAGGAGTTGAACTCTCCTTTGGAGTCGATAAAAGCTTGTGGGAAACTCTGGGAGATGAAACCAAACTTGCGCCACAGACTTCGGCATTCTTCCTGGGAGTTCTCAGCGAGCGGTTTTTAAGCTGAGAGACCTTTTCTTTGAAGATCTCTTCTCCAAGAGACTCGACCTGCAAACGCAAATAGATCTAGGTTTAGCCCAAAGCATATCCAAATGTTGTCATCTCGCATTTTAAATAAAGTTTCAAACTGTTTCTTCTTTTACCCCAAAATTACTTGGAAAGGTTATTTCTAGCATAGACTGTGACAATAAAAAAAGCTCCGAACCACTAGACATATGCCAGTGAAACCTGTAAAACACTTTTACACGGACTGCAGGGTTTAGAAACTTTTTGGCAGTCATGCTGACCTCATCAGCCCATTGACCTAGATGGCACTTAAAATATATAGTAAAAGCCTTATATAGACGAGTATATTCTAACAAGGTCTGGATTCATTGTAATTTTCATAAAAATTGTCATAGTTCGTAAAAATCAGGATTATATCATGATTAGTGGCAAACGCTATGCATAAGTGATGACTTGAGGACTCTGCTACCTCATACAAGTTTGACTGCTAACAGCCTAAGCAGTTAAACGGTGTGGCATTTGAACTGCTATTAAACAGTAGCACAAACAGGACAGAGTCAGAGTTGCAGACCTTAAACTTCTTGAACTTGGGCGGGAACTCGTTGCACTCAACGTTTGCTCGACGTAGCTGCCTCAGAAAGTCTTTCTTGAGCACAGCTACGTCATCGTCACTCATGTCAGGACCCAGCCTGCCTTGAAAGTAGACCTCCCACATGCTAGCGATCTGTGGGAAAAAAGGAAGTAAACTGATGCAGCCCTCGCTGAAAATTTCTGGGTCACCGGATGTCCGCTCGACTACAGATCATTTCACTAGGAGACCTCTGGGCGGTGCCATTTTGTTCGAGTACAGCGCCACCTACCGTATTTTCTCGTCCATAGTCCGCAGACTATATAGTACATTGTTTAAAAGTTAATCTTTTGTGCTGTGCAAACTATATATATTTTTTTTTGTTTTTTTTTAAGGTTGATATTTGACACTGTGCGTTTTATGCACAACCTGTTTTTACTAAATGTTGATATTTAATGACGTGCGGATTATACACAAGGTCATTGCTTTTGTTTTCTGTTGCAACGGAACAATGAAACAAGGTCATACTGGCACTGTGTTTCCCTTGCCCTTAGACGAAATTGGCGCCTGTGGACTATACATCGGGTGCAGACTATCTAATGGTGAATTCCACTCGCTGATCTTGAGCGCTCCAAAAGCGCTCCACTTGGAGCGCGCATATTCCGCTCGGAGATCTGGCTCAAGTTGGTCATCCCCCGCTCGTAGATCTCTGGCAGCGCCCGCTCTACGGAGTGCCTCAAACCCCGCTGAACTTGCTCAGCGGGATTTCACAGATCTTTCCGGAAGTTGACAGAGCGGCCTACGTGATTTCCTTCTAAATCGGCAGTGTGCATGCGCGGCAAGGTTGGAGAGGTCGGCGGGCCGGTTGGGTCGTCGAGTTGGATCTGTTTGGGTGCGTCGGTTGTTAACGCGGGATTGTGACGGCTCGAATGCTTCTACCTCACATAGATCAGGGATAGAAAGCCGGGACTGTGGAGCGTGGTAAATCGTAAGTGCTGACATTTGTGATCGTAAGAGGAAGAACAAGAAAAAGAATGACAGAAAAGCCGGAGGCAGACGCAAGGTTAGGCCTCCTCATTCTGCAGCCAATGATTGTTTACCTTTTTACACTGCATGCCGCCAGCATTTTGCCGTGCAGTAAAAAAAAAAATACGACAGAAAAGCTGGAGGCAGACGCAAGGTTAGGCCTGCTCATTCTGCAGCCAATGATTGTTTATCTTTTCACACAGTATTCCGCCGGCGTTTTCCCGTGCAGTAAAGCAAGAAAAGATTAGGCAACGACCATGCAAATGATGGTTTGTTACATCTGTGTTTGTTAAAGTCGTACCAGAAATCTGAACTCCACCGCTGGCAACCGCTGTTCGTGCCCCGCCGCTTCGAGAAGGCCGAAAGGTATGTGATGGTGCCTACGCGGACGTCTTCGTTATTTGTGACATGGGTGCCGTGGTATGTATAATTAAGCTAAGCAGTGACAGTTGTCACTGATCGTCGGAAAGGTCAGTCGGCTGAAGCATTGATGGGCTTTTCAAGTTCGAGCAGCGGCCATTTTGAACGGCGGAGGGGGAAGCGGTGGGGAGGAGTGTGGGGGAGGTCGCTCCAAAAATGCAAGCTTATCTTCCCCTCGTCGATTCGGAGCAGAATTTTGCCTCCCTCGCGGATTTTGGAAAGCGCTCCGGATCTATGAGTGGAATTCACCATAAGGAAAATCTTTTTCTTTTTTTCTTTTTCAGCTGATGTTGGCTTTTGCAGAATTACAATGGGTGCAGACGGAATTACAATGGGTCTGGAAAATATGGTACATACATTTGGGCATTTCAATGGAACCATAGAGGTACAAGAGGGAAAGGGCATGTGCCCGATCCTGATAAGCAGAAGACAAACCGGCTATCCTCCACGGGCATTTCAACCGATTTGGTGGGGTAAAAGAGCGAAAGGGCACACGCCGTTCACATAGTTTGGACAGTTCTGGTAGACTCTACCACCAGAACTGCCCAAACATGAAGGTTCATTTTCCTTTCCCCTTTCACCGTAGTACAGTCATCCACCTCCAGCTTGCACTTGGCCTCTGCCGGGCTTTGTCTGTACGTGCATTGAAGTGCTATCAAAGGCAGAATGCTCACAGTTAAGAGCACCTGCGTCCAGAGACTAAACTCACTTGAGGCAAGAGCTTCTTGTCGCCGCAGGCTTCGAGTTTTCTCAACGGGTTGCAGCTGGACCCGTCCAGGGAAGCCAGTTCGGGTAGCAGCGACACAGCAATGTTTCTGTCTGCGGACTTCAAACAGGCAGGGCGTCAGTTAACAATACATATTCACCAGCGCAAGAGTTGAAAAGGCGTACTCACAACAATCGGATTGCCCGTAACCATCAGTTCGGTGAGGTTGGGGTAACTCTTCAAGAAGGTCAGGTCCTGGATGAGGTTCTCCTCGACGTTGAGACTCCGCAGCTTGGGGAGTTCCAAGTCGGGGAGGGTCCTCAGAGAGTTTCTGGACAGGTCCAGGCACTCCAAGTTGCGCAACCCTCGGAAGTTGCATGGCTCCAGGACACGCAGCTCCCTGTTACTCAAGCTGGGGGAAAAGAATTCACAATTTTCAGAATTAATGGTTTGAGAGTAAATGGACGTGCGGTGTACCAGATCTCAGGCAACGATGCTAAACGTGACCTAGGGCCTTAAACTCGTCAAACACAAAGTTAAGGTCGAAGTTTGCGGATCGTGCCAATTGGACTCGCGCTACGATGACGCGGCGCTTTTGTCGCCTAAATCCAATTGGCGCGCTCCGCAAACTTTCGGCTCCGACCTTGTGTTGGACGAGTTTCGAGCACTTAAGGCCCGTTCACACTCTTGCGACCGAGCACGACTGAGAGACGAGATCTCTTAAAACTTCTTAAATGTTTTTAGAATGACGGAACACACTGGCATTGTGGCGCCATCTATGCGGTGACCATGGAACTGCATTTCACAAGAGCGAAGGTTTTGCGGGATTTCCGAGGTCAAATGTGCGTAATACCCATAGAAAGGCTCGTTTATAACATTGACAAAAGTTTTTCGAGCCAAAAAAGAAAGGATAACGCGCGAGAAATAAAAAAAATATGCCGGACCGCCGAGTTTACACTGCTTCCCAATAGATGGCGCCAGTGTGTTCTCCGGTTTAAGAAGTTTTAAGGAACCCAGGTTTAAGAGGTCGCAAGAGTGTGAACGGGCCTTTAGATTGAGCTTCCCAGTCACCGTCGTTAGACATGGATACTCAAGTCCTATGAAGACTCCTTCTTTCTCCTCTCGATAAGCACAAAGGGCAGTAGTACTAAAAAAACGTTTACTGCGCAAAGAAAAAAAACAAACAGGCAAATTAATATCGAATCACTCCGTCGACAGATCGCACGAGTTATTCCGAAAAGAGTAAAGCTATACGCACTCCGGAGTGCGCTTCGGACGGAAATGGCTATACGCACTCCGCTTTTCTCGTATAAAAAGAGTGGACACAACGAGTTTCCAAAGTGGTGCCATGGCGGAAGAAGAAGAAGTGCTCGCCATTGAACGCCCGAATTTTCGCCTTCCGATTTTAAGTCACTTACTGGGGCCCTTGTGGCCCTGGGACCTGCTGCAAAGAAGGCAGCGATTTAGCAAGACGCAAGATGAGCTCCAAGGAGAGCAGCATGACGGTCCTCGTTGACCGGGTAAATGAACAGGCAGTGGAATGCTCCAAGCAGTCCAAGGAATATCGTATCATTCTTCCACGTCTACCGACAGGTATGCTAGTTACAAACTCTCTCTTTCTGCATGCGGACATGTCCGGAAGGCCCTACAAGGCGACAGACTTCAAGGAAGTTCTGTTTTCGATGATTGAACGAACCGATCTAATAGCATTGGGCCCATATCAAATGAGCCATGTCTGGATGGCTGTCTTCGCCAACGGAGCCGCAAAATGCAAAATCAAGGCATGCGAAGAGCTTGAGATCAAGCAAAAAAGGTGCCTCGTGATTGATCCAACCAAGGACGAAATCAAGATGAAGCTTCTGTGGCTACCACCTCAGCTTCCAGACAGTGAAATCAAGAAGGTGTTGGAACCGTTTGGAACGGTCAAAGATATAACAAGAGAGAAGTGGAGATTTTCAGATCTCGAAGAAACAGACACCCTGACCCGAATAGTGACCCTCGCCCTCAAAGACCATCTCACGGTTGACAAGGTCCCACACACGCTGAACATCTACGGAGTGAACACCCTGGTGGTCATTCCCGGACGACCTCCGCTCTGCCTGCGCTGCAAAGCGATTGGCCATATCCGCAGGCAGTGCTCGACCCCCCGCTGCACGCAGTGCTGGCGATTTGGCCATTCGACCGAGGAATGCATTGTTACCTATGCATCTAAGCTACAAGGTAACGCCTCTCCAGTGGCTGATGTGAGCGAGCACATCATGGACGTCGATGAGATGTTCACGAAAGACTTGGAACCAATGGGCGAGTCTCAGGAATCCCACGAAAATACCTCCAGTTCAGGTGAAGGGCCCTCGGGTCAACATGATGAAGCACCCAAGCCTAGTCGGGAAGAGGTCTTAACGCAAGAAACGCTAACTAGAACCAAGGACGACAGCTCAACCAACAAAGCCAAGGAGGCAAGAAAGTTGTCCATCCAATCAACTTCGCCTACTTCGAATGAGGGAAAAGACGAGAGGACGACAAAGAAGGCGAAGGTGGACACAAGTGAAGCCCTCCTGAATGAGGAACCTTGCTGCTCTAAAGATGCCCTCGTCGTTAGCGAAGATGAACGAGGGCGCGTGGACTTGCAAGAACAGCGGGGAAAGTCGAAGTTTAAGGAACGGAAAAGGACAACCTAACCCGATCAGAAGCCAACGTGTAAATGACCACAGTCAACCTTGGCACCACCCAGACGAGTACTTTCACCATATGCTCACTTAACGTTCGAGGTATAAATTCGCGCAAAAAACAATATCAGCTGTTTCGGTTTTTAGAACCGCACAACATCGACATAGTAGCACTCCAAGAGACAAAAGTTTCTGAAGGAAATGTTCTGTTCTCGGCAAACACCCTATGGGCAAGCTCATACGACATCTACCACTGCCCAGCAATTGATTATTCTGCTGGATGTGCGCTCTTGTTTCGAAAAGGTTTTGACTATCGAATGTGCAGTTTAATCGAAGGTGTGGATGCAGGAAGGCTCCTAGTTGCTAATGCCCTTATACAAGGAAACCCCTGCCGCATAGTCGTTGTTTACGCGTACAATGACCAAGCGCAAAGAGAAAACTTATTTAATCAAGTAAGGATACATGCTGATACCAGATTCGATGTTATTATGCTCGGAGATTTTAACTGTGTTTTGCATGTCAAGGACAGAATTCCGAACAAGAAAATTATGGACCCAAGTGTAGACGTTCTCCGAGCTCTGGTTAGGGATTGCGACCTTATAGATGTTTGCACAACACAGAACGTTCTTCAATACACACACTTTCAGGGTTCATCACATGCGCGTTTGGACCGAATCTACGTACCTGGTTCGGCTAGTAGAGCACTTAGTAACTACAATGTGATCCCTACATATTTTTCAGATCATTGCCTGGTCATTGTCAGTGTAGGTTCGGATCGAAAAAGAAGAAAGGAAAGACCACAGTCATGGGAATGTTGGAAAATGAATGAAACATTGTTAGGAGATAATGAATTTCAAAATGCAGTAGAAGGTCTCATACATGACCTCGAACAAGTCAAAACCGGGTGGTGTCAAAGTTGGGATCTGTTTAAAATGAGGATACGGGAACAAGCGATTGAGAGGTCATCGATAATTAGGTATTATGAAAAAAAAGAAGAGAAGCGCTTAAATGGAGACCTCTTATACCTATACAATCTTGAATGCCAGCAGCCAGGGATGTATAAGAATGAAATCAAAAACATTAAGAAACAAATCGAAGATTACGACAAGAAGCGCTATGAAGGAGCTGCTGTGAGGACTCGCACCCTACAACTAATTGAAGGTGAACAGCCCACGAAGAGAAACATTCATGCTGAACGAGAGTACGTCCGAAAAAAGTCAGTGTCAGTGATAAAACTAAATGGTCAAGAATTGACAAACGAAAACGATATTCAGAATGCATTCGTCTCTCATTACGCCGATCTTTTTGCAACAAGTAATAAGTCTCCCCATCCACGGCTGCGTGAAATAATAGCAAAATTGCCCAGCTTAGAAAATGAAACGAAGGAAAAACTAAATTCTCCCCTTGATATACAGGAGATTACGCAAAACATCACCGAAATGAAAAGTAATAAAGCTCCCGGTCCTGATGGATTGCCTGCAAGCTTTTATAAAAAATGGAAGGAAAGACTAGCACCAATTCTTTGCAACGTTTTCAAAGAATCTTACGCCGAGGATACCTTGCCACTGTCGTTTCGGAAGGCACATACCATACTTATTCCGAAAATCAAGGACCCAATCAAACTGCAAAGAGTTGAAGGCTACCGACCTATCAGTCTCCTGAACTGTGACTACAAGATTTTGGCTCGAATGCTGGCTGGAAGACTTCAAACAGTAATAAGTCGAGTCGTCGGTGATCATCAGACATGTTCCATCAAGGGAAGAAACATACAAACTAATCTCCACACCGTACGATCAATGTTGGAGATATGCCAACGTACACAAGACTCTGCAGCTATATTGCAACTTGACCTGGCAAAAGCCTTCGACAGAGTGGACCACTATTTTCTTTTTGCGCTCTTAAAGCACCTAAATATTGGCGAAATTATTGAAAAAGGCGTAAAGCTTTGTTACAAGGACATATCGACAAGACTACTTCTAAACGGATCTCTGACAAAATCTATACTAGTTCGAAGGTCGGTACGCCAAGGTTGTCCACTCTCGCCGCTACTCTTCAATATCTACCTAGAGCCTCTCTGCAGAAACATCATCAATGACAAAGACATACAAGGGTTTCGCCTTCATGCGTGCGAAGTCAAACTCCTGGCTTACGCGGACGACTTGGTCCTGATCTGCTCCAACAAACCAAGCATCGTAACAGCGATGTCACATGTCGACGACTACTGCCCAGTGTCTGGTGCTTTAGTGAATAAGGATAAAAGTAGTGGTTCGTGGTGCGGGGAGTGGGGTACAACACCTGCCAAGTTCGTCGACATCGAGTGGACAACGAGCAAGCCGCAGCTTTTAGGTGTGCCACTGAATGTCATGGACAATCCGAAACCCATGTGGGATTCTTTAGAAACCAAAGTCAAGTCCGCCGTTCGTATATGGAAGCTAAGATACCTTTCCACGTTTGGCAAAGTTGCCGTTTGCAATATATTTCTTTTGTCAAAATTAACATACATTCTTCAGGTCATGCACTGTTCTAGACTTACAGTTAACAGGTTTAACAGGATTTTTGCAATGTTTATTTGGAATTCAACGTACGAGCCCATGCGGAGATCAAACCTCTTCCGACGAACGGAGGACGGCGGCCTAGGTCTTGGGCATATCTTTGTTAGGCAGCTAATGGCGAGATGGAAATTTTATCGAACACCACAGCACCCGTTTCTAGAAACGTGTAAAACATATTTCTTATCAAAGTACACAGGAACAGCAGTAAATACAGAGTCATCGAGCAAAACGATCACTTTACGCGGCTTCTACAAAGAGGTAGCAGACACCATTGACTTCCTGAGAGCACGGTTTACCGGTGACTTCTTAGAGACATGTTCCAAGAAGAAGTTACTTAAATGTCTACTAACTTCTTTGTTTCCAGACCCACTGTACCGATTGGGTGTATTTGCTGCTCCCCCTAACTGCGAAACTGATGTTTTAAAAAGAGTCAAACGCTTGCCCATTCCACCGAAGTGCAAGTCGTTCTTTTTTCGCTTTCACTCGCGGACAATACCTGTAAAGGAGTGGCGAGAGTCACGGGGTTTTGACGTATTTTGGAGCACAAACTGCAGGCTCTGCAAAACAACTGAGACATTCACCCATGCATTTGTGCTCTGTGTTGATGCAGTCTTCTTCTGGGACGTTTTCAAGAGGACAGTGAAAAAAGACTTTGAAGTCGAAGAAAGTAATTTCCGTTACCTACATTTTGGAGACCAGTTAGATACGGTTCTCGACACATTAGTTGTGATAGGTTTATATAGCCTGTGGAAGACACGGAAAGTTGATACGGACGGAGGGGTTGCCAAACCGTCTTGGGTGAACTTTAAGAATATTGCCACATTCGTTTGTCAGAGCATGCTAGCGTGCTGCGAAGATAATGAAGAATGGAAACAAGCCATAGAAGGCATCAGTCGTTCGCCTGACGTCATATGAGTCCGTGTCACTAGACCAGGATTTTAACACTTTAGGGCCCTCTTTGCCAACTCCCTGTAGTGGAAAACTGAAGTGTGCTGTACATCCTTTGTTTCCAACTATTTCCGAGCTTTCTAATATTACTAGTAACACTCTCTTTGTGTAGGTTGACAACCGTTCAATTCTTTTGTGTCTTTGACGCTTTGTACATAATGTAAATTGTATATAGTGTTCTCGTGTAGATACCCATGTAAATAAACACTTTAAAAAAAAAAAAAAAAAAAAAAAAAAAAGTGGTGCCATGGCATAGCGGTTAGGGTGTCCGCTTCAAACGCAAGTGGACGCGGGTTCGATCCGCGGTGGGCCTACTTTTTTTTTTTTTTCTCAAACTTTTTGTTTTGTTGAGGCATTTGGCGATATTTACGACATTTCCTTTTTTCGATGACCAGTAAAAAACAAAAACAAAAATCGAATGTTGTCGAGAAACTTCGCAGAACTAAATGGTATCGGACTCCCTTTCCGGAGGTGTGATCGGGGACAGCGGGGCTTGGATTGCCGGCTGGACGCCGCGAAGCGGCGTGTACTGGTTACGCTTTGTAATTAGCAGCCGATACTGTCGCCGCGAAGCGGCGTGAACGCAGGCGGGGGGCTGTGTTAACGAGCGCCCCAGTGATTCACGCGCCGTTCGAAAAGGGTGGCCCGAGCGGCATGATCTCTCGGAGGAGTGCGTATAGCCATTTCCGCGCGAAGCGCACTCCGGAGTGCGTATAGCTTTACTCTTCCGAAAATCGTGGCTTAAACTTTGTTTGATGCGGACTAGTTACAAGAGAATTCCATCTGATCTGGAACTGCAGGAAACCGAAATAGTGGCTCTAACGATCTCGACCGAGAACGAAAGTTAGGACAAACCAGGTGCATGCGCACATTAACCCGCAAAACAACAACAACAAGGAAAGAACAATCGCCGGTACCGGTTGGTCTAACGTTAAATTCGTCTCCCCCACAAGGTTACGATGTAGCTTCGCTACTCACTCCAACACCTTGACATCTTTCAGGGACTTGCACGCACTCAAAGCGAGAATGTCGTCCTCGGAAACCATGTTAAAACAAAGCTAAAATCAGTGTGGCTAAAAGCTCAAGTCAAAGATAAAATTAGATGCCTCGCACGATAACTGAGCAAAGTGAAAAATGCGCGCCGACGCGCGCTGCTAGGCGGGCGCGTTGAAGTATGCTGCCGATGCTGCTACGGCTGCTACTCAGCTAAAACAGGAAGCGGAAGTGGTTGAAGTGTGACGTCACCACATTACTTCATTTGCAAAAGGCGGTAACATTTGCACGCATTGGCATGGGCTGCACGGAATGACGGGAAACAACATGGCAGGCGACAATGGCTGATGTAGTGCGTCGGACGGACCAGTATTCCCCAAAATCGAGCCCTCGCGGGTCTCGTTCACCGGTTGTGTCTCGCCAGGACACAACCGGGACGCTCAAGACGACGATATCACTCGGCAAGACTCCGGCCATCGTCCACAGCGGCCCCTTTTATCTCATGAAAGAGCCCCCCAGTGAGTTGTCACTCGTCGCAGTATCTGCCGTCGATCGATTGATCCCTTATCGACCTCGATCACTGGTTCGGGTTAGCGCGCCTGGTCAGGACCATTCCGGCTAATCCACCCAGGACTTTAGCTGTAGCATTAGTGGCGGCGGGTCTGTGCCTTCAACAACCGAGGTCTCCTGTCCGTGGGATACCAACGGAAATCAATGTGCGGACAAACACACCTACCGTGGGTTAATTAATTAATGTACTTATTCGTGTGCATATATTGCCTCATATCACCTCCGTAGGGAATTCGAAACCAGCGGGCAATGGATGCTTTCTAGCGTTGCAAATAACACTTTCTGCTGTACTGTGCTACGTGACAGGCGTAGAAAAATAGCCTTACGTTTTTTGTTAAAGGCAGTGGCAGCAATGCTTTCCCTCACTCTTAAACAAGTACGGGTCATAAAAAGGAGGCGAGTGGTACATTAAATGGCACACAACCGTTAGCCCGAGAAGGTAGAAAGGAAGATGCATATTGAGGCACAAAATATAGGAGCTTTAAAGCTGTAGCTTAGACAGTGCAAGCCACCGCCCGTTAGGAAAGGTACAGTTGGTACCGTCGACTCTCCTGTCTTACATCGAACAAGGTACATAAAAGGAAAAGAGCTGATTACATAGTTGAAATTCACTCGTTGCCACATCTGCGTTCATTGTTTCCGATCTTCCATGGCATTCGTATGGCCCACATTGAGCTGTACGTGTCTGTTAGTCGTGGCAGACAATAAGTGGAGGCCCACTCTGAGCACGTGCAGAGTACCAGTGTGCACAGCTGTGGCAGCCGGTGAATGCGGAGACAGTTGCCGTCGTCTTGCGCAGGAGTTGCGGTGACGTCACAATGACGCTGAGTTCTGATTGGCTTTGATCGAAAGGATCATGGGTAGACCTGAATGCTAGATGCCTTGAGGTATACCCACTATTTTTCTCAATCAGCCAATAAGAGCTTGGCGTTCTGACATCATTGCAACTGGTGTGGAAGTAGTAGATGAACTTGCGCTCTGCATAGCTCCTGTAGCCCCATCGGGCGCTCGAGCAATGTGTGACACTCATTTGTCTCGTGCCCCCAACCAGAAAGCGAACTCACCGGTGCCACCAACCTGATGGTCTCATATGGCCTGGAGCATTCCTACAACAAGTTCAGCGGCCGGAAGGTCAAGGACCAGCTGAGTGCCTTCCTGCCCAACCTGCCCGGAAACATTGATGCACCCGGCGACCAGGACAACAGGTTATCGCACAGTTTTTGCGCTGGCCTCGGGGAGCCTCTCGATAGATGGCGCGGAATTCCATCCGCATGGCTCGTCTTTCGGCTGACGACCTAGGACTCTGACAGAAAAAACATTGTTAGCCTCCTCCTTTGAAAAGAAATATAAAATTGGTTAAAATTGAAACACCATTTCGCACCAAACCAACACCATCTAACTCTCACTGAACCGTTTTGCAGAACCACGTTGTTGAAAACATCCTTCTTTCTCGCTACTGTGAATGAATGGAACACGCTTTCCTGGGGTGTTGTTAGCTCAGTGTCGCTTGCTACTTTTAATCTGAAAGCATTAACTGGGGGTCCCATGGAGCGCGGCGACGTCATCAGCTGCCGCACCAAAGAGCAGCTAAACTCCCCGCTCCCACTGGAGCTAAGTGAGGATGCGATTTGAAGGATCCCAGCTTTGAAGCGGCGCAAAATGCCGAGCCAAACGGCAAATAAATTCCCCTCTCCGAGTGAAGCCGAAATCTGATGGATAGGGCTCTTGTTGGCTGGCGCGCATCATAGTTTTAAAGGACACATGCAAAGGAAAAAAACATTTTTTTTTAGACAGCTTAGATGGAAAAAGGATGTCATAAAACGATTTTACAACGAAGAAACAAAATTTTTAGAGCTATATTTACGGCGCTATACGAATTTGTAGTTGGCGCTCGCGGGAGCCGCCGCTGGTCACGTGGTAGGCCCGCGCGCCGCCGCACGCTGAGCGTTGTGCGAACGCCGCTTCAACGCGTTTCTCCACGCCGCCGTCGCCGCCGCCGCACAAGTTCGTCTGCTTCGGGGCGCCGCCGCCGTCGTCTGGCCGGCGCAAAGGTCTATCACGCCTGCTTGCGCTTTTTCAGGAGTATCCTTTGGGCTCTAAAAGTTACTTTTTCGTCTTGGTTTTTTGTTATACTTCAAACAAAGATGAATAAGTTACTTTTACAGGCCATAGGAAGCTTTCGAAAGAGAGCAAGCACCACGTGATGAATAAAGACCAGTCACGTGATAAATACAGACCACGTTTACGCGGTGCCCGCGGGCGCCAACTACAAATTCGTTTTGCGCCGTAAATATAGCTGTAAAAATTTTTTTTCTTCGTTGTAAAGTCGTTTTATGGTGTCCTTTTTCCATCTAAGCCGTTTAAAAAAAAAAGTTTTTTTCCTTTGCATGTGTCCTTTAAGTAATAAGGCTCCCATTGGTCGAGGCGCGTCAGTTTCAAGGAGAGCCACACATGGTGCTACGTGCCTGCACCAGAGCACGCCGGGAAAAGGAAGCGTTTGGATGGCGGAGCCTCCCAGAAAGAGCCCGCTCGAGCATAACAGCGCGGCCACTTCACGAGAACGCGCGCAAGAACAGCATTCATGCTTTCGCATTCACAACTCGTTAGAAGTGCTTTGGTGTACCTCGAGCCTTTTTAATGACGCTCTATATAAGCACTTTGTCGCTTAGCTAATTCACTGTCCTGTTATTTGTCCATGATTACCTTGGTATGTTGCACGGCTACACATTTATGGCTCCCTGCTTTTACGTTCAAAGTGAATGCTGGCAGTATAGACAAATATATTAACAAAAAATCAACTTGCCGACATTTTGCCAACTTCTCGGAATGATGTTCATCTTGCAAGTGCAATGTGATGCGAAAATGTAGTTGCCATAAGTGATTATCAATATCTCGCTAAAGAGAGAGAGAGAGAGAGCGAAAATAAATGGTTGGTTTGGAAAAATTGGCATATATTTGGCTGGAACCTTACTTCACTGCATGGTTACAGCAAAATCTGTGATTTATTGTACCCTCAGGGCCCGAGGGCAATACAGAGGGGAGTGGCTTACAAATGGAAATTAACACTTAAAAGAACAAAATAACAACCTAAGAAAATAGAAACACGAACTTAGTAACCATTAACTTGGAAAATTGGTTAAACAACGTTTAAACATAATGACGTCTGTTGCACACACAACTGACGATGGAAGGTGGCTCCACGTGATTGTTGTTTTGGGGATGAACGAATTATAAAATGTAAAAGAGTGATTTGCCGCCGGCAGCTTGTTTGTGTTTCTGTATCAGATTGCTTGCTGACATTGTTGAAGTGATGGGTGGCAGCGGACAGCAGTATTTTTAGGGGTTTAATTTTGCTTTTGTATATAAATGTTTCTAGTTTCATCTATGAAAGCATTAGCGAATTGCAAGAGCTTGCTTGCAAAGCATATGTGTGTTATTCTTCAGTGAGTGGTTTCTAGTACATTTGCGTGGAAGTTCCAAAGATCTATGCTTTTTTTTCTTATGCACAGTGTATTTTAATCTATTCCATTTGTAGCCTTCTCTTCACTGCATATAAAACTTGTTTCCCAGTATGAATGACAACTAAGAGACAACGGAAACCTCTGCGACACAGATTGCTCCATTTTGCCACAATTTCACTTTTTCACAATTGTCACTTCATTTTTGTTTCAAGGAACGCGTCTGGAATGCTCTCTTGTCCGACCAATGTTTAAAACGTGTTTAGCCTTGTAAACGACGAGAACTACCACTAAGCTCTGCGACGCATTTTACGAGCTGCGACACCTTACACAGTTTCTTTTTTTTCTGGGCAAAGAAAATCATTATCATTTGATGATGATTTGCTTTAACTGGAAAACAGTGGCCCCAAGATTTGATGCCCTTACTCCTTTGAAGAGGAAAACAGCTTTTCTCTCCCTTGTCGTTTGTGTCCAGACGCTGGTTATTTGCGTCTCCTAAAACAAACATTGTGTTGGCGTCACAGCTCCCTACGGTCCCTGATCGAGAAGCCCCCGGTGGGAGGAAAGGAGTTGCTCGCGCTGTCGGGAGCGCAGCTCGTCGGCTTCCGGCTTCATCCCGGACCGGTGAGGCCGCCTCTGATTGCTTCCGAAACGTCGCTAATTGTCTTTCGTCGTCTTCTTCGCAACATTTCAGTTGCCGGAGCAGTACCGCATGATGAGTCAGCAACCGCAGCGGAAGAAACACAAGCACAAGAAGCACAAGCACAAGATGGGCGACACTCCCAACCACGAATCTCAGCAGCAAGGTGAGAATGCCGTTGCGGCGTACTCGTTTGCTACGGACGTGACGGAGATGGGGGAAAGGAACACTGGACACAAACTTTCTAAATACTACTACTAATTTTTTTTTAAGTAAAAAAAAAAGATGGCTGCTACTTTTTCGCATTCATAGGAAATTTGTAAATGTACAGTAAATCTTGGGCTGGTGAGTCGCTGGGAAAGTTGAGACCCCCAACACTTAAGATTTTATACTAATGTAGACACCGGTCATAGTAATGCCTGCCTTTCCAAGCATGTGTAGTAAGAAAAGCTAGGGTAACAATAATGAGAGCAAGTACATAGTTTCTTGTACCACGTCTTTTTTTTTTTTTTGCATTTGTGTTGTTATTTGCTTATTTACGTACATATGTAACCAGTTGGTTCACTGTAGTAGGGCTGTGTTCAAAGAAATGCAAATAAAACATTTTTGGGGCAAAGTGTATGTCCTTATTTATCTTGCCAAACTCTTTTTTTTCTTAAAGGCATTCTAAAGATGTAGGCACACAAGTTTTTAATTTAGGCACTAAAATCTTGCATTCCTACATCTTTAGTAGAAAGAGCTTCTAGTGAATGTGCCATTGTTTTTATTTATTTATTTATTCGTGGTACCTACATTCAGCGTAACCATCAGTCAGAACAAAATAACAAAAGCAAAGTCACAAAAAAGTGAGTGGAGTGAGTGACGCACATCTTATAACTGGTGCAACTATGAGTTTCTTCTACTGCATTCAGTTGTCTTTGTAGGCATAGTATCGTGTTTCCACATATGGGATTATCTCACTGTTTCCATAAAACTCCGTGCAAGCACCCACTTAGTTCAAGCACCGATAATTAACATTTCCCTAATTTGTTAATTCTGCATATTATACGTTGCGCTCCTGATTTGACCGGACAAATGCCCACGTCTAGATTAACCCAGTTTTCAGTGGAAGTGGGATTTTAAAGTATACTTCTACAGCGGAGCTGTTAAGGGCTAGGTTCCCCAGGATCGTGTCCGCGTATGTCGGCACAAACCTACCTGGACAGCTATCGCCATCTATAGGCGACGGCAGCAAGCACACAACCAGTATGGTTTCCGCCGTCGCTCGTGGATGGCGGCAACCTTTCCACCTACAGTGTAGACCGCATATAATGTATGTCGCGGGAGTCGCGAAAATCCGCACTATAAGCGGTACTGCACTATAACCAAAACATCAATTTTTTAAGCCAAAATACATGCCATGAGACAACTTACCTCTGTAAAAGAATTTATTTTATGTTAGATGAAAAATAAAGCTTAGTTTGAGGAAAGTCTTTACTTCACCAGACTAGTACACTTCTCTCTCAAGTGTGTCACACATTTCGATAGAAATGAGCGACTTTTGCCTGGCGCAGCCTTTTAACGGCGTCGCGGGTTGTGGACGGACGTTGCGAGCGTTCAGGATTGCTAACCCTATTCACTTTTCTCCGGCGATGAAAACGCGTGAGAATTCGCATCCTTTACACGGTACGCGCCAGTAATACCTTCAACTTGAGCACAGGCATGAAATGCTCCAAATAAGAAATCCGGGCGATGTTCGAAAACACAAATGCTTAGAAAGCACCACTGTAGTCAAAGTAAACAAACTCGACGACACATAACGAAAATTGACAGTCAAGGATAGCGCTTTTACGCGGAACGATGAGCTTTCACCACTCACAACCGATGCCATGTTTGCGGATGGAAGCAGCCGGCCCGCGACCGGCATGCAACGCGCGCGAACACTTCTCCTTGACCTGCAATTGGTTTGTCGTTGCAGTTTCCAAATTCCAACGCAGCGGAGGGACGCATGCACGTGAACGACACGTGCGTGCGTCCCTCCGTCGCTTTGGCAACTGAAGCCTCTCTCTTCGCTTCTCCCCGCTTCTTCGAGCAACCTCCTTGCCTCGCGAGTGCCGCTTGCGGCTCGCGCCGTTATCTCCGTTATCTAGTGTCGCACAGGGAAGCGTGCTCGCTGCGTCGGTCGGTCCGGGTCGGTCGGCGGGCTCATCCAGAAACCGCACTATAACCGGTATTTCCCTTCGCGCGCCTGCATTTTAAGCGGTATGTAATTACATGGACTTCTATGGGAGGCGAACCGGTGGTTTAAAAAAGCTGCATTATACCCGGTCCTGCACTAAAAGCGGTTACGTTGTAAGTGGTCTATACTGTATAATTGAAGAATGGATAGTTGGGCGCGTTGGTGTGAATTCGTTGTAAGAAACAGCGCGAAAAACAGACGACGACGAAGAAGCACACGTAACAAGCGCAGCGCTCGTCACGTTTGTTTCTTCGTCCTCGTCTGTTTTGCGCGCTGTTTCCTACACTCCTACGCTCTTATCAGTTTCGGTTTGGACTCACGATGGGTCGGCCGTGCACCCTTTCGGGGAAAGGAGACAGGCTGCGGAAGGAGCGGCGACGTATGCAGCAGCGCGAATGGGTCCGTAACTGCTGCAAAGCCGCTGTCGCCTCGACTTCCACTGCGTCCAGCGCTTCGGATTCCCTTGCCAAAGAGCACATCGCTTGCCTGGAAAGCCGCCGCCGAGAACAGAACCAGCAATGTAAAGGGCGCCAACGGGTCAACACCACGGACGATGATCGTGCCACGGAGTCGAAACGCCAGGCCCGGCGACGACTGCACTCCACGCCGGCTGAACAGTTCCCGGGTGCGATGGCGAAGTTCCGGAGGGAGTTTTTGGAGAACCCATTTGTCGTCACGTGCGCTGTGTGCGATTGACTCTGATTCGCCAGAGACGTATCCACGATCTGCGGCATGTCGGACAAAAAGAAGCTGGAATCGGGCGCGTGCGCGTTGCGGCACTGTATCGAGTACAGCTCTGTTGGTCTTCCTTCTTCACGAGAGTGGAAAGGCTGAACATTTTTTTTTCTGTATCATTTGTTACTCAGAGTTGAGTGTTTCGATAATAATGCGAGACTGCATTCTTTGTTTTTCTGTTTTCTTCAGAAAATGCATCGGACGCGTCACACGAAAAGAAGCACAAAAAGCAGAAGCGGCACGACGAAGAGAAGGAGCGCAAGAAAAAGAAGAAAGAGAAGAAAAAGAAGAAGGTGAGTTGCGGGCAAAGGGAGGAATGTCACCAGTTGCTCATTTACTCGTATAAACCACCGCAATAGTGAATAGATTTTCTGAGCAGTAACTTTAGTTGCATTTAGTAACAGAGACATTCTGCGAGTTCACCCAGAAGATTTGTCACCGTAGGTTGAGGGAAGAACGTCGTCTGTAGTCCGACTTTCAGTGAGAGCCCAAGCATTACGAACTCAAGCACCATTTGGGTCGTCAGCCAGAGTTGAACTCGGCCACAACACTTTTGCCAGAGAAGCGCAGACCACCTGCTAGGAACAATCCGCACATACAAGTGCCGGAGGATGCCCTTAAAGGAAGTTTTTATCAGTTGTTTCAAAGTTGTAAGTAAATATAGAGCACATTGCATTGCACTCTTGATTTGCCTTGCATGACATATAATGTCTTAGGAATTTAAAATCGGGTATGTTGTATACTTTGTCAGAGTCAAGGCGGTCACGCAACCAGGCAGGAAGTTAATTCACCTTCAAGGCTCTTGGTAGCTTTTGCTTGTCTTTAAGAAGAAGGTGACCCCAAGTGTAGAACATCAAGTGCCGTAAAAGTGGCGTTGGGCTTACATACTTTAGTCGTGCACGGTAAATTAAACTTAAAAGAAAACATTACAACTAAAATTGTGTAATTTGTTTTTTTATTTTTCAAACAGGGTCAGTGCCATTGCTGCTACATTAGGTTTCTGTCAACTTCTTTCCACTAACATGCCTTTGCATGCCGCTGCTCTGAATTGCAGAAGAAGCCTTCGAACGCTTGAAAAGTAAAAAGCATTTGGAAGAAGAAAATGCAGAACATAAAAAAAAGCATACAGGTGCTCCTGGAGCAAATGGTCCGTCCGGAGAAAAGCGGGACAAATCGTTAAAGACGTAACAGTCGCATCAAAACAGGAAAGATGGATTCTCCAACTCCTTGCCTTTAAAAATGGTTTGGTGATGGGTTACATGTATGGAATGAGCTGCAACCCCACATTGCGATTGGAAAAAAAAAAAAAAAAAAAGAAGAAGAAATAGTGTGAAAATATAAAAAATAAAATGCTACCTAAATGCTTTTAAAAATTGCAGCAAGTGATATATAAAAAAATGTATAGCAGGCCCTAGCCATAGGTGATATTTGTTTTCTCCCAATAACAAGTAGATTTTCCTACCCTTACTCAATACTGCAAAAGAATTCATGTGCAAAAAAAAAAAAAAAAAGCTTGAGATTGATTTTTTTTTTTTTTTAATAACATTATTGTTTGGGGAAGACGGTATCAGTATAAATTGATAATTGGCAACCAGTTATTTAAGATCGATTCAATAACTTTTTGAAATAATTGCCTTAGCTGGCACATTCCACTCAGAGATTTCGTTGTGCATCATCGAAATATTCCATAGCGGCGAAAACTGAACTCTGCTCCTGGCTATTTAGTGGTAAAGCTAGGCCGTTTACAGTCTGCCGCACTGAAACTATGCCCATAATAAATAGAGGTGTCTTACAACCTCGGTTGGGAAATGCTGCACCATTTTTTTTTTCAGCTTCAGGTTTTAATACACGCAACTTCATCCAGTTCATTTGCATAGTATGCTTTCTTTTTTATCAAGGGGTGATAGTGCTTCTGGCAACCAAGAAAATAATTAAGATTTGGGAGGCAACCTGCTAAACTTTAAGAATTTGAGAATTAACTTCTCGCTGCAGGGTTGCACACCTGCTGAGAAAAGCAAACAAAAGTCGAATTGAACCCAGAGGACCAGCGTGAGAGACTGCAAGTCATCTTAATTCTTTCACCTCTCCGCTAGTATGCATTCAGTTTATTTAAATCACTGCTGTTTTCGGTTTTGGATAGCCATTGAAATTGTGTGTTATGGATTGTATTATTTGTAGTATTGACAGTGTGCCTCAAATGGCTCGTTAGTACACTTTGCTTCATCGTAACTTGGCAAAGAGCGAAAGCTATGACTGCCTTGAGTCAACCAGAGCAACAGAGCCAAGCACGTGACAGCTCTCCGCAGGAGAGGAGCACCCCGACGATATATTGTCACATGCCTCACTCCAACGCGCTGATTGGCCCACCAGGGTTGTAGCCTTCGCCGTTTGCCAAGTTACGGTGAAACAGAGTATAGTCAAGTATTCAGAGTTCTGTGTAATCACTGCACACGACAGGACGGCCGTCTATCGACTGGTGGTTTTGTTGTGGATAAAAGCCGGATTCGGAGTCGCCGACATTTTCTCTCAGTTGTTGGACCCTCGTGGGTCATGTCTTATAAAAGTCTAAGCATTTCTTCTCAGGCCCTTTAGGTTTTCGAGGTGACTACGACACACAACACGTGTCATAAAGCGTGGGAAGGCTGCCCTGTGCAAGCCTTAGAGTGCCTGACCCCTTGCCGTGGTCCCCCCTTGGCGTCCGCAGAAACACAGTCCCGAGGCCACACCAGCCAACCCGGGCAACCCGGCCCTCCCCAACGGAGCCCAGAGGGTCATGTGACACCCCGCAAGGACGTCGTCGTCCCCTCCTCCTCACCCCTACTCCATCCCGGCCCTTGGGGGCAGTAGAGAAATGTATCAACAAAGAATGAGTCTAGATGATCATTGTGTCTTCGTCTGCCTGGGACTCGTAACAAACTCGGATGCTTTTGCAGGAACAAAAGGGGGATCGGTGGCCAGGTGTATTAGAGCACTGCGGCTCGGAGCATGTGGAGCGAAAGCTAGCACAGCAGAACCCAGCGCTCCTGGGTTCAATCCCCACCCCTGCCCATTTTGATCTGGATGGGCATAGCATTGTATCGGCTTGCGGTCGTGTATCACTGCTGTGTGGTACATGTTGGAGACCGCTGTTTAAACAAACACACAATTACAATTGTCTGAACAAAAGCTTGGGTTATCTCTGTCACAGCAGCAGGACAGTCGTTGGGGCTCTGCGCAATTTTGTTTCTTCCCTAATATGTATTTAGTACATCCAAGTGCAGATTTTCTCTGTCTGCCTGTTGGCTGTGTAAATGAGTAACGATAAAATACTGTAAAATTGCCTACTCGAAATTTTAGGTCTTCGTCTCCGCCTTCTCAGCTTCGGTCTTACGTGACCGATCCCGTCGCGTATGTACTAGAAAAGCGGCTAGTGTGGAGGAGCACCTCAATTACCTAGGTTGCCTCAGAACTCTATGGCGGGTGCCTGATATTTCCTTCTCTTTATTTTTACGTCTCGAAGGTAGCGGGTGGGCGCTTATTGCATGGGTGCATGCTCTGTATTTTACGGCACATTGATATAAATTGAAAAAAGGGGAAGTATACGATCCAAGAACAATGTGTTGTCTACCTACCTTTTTTTCGAAGTTCCATAACAGTTTAATGCAGTGCTTCTCAAATGGGGATTTGCAGACCCTTTGGGATTACCGAAGGCCCTGAAAAGTTGCACCATCAGTCAAGCCAAGCACCAAAACTTTTTTTTTTATGGATGCTGGCTGTTCCACAAAGCTAGATAGACTGAATCATGTGCACCGAGTGAGTAGGGTAGGTTATTCTCTGTTTCAGGGCTGCTAAGTTGTTTGCACATATTTAGTTTCCTTCCTTTACCCTTTTGTTGCAATCGTTCAATCCCAACAAACAAAAAAAAACAAAAAAAAGTAAGACTGTGGAAAGAAAAAGTGGGGACAAGGGGAAGGAAAGACACAAACTCCATCCAATGTAGGAAATATGAAGTGATTGGCACACATTGCCTTGGTAGATTTCAGGATAATGCTGGAATCCCCGTTTAATCAAGTTTTAGGAAAAGGTGACCATCTGGAGATTCGGCATGTAGACTGCAGGGGTTCCCAAACCGTGTTTCAAGGAACCCAGGGGTGCTTTTATCCCCGGGGTACCCTCATCGAAACCCTTGGAAACAACATCAGTATTTGCCTAAAGTTCACTATTTACTCTGTAGTATACCAACCTTTCTGACCCATCCTCTCACTGTACTCCAAAACTGAAAGGTAGCTCATAAACTCTCTACACAGTTTATTACCCATCTTTCTGGGGAGGTACATGGGGAATGGCAACAGAAACGTCCCTTAAAACTCGACCTATTTGGAGACTTCATTGCAGCATTCATTGTCCCAACCTCACACACAATATCCTTCCCTGTGGATGCAAAACTGGTAAGAAACCTTTGGAAAAGGATTATGGCTCGTGGAGAGCCCATCGATGCTAGACCTAATGTAACCGTCCATTAAAAGGCCTGCAGAAAAGCTTTTAAACTTTGCTTGTACTGGAGACAGCCAAGTAGTTGGAATGTGTAAACATTTGGACCTTATTGATCATCTGCAAATGACATTTATGATTTAATTTGACGCACATTTTTGCGGTTTGGAGTATTGGAGTTCTTAAAATATTAAGAATTAATGCCTCCAAAATTTACATTTGTTGCAAGTAGCTTTACTACTTTGCATCTTTGCTCTTGTGCCAGACTTCACCGTTTCATACTGGTGTGCACACAGCAAGTTTTACTACTAATCATTGGCACATTACAAGTGTGGCTGATGCTGCAAAGTCCCTTGGTTGATTTGATGGGAGAAATTTTGCCACTATTGCAGGTTCAACTTCCTGTGGTTACAATTACAGATTTACCCGCAATTTTAAAAGGGTCCCAGAAAATATTGCCATACTTTTGGCACATGCTGATTATCCTCGAAAATGGACCCCCAAACCAGTCTTGCCAAAACCGGGAAAACTAGAAATCCCGTATTGAATCTGCCGTCAAACAAAGATGCCCAAGCTTCAGTGTCAGAAATCCTAGTTTCCCTTCATTCCATCCAGAACAGGTTTTCTTTCTTCAGGAAAGACTCCTCCCATTTCCTTCATCAATATTGGGAAGTTTTCAAAGTATTCAGTCATATGCATGGTGCATAAAAATTTTAAAAATCCCATGATTTTTTTTAACATCAGTTTTTAATAAATGTTAATTTTCTTGTCCAACACTAATCTGTTGTAATATTAAACCCCGAACCCTACCTATACATGGCTTGCACACAATGGCAGTTCAACCTTCTTTCTGGTGGCAGGGAGTGCCTCCTCTCCCCCATTTTGTCCAACCAAGTGACACCAGTGCAAGCCATGTATTGTCAAACGAACAATCCTTGCCTTGCTTGTCATGTTACATTGTTTTACAACTCATCAGGAATTTTTTTTTTTTTTTTTTAAATTGAACACAAATATGGTTCTGAAATGCTTATGCAATAAAATTGTTTGTCACAAGTGTTTGCTGAAAAAGGATTTCAGCGAAAATTTAAAAAGTTCATACTCAGTTCACATTAAATGTAAAATATTCTATTCAATTTTTAACATTGGTGTTTGGTTCACAGTTAAGTACACAATATTTGCACACCTACTTCAAATAGATTAAGACTGGTGTGCTAGTATCGCAGATCTTTCCAGTGGACACGAGGCTATGCCACGGTGGAAGAAACACATTTAGGTGATGCCACTGGCCGCTTGTCCTGCAGGAAGCGAGTGAGCAGATAGTGTTCGGAGCTAGCCTCAAACCAGTAGTTAGTTCTGCGCCACGGTATCAGGTCCCTCCTCAGCGGCGTAGCGTGCTCGCCTTTTTCGCAGTGTGGTGGTGTGGCCAGTGGCTGGCCTTGTGTTGTGCTTGGGTGCTGTGTCGATCACAGGTGCCACCATCGTGCACGAAGGTGAGCCTTAACCCGAAGTAGAAAGAAGGAGAACACAGATTTACAGACTCTGGCGACTTGGTGGCGACAATGCGGTACAAGAAGCGGTGAGCGAGGGAGTGCGGTACCACCGCTGGGAGAAACAACAGGAACGGTCGGTTTGGGAGGGACCCCATACTTGGGCGCCATCTATCCTCGTGCAAGTAAAGCGCTCGGTGTGCCGAATATGATGTGGCCGCCACGCCGAACAAAGTCATCACTTGTATGTGTTTCTTCTACCTTGGGCAATGTATACTATTCAAGCAATCCCTAAAAAAAAAAAGAAAAAGCCTTGTCCTATATCTGGCAAGATTTCTTGCAAACCAATGTCATGCTGGAAATGCCATTGTTACTGTAGCTCAACTGTTTTGTGTCCATGTATAATGGTTGCCCCCTTAAAAAGCAAGCACCCTGTACATGTCACTTTCCACGTGCAGAGCACCCAGTTTACAAAACAAATTTCAATATACTTTTGCATGGATGTCGGGCAACTTTTGAGGATGACAGACTAGTGCCAGCTCATGGATCCAGGCAAACAAGGGCTTGGGGTCTCCCTCCCGGGCCTCATTTATTGGGTTCCCACTGTCCTTCGGTGGTATGTACACGCTGGCGGCCCGCTCAGAACTTCATCTTGTGCGGGTACATGCGGTTTCGCAGGGAGAAGGTGGCTGCCAGGTAGTGGAGTAGCATCTTCTTCTCCGGGTGGGCCTTCACCGCCTCCAGCACCTGCTTGTCCACCTCCGCCTGTGTCTTCTTGTGCTCCTCACTCACCACATGCTCCTGGCACGCAAAGACAGACACCGTTAGGGCGGCATTGCACACATCACAATGCATCCTTCCGTTTTTTTTTTTTAACAGTGAGCTTTAGAGGAGATGTGTGAGCCAACACAACCGATACACTACATTCCACAAAGCCTGGTCAGAAGGCCTTTCTCAAAAGCAGATACCAACATGGTCAGAAAGAATGGCAATGAAGCTGCAATAAAACAAATCTCCACTCTGATCATCCCAGCATTGAGAGCGTGTGTTGGAACACTTTCCAGTCCGGTCAGAGACGGTCGCACCTGGGCGGAAGGATAGTGCTCCCCCTTTATGTCTGGCATCTTCTGGCATGAGCACCCCGTTAGCTTCAGGGTGCCCCTTGCAGTTGTGCCAACCCTGCTCTAACACCTCGTTGCATGTAGACACTATTCTCCCAATGCTGAAGAGCGTTGGCAAAACGCCTATTCTCGTGTTTTTGGAGTACCTGACTACACCACGAAAATTATACTTCGGAAAAGCTATCCTTTTCTCTCATGCTATAATTAGGGTTTCGTGTTTTCAGAGTTCATTTTTCGTCAAATTCGGGTGTATTTGGAGTTTTTGTTGCCAAAAATGTGGAGTTTATCGAATTTCCAATTCTCCGAAATTCAGAGTTTAATTTCGTAGTGTTTCTTAAAGGGACACTGACAGGGTATTTATGCTCTCCGAGGTTTTTAGTTGTACGTGACATATGAGAGCTCAACTACCCAGAACAGAATTTGCGGCTCAAAATTCGGTTTCTTTCCGCCCGAAAACCGCCGATCAAGAACTGGCCGGTTCGAGTCTCGCTCACTCTCTTTTCCGCGGTCACGGGCCGTTTTCTAAGGTATCGATGCGACCACCAAATTTAATCAAAGTCGTGGGTCACTGAAGGCACACACTCAATATTAAAAATAGAAAGAAATATGAAACCCATTTTTTGTGGCTTCTAAAAAGCTGTAAATACGTTGATTGAAAAAAAAGTTCCACAGACAACCGGAAGCATTCTGTGCGTTCGTCGTTTCGCATACCGTGGGACTCGCGGGGACGGCGATGTCAGCGGACGACGGGCGTGGGACCTCTATTTCAGAACTGTCGTTCGCGGTACCGGCGAATTCTGTCTACCGTTAAAAGAGAAATTTGGGACTGATCAGAAAAATTGGTATTCATCCCGTACGACACGCCCGGCCACCAAGCTGATTTGCACGAAGACGTCGCCGAGCCGTCGCTCCCTTCTCGTGGCTGAAGACATCGCTCACGCAAACGTCAAGCACGACGTGTCTACTTCGAGTTGAATATGCACGCGTACGATTTCTTTACTAGGTGCGAATGTCCCCAAAGCGTGGTGCTTCCCGACTTCGACCCGGGAGTGCTTTTGCTAGAGAAAAATCGACAGCAAACTTTCCAACTTGGTTTACCGGCTGAATTATTACTAAAGAAAGAGATCCGTCACAAACGAAATGCCCCAGTAGCTCAGTGGGAAAGACGACCGGTTCACACGCGGTAGGACAGGGTTCGATCCCCAGTAAAACTTTTTTTTTTTTTTCAAACATTTTTCGATGTTTACACATCTTTTTCTTTTTTTTTACAATCATCACTGAAGAAACGAACAAAAAAAATAACAAACAAATGTTGCGGACGATACTTCGCTGGATTAAATGGTATGGGATTTCCGTTTTGACAGCTGCGAACTCAATGTAATCACTTTCCACAAAATGCAAGGAGCATATAAATCAGGTAGCGTCCGCTTTCCGAGGTGCCCGTATATGTTCCACAGGAATTGCAGCCAGCCATTGGTCCCGATCCTGTCGATCTTTCGGAAACTCTGTCGGACAATGCCACTTTTTTTCGGATGCAGGACATGTGAGCCAGCTCTTCACGCAACATCTTGGGTGTATTCTTTCGGAGCCGATCATGGAAATTCACCACGGGCACTCACTACTCATCTCCAACTCCTCAGTGTACAAAACAACTCATCTTGGAGAACAACGAGCGGAACAAACATAACTGCAAAAAAAATCGCACAGCGAGCAGTTCCCGCACGCCGCTTCGCGCGCCGCATGTCGTGTCGTCTGCTACCAAAAAAAAGAAAAAAAAAAAAAAACGCGCGGTCGGGTGTAGCCACGTGACTTCCGTCACTCACTTTCTTCTCTCCACTTCTCCGACCTCCGTCGGGTTTCGGTTTCGGTTTCGAGCAGTTGCGTCTTTTGGCTTTATAAAAAAAGTACGCTACTCTGTTGCAAAATATTAATTGGGTAGTCCTCCGACACCATAATAAAGCGCCTGGCAAAAAATAAAAAAAAATTTTTGGGGGGTGTCAGTGTCCCCTTAAAGGGCCCCTGAAAAGAAAAAAAAGTTTTTTTTTAAACAGTCTGGTTGGGACACGCGTGTCAAAAAATGAATTTTACGCGAAAAAAAAAAAAAAATTTAGAGCAATATTGACGGCGAGAGATTTATTTGAAATTTTACGCGCAAATTCCTGGTCATTCAGCTCGGCTTCTCATTGGTAACCATGGTCATTCAAATCGGCTTCTCAATGGCCAATAGAATGAGTGACAGCTTAGATGTTGGTTATAAAATCTTCGTGATCTCTTGAGATCGCCTTTTGAATTACATATTTTTAGGTTTAAGAAACAATCCATCGAATGATTGTCGCAATTGCTTACAAACGTTTTACAAAATCATAACTTCCGTTCGGATACTACAACAAAACAACAAACAAACGCTTCGCCATTTTGTTTTCTGTCGTGGTCGCCGTCGTTGTAACGCGTCTCGCATACCTCGGGTTGTTTTATAGTTTTATCGAGTTTATATGTGAAAACCTTCTGAAGAGGGCTTGTTGCTTGTGTTAGTTAGTCATCGTAAGTACTTAGGAAGTGGCGCGGTGTGACAGGTTTTTGTTTTCCTGCTCTTCTTTGCGTGATTCGTGTGTCCCGTTTACCCCATCTTTTGTATGTTTTCTGGCGAGCGCCAGTGCCAATTTTCTTTTTAGATATCGGTTCCCGTAAAGAGTTTAGTGAAGGCACGCAGCACCGCACTCAACGTTTAATAAAAAAATGAGTCACCACTGCGTGTCCTCGCGGCGGCTTGAAGGGTCGTGCGGCTCGGACGAACTCGTCGAGGCTCCCGCTTCGCCGCCTTCCGCAGCGAAGTGGGTGCCTCCTCGCGAGCGGTTGTCTCGCGGCGATCGGAGCGGACGCCTTCCGGCTGGCGAGGCGTGTCCTCGTACGGGCGAAGGCCCAGCTGCTGGCAGCGTTGAAGCAACCGACGCTTCAGGTCGGGGTCCATCGCGACGAGTATGTACTGTGTGACCACGGTACGTGCACGATACGACGCTGAACGTCGTGCGACCGGCAGACACAGGGGCTGTGTTCCAAATCTCCTAATGGATCCGAGTTATTCCGGCGGATCGTATCACGTGACAGCACAGATTGAAAAACGCTGTACGCGGGTAGGTTTTAGAACGCCAAGGGTACAAAACTCTTACCCTGGGGTAAGATCGAGTAAATTTTGGAACACGGCCAGGAAGTAGCAATGGCTCTCGTGCGGGGCGCAGCCAAGCCGATCCACTACGAAGAGGCGGGGTGTACCTCTCCTCCACGCGCCCGAAATGCCGAGAGAGAAAAAGGTGGAAAGGAGGTGACTGCCGACTAAATTGCGTCTAACGCGGTCAATATTGCTCTAAAAAAATTTTTTTTTCGCGTAAAATTAATTTTTTGACACGCGTGTCCTAACCAGACTGCTTTTAAAAAACTTTTTCTTTTCTTTTCAGGGGCCCTTTAATAAAAATAAATAAATAATATCCAACGACAAAAGTTGCACACAAGTGTTGCTTCGATAAATGTCAATACCTTAAAATCAAACTCCTGGAGGCAGTCGCTGGGAAGCTTGTATTTATTCCATACTATTCCATCAACCTACTGCGTGGACGCATGAGGTAGAGTTGTAAAGGATGGAATAAAGAAGTTCCAACTGTCCCCTTTCCCCACTTTATGCAAGCTCTATGGTCCATGGCTTTCACTGTTACAAAAACACAACACCACCTCTCTCTAAAGCACAAACAGTATGACCCAAACTGAAAACATAAACAGTGACTTCCGTCGTGACCCGGAAGTGCAATGACCTGTTGTCCTGACCAAAATTTGAAACAAAAGTGTGGTGGCATTTTCCCAAGACCATTAACTCTATGCACTGATCAAACCATTAATTGTAAAATACTTTTGTCTGTGTGTGGGCATTGGCACATCAAAATTCAGAGTTTCTCTGAGAAATCCTAATTGACCAAAACTTTACCGGCGGGTGTTTTCCAGTTTTTCGGATTTATCCGAAAACACGGAACCCTAGCTATAATGAGCCACCTCTAGATCCACATTTCACTAGTGAACAGCCTATCATCACTAGTGTTTGAGGGAACCAATTTGTTTAAGATACTTCACAAAGGACGGCAAATGAATTATCTTGAGTATCTCGTCAATATGGGCACCTCCATATTCCCCCAAAACCGTACAAGTTAATGAGACAAAACGAAGCGTATTTACCCAGTTTGTCCCTAAAAATTTTGTCCAGAACAGGTATCCATACTTATGAAATATGACTACACAACTTTGACGCACCACAACATGGCAAAGGGCAACGTTAGGGTCCCCAAAGCCATTTAGTGCGACGAAATGCAGCATGTTGCTCCAACAAACTCAGACAGTCCATTATCTATATGTGTCGCTAGTTGTGTGCAGTGCAAGCGAAGGCAATGCCGGGTGAAGGGAGAAAGGGCAAGCACTAGGAAGGCTCGGGAGAAGGAGAGAAACCTCTCCTAACGTTTCTAGTGCTCTTTCTCACCTTGACCTTGTCTTCCATCACACCTTACTATAGTAAGTTATAGGTCAAGATGGTAGCGGCAAATGCCACTCAAAGGGATTCATATATCCCTCCGCCACCTCCGCATTCAATAGTGTCCCATCGTTTCCGTGACGTCGTGGCCAACGCATGAGAGGGTTTTGCCTTCCTGTGAATATTTGCCTTATCTTTAGACTTTGACTTAGCGTTCTGGAAGCCATGAGAGGGAGATTAGAATTTTCCCCCTCAGATGGAAACAAATACGACTATGGGGGGTTAGGTTCCCCCCTCCGATGGATACAAAGGGTGCTTTCAGGGGCTCGGTTCCCCCTCCAATGAATACAAAGGTCGCTTTCTTAAAAAGTGGGGGTTGGAGAAAAGTTGGCATCACTCTGTAGCCCTTATCTATTCATTGAAGCGGAACAAGGGGTGTTTCCAGAGAACTACTCTTTCGACTGCGAATGGATCTGAAACGGGTGCATTACGCTTATGGGAGGAGCTTCTCCTACACTCTTGACTTGTAACCGACTATAGTGCTTACCCTTTCTCTTTTCGCCCTGCGTTGCCTTTGCCTGCACTGCACACGACTAGTGACACGGAGTATAGTGCCTCGCTCTAACACTCCAATTTTTTTCAAGTGACTATAAACAACTTAACCTTCGTGGACCTAATTTCCTAAAACTTTGACTCTAAAAATATTGCAAAAATTTGTCTCGCAAATTAATCACCCCATATAAATCACAGAGCACATCACTCCGAATCACAAAATCTTATGCCTTCAAAATGTTTTCGAAACCACGCTTTTCGGAATTTGCGAAATAAAACTTGTTTACAGTTAGCCAGAACAAAGTATCAGAAATCCGCTCGCAACTCGCTCACGTGGCATTCAAGAGGCCACCACAGCCTGGACGAGGCAGTCAAATGAAACTGATGCGGGCGGAGAGAAGACCGACCTGCGGCTTGGCCTCGAAGATCTCTCCCTCGTCCTTGCGTCCCCTCTTGGGGCCCTTGTTGCGCTTGAAGTAGCGGTCGTCCAGGCCCTCGGGCAGCTTCACCTTGCTCAGGTCCAGCTTCGTGCTCGTGGCAATCACATAGATCTGGTTGATGCGCCGCAGGGGGCAACCGTTCACCCCGTAGGGCCCCGTCACTAGCAGCAGGCCTGTTTTCAGCTGCTTCAGGAACACCACACGCTGCGAGGACACAACACCTTTGTCGGCGTTTTCGGCAGAGCACATGTCGCTCTCGCTACATTAAACGATTGACCGCCACCGTCAAATAATATTTCATACGCCCACGATCCGCAAGGACATCAAACGCGTGCCTGTCGGAGCACTTTCCAGTCCGACCAGCGAGTGGTCGCGCCTGGGCGGAAGGATAGTACTCCCGGACTCTGTCTGGCGACCTCCCTCGCATGAGTGTCCCAATCAGTTCGGGGAACCCCCTGCAGGCGTGCCAACGCCAAAGTGACGGTCCGACCAAAGGTGGAGTCAACTTGGGCAATAAGTAAAGACGGCAGCAAGATGCCTTCACTTGGAAGGAGCGCGGTCCTCGACGTACCTCCATCAGGGGAGCCCTTTCCCGGAGCCTTCGGCCCTGTCCTGGGTCCAGCGTGTACTAGATGGCCACGCTCTCCATAGCAACTATGATTTCGAGCCTGCGCAACTTCTTTTTACATATTAAAGGGGTGCCCAAACAGGACACTACAAAACGCACGGCTCCGACAAATCGTGAAAATTGAAGCGGGCGCGTCCGCTTCAATTTTCACGATTTGTCGGAGTCGTGCGTTTTGTAGTGTCCTGTTTGGACACCCCTCAAGTCTCTCCTGGTTTCTCTGCCGCAAAAAGTACTGCACTGACACGAATCTTTCCACTGGACAGTGCAAGACACTGAGGAAAACTGCCTTTCCACCGAAGGGTACTAAGTTCGGGAGAAATTTCTCAGCCACGGCATTCCTCAAAGATCTTCTGGGTTACCCACGCGTCGACGCAGCCGCTCACCTTTCCGCGGTGGGGTCCAGCCAGCAGAATGAGCACAGTGCCGGGGGTGATCCTCTTGCGCAGGGCCACGCGGGTCCTCGACGAGGGCTTCATGTGGGAGGTGCGCTTGTGCTGGGGACTGTCCTCCGTCGGGTAGGAGCGCCGCTGCACCCAGACACGCCACGCTCAGCACACTCCCATGCAACACATATGTCCGGCTGCACTCTCGAGGATGATTTACACACATTTGTTTTGAGTGTTCTCTTATAACCGCCTACAAGAGAACACTACCGCAATGCCCCGAGAGATAGCACACCTAAAATCAATAGAAAATCTGATTAAAATAAGGGGTAAACTAACTTTCAATGTGCCATTAAAAAAAAAAAAGTTGGAAAAATGCTAGCTTTAGATTTTGTGACTCTCGAAACTTGCTATTGCAGGAACCACAGATGACTGTCCTTCCCACTCAGCAATGTCCGCTTATCTCCCGCCAGGGTTAAGTAACGCCATTTTTGCCGAGGTCATTACTGGTCAAGGTCCTGCAATAGCTACAAGTGGGCTATCTTTCAGTATTCAAAAAAAAAAAAAAAGCAAATCGTGCCCAAAATAGGGGGCGGGCTATCTCTCAAGACAATATGGTAGTGTGCCAAAAAAAAAAAAAAATGTGTTTCCAGCTGCTACAGCAGGGTCACATAGTTTATGGGTCGCATTAGCACCAGGAGGTGACAAAAGCAATGATCGCCTGCAAGTGCCTCCACCTTTCTGACCACTTTCCTTCTCTCTACGCAAAAATGCAACGTATGCGCACATCACTTAATTTTCCCGGGAGGTGTCCGCCATTAAATTGCAAACGCTCTCCATGGTTCGAGTTCCTCCCTCTCGGAAATCTTGGCTCTCCAGTGAACTTACTAGCACAAATTACCGGGTAGCCTGGACTCCTGAACTGCATATACAGTTGAACCTCGATGTAACGAAGTCGGTAAAATTCGCAATTTACTTCGTTGCATTGAAATTTCGCTAAATCGAAATTTGGCTTTAGCATGCGAAAAAAAAAAAAAAAAAAAAAATTCCGAAACATTTTACGGGTATGAAAACTCACCGAAAATGACATTTATTTAGGGGCAAAGTAGTCCGCGAGTTTTGCTTGCGCCTTGTCCGACAGTAGCAGCGGCGTCGGCGGCGTCGGCGGCGTCATACGGCGTTCGAGCGCCCAGAGCGCTTTCACGGCATCTTGCTGCCCATGCGACGCGGGTACCTCTTCAGTACGTCCATTGCGTTGAGCACTTCCCGAGTGCTCGTGATCTCGGCAGTTTCTTCCGGATGGCGTCCAAAACGTTTGCTTTCTCATCCAAAGAAAGAACTTTACGTTTCTTTATGGCAGCAAGCACGTAAGTGAACCGCCCGGTTAAAAAATAAAGCTGTTTAGTTTAGGCGGTGCCAATGTTTCCAACCTACACAGCACCTACACAGCACTCTTGACCGCACAGTTTACTTGCCCCCTTGCGCCCACAGTGTGCTTGCGCCTTTGCTTTACATCACGCTCGCAAGACGATAATCGGTCTTTTCGGTCTTCTCCTAGATGGCACTGGGCACTGCCCGTGCGGTCGCGCGGTCGCGCCATCACGTCGCTCCCCCGCTGAAGTTGGCTCCCGCGCTACCCGCGGTACAGTGGACTATGATGATCAGTGAATGTCAGTGGTGATGCTGTTATGCCGTGTTAACTTTTTGCTCGGCATTTTCTGGCCAGCCTCGCGGAATCCGCTTTGCCGCATGCCTCGCCGGCGCTACCGGCGCCGCATCCTCGGGCAGCCTAGGAACGTTGGAAGGCCTGTCCCCGTGAAGTAACCTATCAAGCGCTCGCGTTTGCGTATAATTTTTTTTTTTTAACCACAATTTTTTTGCAAAGTTGTTTTTTAGAGTTGATTTATTTATTTCCTTCTATGGCAATGGCGCTTCGTTATATTGAAATAGCTGCAAAATAGACTTCGTTATATAGGGACTAAAAATACATGGGGTCTATGGGCAAGAAATTATGAAAAATAAAATACTTCGTTAAATCGAGGATTTCGTTACATTGAAGTTCGTTATATCGAGGTTCGACTGTACAACTTTATACTGTTTTATGCACCATTCGTCAACCGTGTGCTCCGAAATAATATTGACAATGTTACAAGCGACCATTTCTTGTAGGTGGTACCTAGATGTGATCTCGCAGATACTGCAGAACTTTTAATATAGTTACACGCAAATCGAAAATCTTTCAGGGTTTCCCAATTAATGTTATCCAGTGCGCTCTCTGGTCGTAAGCTGTAGAAGCCGGGCACAACGCAGTCAATCACCAAGCGCAAATGCCTGGATCAGCCTTTAAACTCCACCCTCAGTCGCACCTGCAAGACCCTGTGCACCCACCTCCTTCTTAAGGGGCAGCACCCGCTTGCCGCCGTTCTTCTCTCCCTTGACCCGCTTGACGGTGACCCTTTTCTTGCGCTTCCTCTTCTCCTTGGTCGGAGGGGCGTGCTTCACCTTAAACAGGCCCCGCTTGTGGAACATCTTGGACCGGGAGAAGAGCCAGACGCCTCCAGGCAGCTTGTGGTTCTTCGACACCCCCGGGACGACCGCCTTCTTGGCGTCGGGGGCTGCCGCGGCCGCCGCCTTCTTCGGAGCTTTCGCCTTGTCGCTCATCTGGACGAAGAAACAAGCGACCTGGACGGTTAAAACAACATTCCGGTCGCGACGCTCCAAATCCCGCTTTCTCGAGATCCCCATGCGACGAAGCCGGGACTCCCAAACCACTGCCCTCTGCAATCACTTCAGAAAACATAACTACCAGCAACCTCTGCATAATCGACGGCCCCTGGTGGCTAAAACACAAAGCTGTCGTGGCAAGTAAGCTTGCCAGCTTTCCTTTTTTCGTGGTGTGCAAGTTCATTTCTGTAAACAAATATTCATACCGCCTGGTGTTCTAAATAGGAAGTAGTGAAAGCAGGTTCAAATGCATGACAAAAATTGCCGAGTCACAGCCAGAACGAGAATGACAGAGATGCTTCAGATGTCCCACCTCCAGCAGGAGCCTTCTACTTTCGACAAGGCTTGGGCATTTCGTTACCCTCGAGCGTGCACGTGCGGTTGAAGTGGGCTGAAGTGCAACGCATGCGTGCTGGAGGCCGAGTATTCAAAAAAGCACCCCGACATTCTCACCTTGCAGGTGGCTAGACTGCATAGCCCTAACTATAGAATAAAACTGAACTGAAGCCAAGCTTGGGAGCGGGCCGGAGAGAAACTGCTCTAAATAAAGGCTCCCACCGCAAGTTCAAACCGTTGCCAAAATTCTTTGTATCCTCTACCGTAAAAAGCCCCCAGAAATCCACCTTTATTTCGCGCACGTCCTACCCGATTTTACTGCTCGTGCTGGCTTAATTTTTGGGATGCAGTAGCAGATGTAGGAGCTCCTGGCGGGTCAGACGTCACTTTCATCACCCGATCGGGCATTCTCTATCCCGAAGCATGTAATCGGTGCTTTCAGTTGAACAAGCTCGGCTTCCAAAATCACCAGCAAGCGGCTGCAAGGCAGGATGCGCCACGATCGACCCTCACCTGACAAAGCCGGTATGTATATATATATATATATTTTTTAATTCGATACCATTAACTATGACTGCACCTGCATCGGGAGCCTCTACACGATTCCCCGATGTAAGGGGTTCAACGGTCACGACGCGGGCAATCGTGTTAACCTTAATTATGTCCCCGACTTTCCATCCATGCGCCAACCGGCGGCTACGGGCTTTGGACACGTCACTATGCTTCAATATAATCAGAACAGACGACATTTTAACAGTAAGCTCTAGCATGCAGCAAACACACAAGACAAACCGCCTGTAACCTCAACGACTGGGCAGTTTCTAGGGCATAGAAAACAAGGGACCATTTCACGAAAGGCAGCTTCCCCCTTCGAAAGAGTCGGTGATACTTGGTGAAACGTGCAACATGAATCGGGTCGATCACCTGGGCCAAATGTGACACCGCTACGCTAACCACGTACAACTGCTTCCCCGCTGAAAAATTGGCACTGCGTGTACTTTTAGCGAGCACCTTAGTACAATTAACGAATTTATCGAGCTAGAAGGCGCTCCGACAAAGAGAATTAGGCGCAGAAAGCAAGACCGGCCCGGAGCGGAGGCCGTCACAAACGATAAGTTTGGACCACATTTGTAGCTACTACAGAATCGGGACTCCAAAAATATTACGGCGAAAAGGAATAGCGCAGATCTTAGAACCTTACAATAAAGTTTATGAGCTCGGATGTCAAATTATTGGCAGCAATTGAGAAGGATTTTGGAACATGCAAAGTAGAACACAGACATACCTCAGCAGCGATTTGAAAAGAGAGAGAGCCACCTGGCGGCGCCCAACGTTGTTTCACTTGTTTAACATTGGTAGTTTTTCCCCGTCAAAAAGCGCTAAATACCAAGGAAAAGTTGCGGATTTAAACTAAGGATTATATTCCTAACGAGCCTGTCCGTAAAGTATACCAGATAACAGAAAAATTAAAACATAAAGAGGACGAAAAACACACGAGTGTTTTGTCCTCTCTATGTTTTCTCCCGAAGGTCGAGTTCGAAAGGTTTCGAATGTTCGACCCGCGCTATGGCTCGAATCTATGGTCGAAATTGAAAAAAAGATTCCTCGCAAATTCATTAAAAAAAAAAAAAAAATCTTGAAATGCACGTGCCAGAGCGTTGGCCAGAGTCACTGCTTTTACTGAAAACGGTGCCCATTATTTCCCTTCCTTCTCAGTGCTGTGGTGCTGACGCTTCATCGAAAAGTTCTGACACGGTACGACGGTACTTTGCAAACTATACATGTAATGCTGGCATAATACGCACAACTAAATATGCAGGACACATTCACATAGAGGCATCCAGGCTTCCCGGAATTGTTTAGTTGCTGTGGACGTTTATTTTCGGCGGGATGACCCGAAAGTTCAGAGCCGAGAGAAATATATCTTAAAATATTAATTTGCTTATTCGTTATTTAATAAACATTCCAAAATATCTCCAACAAAATGCGTGAAGTTGGTGTCTTCAGTGCGTGCTACAGACACATATTCTTGAGCTGCTGCTGAAACCGCAGATGCCACCAAAGATGCCACATCAAACCTCTGGGGTGGCAAAGGTGGCAACGTCTTCTGCTTGTAGAGGGCCACGAAGAGGAGCATAGAGATGATCGACACGGACACGGTGGTCAGAATGGCCCCCACAATAACGCGCCGCTGATTGCGCACATGAGTCTGCTGCATTAGCTCTACCAGGTTGTCGGGAATGCTGGTCGCTTGTTGTACGGTCGTTGTGGGAGGTTCGATCGAGGGCTGAGTATGGCTGGCCATGGGGAATGACACACATCTGACGGAATGGACGGGATATGAATCATGAAAAACGGGACGATCGCTCCTTTGACCAGTGGCCTTGACTACGATGTTGTAATCTTCTTTTCTTTTTGGATGGCTCCGGACTTGGAGCGAAAATAAAGGTTTTCTCTCTCTCTCTCCCTCTCTCTCTTCTTTTTAAAGGAAATAACTTCTCTCAATAATTAACGACACTGCGTTTGTTGCTTTCGTAAAAGTTAAATATGTCTTGTGGGATCTTGCTTTAGACATAATGGTCGCAACCGCGAATTCGAAACCAAAACTCGTGTTGCAGCGGAGTAGTGAAACCGGACCACGTGCGGTTTTAGCCGGAACAGGTTATGTATCTGGCAACGTTGTGCGGGGCGGTCTCCTACTCTCCGACTTGTGTGGAATGGCCACTGGGAATGGCGCACTTACGTCTGGGTCGCCTGCAAATAAGTGACAGTTCCGACGGCGATCGCGACATTCTGGTCGGCAGCGACCTATGTGCGTCGTATGACAGCACTGAAGTCGCCGAGGCAGGACACTCCTGGTCAACTGCACTGCGTACGTTGAGGTTTTTAGGCGATACCCGGTTTAACCGATCACCCTTGTAGCAGACGCGCTCTGCACCGTCTGTTCAGATCTCGCTGATTTAATATCGTTCCAAGAGCGCGATCCGTCCAAATCGTAACCACTGGATAATTGGATAGTGACTCGAGTAGCTTTTCTTTATGCGTGTCACATCGTCGTGCGGGAGATCGGGACCTTTGTAGGAACGTTTTCTGCCGTTTGCTTTCGATGTGGGTCGCTCGGATCATACTTCGGGTAACTTTCCTCATTGAGCTCTTGTTTTTTATGGAACCCTTTAGATCACCATACGCGGAGGAAACCAATTTTGTGAGTGCACCTTTAATTTTTTGGGGCCCAGTTTAAGTGTATGCAACTCCGTCAACGTTGTGGACGCCACAGTAAACCGTCAAATTTTCTCTCTGATTTTAATTTGACGTGACTTCCTGCCATTCGAGCTGGCGAACCTATCTGTCAGACACTCGTGCAAGCATTGTTTGTTTCATTTGTGTATGCCTGCGTAAAATTGCGAACGATTTGTGATTTATTTCATGATACCGAGTTCATCGAGTACATTTAATTGTGAGATACACAAATTCTGCAACCGTTGTGGAAGAACAGTAGCTCGATGCAACATTAATTTTATACGTGATTTCTATTAGTATGCTTGCTGCATTCAAGTGAGACAAATCAGTTAGCATACCACATTGACCAAACTTAACAAAAATAATAATGTTTTGCCTCCCAAATACAGGAAACATCAAAGTGTCCTCTAAATCCTGCCAGAGTGTCAGGAATTAGAGGACATGACAGCCAGTAGATGGAGCTTCGTGTACACCTTAGGAAGGGGGCCGCGGATGACGTTGCAGGCCGATGATCCACCCCGCTGCACCCCACGTTTCTAAGTATCTTCATGGGGCCCTCCTCCATTCACGCTCCAGGGTGTCAACACATTCTTAAAGTCAAAATTGGGACTTGTCTAGGTCACCCTACAAACCATGCCTACGTAACAGCTATGAATGTGCTTCTGTAGCTAGATATATACTGTTTCTCTGCAGGGCCTAAGGAAGATTGGCAGTTAATGCCTGCAGATACTTTACTAAAGAATGCACCTTACTCTGCGAAAATCTCATGGCCGTGGAGCCGACGGCTTTCGATCGCATAGTTTGAACGGCTGGACACTCGCAGCCTCGGGGTTTTCCCCTTTCGATTGGTAGGGGTGGCTGCCGCTATCGTAAAGGCACCTTTGTGAAAAGTTTCAATACACTGCTTTCATTGGTTTATTTCTACAGTTTTTGATGGTTTACGGTTACTGGGGTAACTGGAGTCGGGGTTTCTGCCTTCCGACGGAATGCTCCAGGGTCCGCACAGGTCCTTAGAAACCCTTGAATTCGGAAATGATATTTTCAAGTCCTAGAAAACCCTGTAATTTTTAACAGTGCTTTAAAATTTCCTTGAACTTTGTGATCGTAATCATCAGCGTTGCCTTTTTGCGATAATAAAGAATGACTACTATATATATTTTTACATTCATATTAAAGTATATTCAGCTCGAAAATTTTAGATGAGAAAGTTTTGGGTTCATCTGTTCCATTGTGCATCTTCTGGTCTTACTTGGTTTTTCCTCAGTGGTTTGCAGTCGTCACATTTCCTCAGCCTGTTTGTTAGCAGCACTTGGTTGGCTCAGTCCGCTGATGCTACACATGGCGAGTAGTGCGCGTGGACATACTCGAGGTTGTGTGCGATGTCCAGGAAGTTAAACTTGCATTGGTCGTGTCTTACCTTGTGGGAAAACCTTCAGTATTTCGTCTGTGAAAGAGTCGTTGATAAAAAAGCTGAGAAAGCCATATCAGTTCTGTGACACACTGTGGCAACGTGAGAATGACAACAGATAGCTCCATGGGCCACAGCTTGCCTAAGTGGTCAGTCAGTTGATCAGCAAGTGGAAAACCTGAAGATGCACAAGTTAGCAATAAAACCTTCAAAACCTGAAGATGCACAACAAAATGCATAAGTTGGCAATAAAAAACATTCACAGTGTGTTAAAGAAGTTGTGTTATGGTAAGACTACCAAGTGCAACACTGTTTTTTTTGTTTTTTTTAATATATTTACAGGGGCCTCTAAGGTCCCTGAAAACCCTCGAATTTTCGTCTTCAAAACCTGTACAGATGGCGTGGATGTGCCCTACGACCTGTCCAACTCGGAGGAGCTCACCCGCTCCCACAATACGGAGCTGAACAGCCCTTGCGGGGAAATTCCACCAGACCGTCTGGCCAAGTGCTGGCAACTCAACTACCATGAAGCCGCCATATTCCTGGAGGTACATCCGTCCGTCTTATAGGTGGACGAGCCGATCTGGTTTACGGCCGTCCACTAGCTCCTCGAGGTTCTGGTGGATTTCTCTGCGGTTCCTTGAGGCTTGTATTCAAATATACAGGGTGTTTTCACTAATGTGGTCTGCTCGGTTGAGTTATAGTGGCCAGGGGGACGTGATGTAGGGGTCTAATTGTCACGACAAGTCAGATGATGAACTAAAATTTGTTGTAATTAACTTTTTAATTAGTGAAAATAGATATACAGCGTCAATTAGAAACTTGCTGAGTGCCATCGAAAACGACTAAATCAAGCAGCTGAAGAAAGCTTTGGTGCACATGCTTTGCTTCACTTTTTAATTAGTGAAAATAGATATACAGCGTCAATTAGAAACTTGCTGAGTGCCATCGAAAACGACTAAATCAAGCAGCTGAAGAAAGCTTTGGTGCACGTGCTTTGCTTTTTCTGGCCCCTGAAAATGCATGAAACTTTGATCCACTCATGCTGATTTTTTATATTTTAATCGTCCATGTTTCTTGCACTGCCAACCTTGTGCCTGTAGCGTGACTTTAGCATACCACCACACTTCTTACGCTCGCTTTAGAAAATTTACTGATTTAGTCGTTTTCGATGATGCTCAGCAAGTTTCTAATTAAAACCACGTCTTTATACTTCACTAACTAAAAAGTTAATTAAGAAGTTTTATAAAAGTAACCGGATTATCGTGTTGATTAGCCCCCTATGTTATGTGCCCCCAACCATATAATTTTCTTGCACAAATGCCATTGGAGTAGCTATCACGGCTTTTTTTAGAACAGTCTGTATAGCCGAGAAAAATGCCTTGTATGTGGGGTCCTAGACTGAAATAGATGAAAGTGTATTTTTTCACCTTTAGCCTACATTATGCAGCTTCTTGTTTTCATGGTTTATTTTTTGCAGAAAATTTAGATCTTATTCGAGTTTATTTTTTTTTGATTCCCAATTCTCCGAAGTACGCAGTTTAATTTCGCAGTGTTTCCTATTAAAAATAAATAAATAAATGAATAAATATTATTCAAGTTGAAACATGCTAGACAAAAAAGAAAAACCCCAAAAAACGCTTGTATCAATTAATATTTCTTCAGCTGGATTTGGCATTGGTGCACTGCTATTGGCAATACTAATTCGCACCACGACAGAAGTTGCACGCAAGTGTTGCTTCGATAAATGTCCATACCTTAAAATCAATAAACTCCTGGAGGTAGTCGCCGGTAAGCTCATATTTATCCCATCTTATTCCATCAGCCTACCCCGCAGCCGCACAAGGTGGAGTGGTTGAAAATGTAATTGAGAAGTTTCAGCTGCCTCTCTTCCCCATTTTATGACTTCTCTAGGGTCTATAGCTTTCTCTGTTACAAAAACATAACCTTTCCTTCCTCTAAAGCACAAATAATATGGCCCAAACTGGAAACCAAAACAATGAGTTTTGTCGTGACCTGAAAGTGCAATGACCTCTTGTCCTGAATGAACCGTGACGAGATAAGCAGTAAGACCCCTTTTGACAATGGTCCGAGATTTGAAAGATAATTGTGGTGGCATTTTCCCAGGACCATTGACCCTGTGCGTTGATCAAATTGTGAAATAACATCTTTCTTCTTTGTCAAAATTTGAAGTTTATTGGATAAATCCGAATTGACCAAAATTTATCCGGCAGGTGTTTTTCAGAGTTTTTCGGATTTATCCGAAAACGTGGAACCGTATCTATAAGATATATTTGTGCATCACATGGTCCCTCGCTGCGCAAGGTAGTCCTGTTTTCTTCTGTGCTGAATGTTGGGCAAAAGTGTAAAGGTTATGGGGTTTTTCTGATTGACAAAAAGGATTTACCAATGGACATTTTTAATCTGGAGCTGCTGTACCTACAAGTGTCGCATCTCTGCAGCATGCTCAAATCACTATACAATGTCTGTCACACCTAGCATATGTGGGCCAAGTATCTAGTTTACTCTAAATAGACTGGAAAAATCTGTTTTACCCAGTGAATGAATTACACTATAATTTGACACAGACGTGGTTAGTGGATGTTATTTATTTAATAAAAATATGAATGGACAAGCCTACTCAGTAAAAATTTATAAAATAAAAACGGAAAGTTTTTCGTGAGTTTTCACTTGTTTTAAGTTGGTGCGAGAAAGCATTGTTGGGGTCCATTGGGACATTTGATTGAATCAACATGGAAAGATTATTCTGACTTTGCCTCCGTTCCTTGTTGCACCCAATCAAATGGCCTACAACGTGGCATCGTTTTATTCATCAAAGAAATCCTGGTTTTTGTTTGTCCCGTTTGGTAAAGGCATGCAGCTTCTTTAATGTTTTCACAAAATAAGTTCACCATGTAGCCACTTTTTGTAGCAAATTACAGTGTCCTAGCATCTAAAATTGATATTTGAGATTTATTTCCAGGGGGCTAGGTTCCTTTGGCTGATGCTGTAGAAGATAGAGTAACATACACTACAATATGGCAGTTTAAAGACCATTTAATGGAGAACTTAAGAAGAATATCTGAAATCCCTCGTGTTCCCATGCTGCAAGCCCCACCTGCCCACACATTCCTGAGAACCCAGGCCAAAGGAGCGCGAGAGACAGCATCCCTGGCTCATTGTTTTTGTAGCACACTTGCTGGGAGGTTTCGTCACCTCCCAAGACAGGAGGAAAGCGTCACCTCTGTCACTGGCACAGAGTTGCAGAGGGGGGTCAGAACAAGGACAGGTTGTTCTAGCCCTTCCAACGTTGTCTGTGTTTCTGATCCCAGGAGGGTCAGAACCAAAGCAAGTTGTTCTGTCCCCCCCCCCCCCCCCCCTCAACGCTCTCTCTTGTTTTCCGTTCCCAGGAGGGCCAGAACAACGACAAGCTGGACTTCCACCCGTGCAGCCACGCGGCCCTTCCGGCCTATTTGGTGGTGCATAACCGGCTCTTCTACTGCCTCGACCTTCTCTCGGCCGTGGTACTCATGAGTCTGGCCCTCATGGAGGAGCCCGCCCTGCCAGGCCTGGACGTGCCCATCGCGGTGGGTAACCCCCTCCTGAGGCTGCTCGTAGACGTTGCCACTCTTACTCGGCTTCTCGGAGCCTAAATGCCAGTGGCTGCCGGGGACAATTTTGAACTTTTCTGAGCGAACCCTTCGCATTTCTGCATCCCTGGCTTGGTTTGTAACAGACGAAGCAGGCTGCATGCATCTGATATAGTATACCTACTTCGATTGTGCATGCAGGGGGTAATGAATGTGATATAAGACATTAGCTTCTGAACAGCGAATATGGTTACCATGGATCTTGTTATGTGTATTTACGTATTACATTCAAACAATACTACCCTTAGTAGGGGAGACAGAGGCAGCATCTGTGGTAGTTAAAAGAAGAAATGTTTCAAGCCTGGCAGGACCTTCGTCAGTATGAAAGAGATCTAGATCAAAGAATCTGACGAGAACAGAAACATATTCCTCCTCTATGCTTTATATATCTGAAGAGTTTGTTTTGAGCCCTATAACCAGCCGAAGTGAAAAATTTGTTCCAAGGGGTACCTTTATAAAGTGAAACAAGGTGATAAGTGTTGGGCATAACACAAACATTTTAAAATTTACTTTCCCAAAAAAGCCCTGTCTCTGATAATTAGTAGCTGCATGTCTGAACATCCATGTCAACACTTCTGCACAGTGTTGCAAAAGGATTTGGAAGGTGCCTGCATTTTGTGGGTGGTCTTACAAACAAAGCATTGTGTGGACCTACTCTGGTATGCCTTTGACTATGCTGTGCAAAGCTCGTTAAACGAAGTGTAGTTCCACTTTTCTTCTTTAAACACCTCAAAGCATTATTGCAAACCCTACTTGCTGTTAATTTTTTCTGTGCTTACTCTGGACCGTTGCTCTGCTTTCTTATTGCAAGCTACTCCAGCAGGGATACTTGTACCTTGCTGTGGCTCGTAAGTACTAGTTACAGTAACACGGCTTCGTTCAGCTGCATACTAGTGGCATGTGAAATGGGGAAAGATTGTAATATCCCTTTTCTTATATCGCAGTTTCACGTCGCCGTGGAGTTGCTGGCTCTGTGCGTCGTGGCCGCGGAACTCGTCATGAAGCTTCGCTGGCTCGGGCTTCGTCCCTTCTTTGCGCACAAGCGAACTGTTTTTAAGGTCTGGAACACTCACACTCCTCGGAATCTTTGATCAGAGGCCCCGTTCAGAAGGCTTATTGCATTTACGGGTTTCTCACACAACGTGCAACCTACTTATGAGAAACTACCTTTGTGATAAGCATCTTTAGGGGGAGATAGGGTCTTGAAAAGTGAAAATTACAAAAACAAAAGATTTTACAAAATATTTGGTTTTCTTGATTAAAAGGTCACATGACTACATATTTCCCACTTATTAGACTCAGAAAGCTCACACCTATTTAGTAACATAGATTAAAAGTAACGCATTCTAGAAAGGAAGAAAACAAAATGAGGCGGTGTACAGAGTTAGAGTGCATGGCAGGATCAAAAACAGGTGCCTGGTCCGACATTAAACAGTTGGTAAGCGGAACACGCTTCAATGATCAGGCAGTTTACGATCATAATTTCGAAACTGTTTTTTTTTGTTTTTGCAGAATTAATTTTGTTACAATTCTCCATTTTGTCCTGTATCCTCGTATCTACAACTTGGATCTGAATAATTCTTTTTTTGATACCTGGTAGGTTGGGTTCCTTTTGGGTAGCTTATTTCTTGTGAAATTTGGAGGGTGTTTTTCGGAGTTCATTTATGATAGATTCCCGATTCCCCGAAATTAGAAGTCTAATTTTTCTGTGTGCCCTATTTTTCAAAATTCAATATAGAAACAAGCATTATCCAGACATAAACCTGACATAAATTTGAAAGAACTCACCTGCATCGAATGATATTCCTTCAGCTAGATTGGGCATTCGTGTCCTTGCCATTGGTAATGAGTGCCCCACAACAAAACTTGTAAACAAGTGTTGCTTTAATGCGCATTAATACTTTAAAATCACTGCAATCCTTGATGTAGTGTCTGGAAAGCTCGTGTTCTTCCCATCCCATTCCACCGCTCAATTTTCTGGCTGCACAAGGTGGAGCAGTGGAATGGGATGAACTTCTCCCAAACTGAGGTGGAAACTGAAAACCAGATCAGTGGGTTTTGTTGTAACTATTCGTGTGCGAGTAGTGCATTTTGAGTTCAAAGCGAATGGTGGTTTTGACCGAATATTTTTTTTAATTGAATATTGAAGATTTTTTCTAAGCCTTTCACTAATGTTGCACCCTTTTTGAAACAAAAACCCAGCTGAACTTCTGAAGCTTGTTCCCAAGCTTCCACATGTCCATTTTCTAAGCTAAGTTTAATGTAACTGTGTTTAGGGACTTTGGCTACAAAAATTCAGATGCCCATAGTATTGGGATGGCATAATGATAATAATTGTGTTTTATATCTGCTTATATACAGCTGGAAGTTAGTTATCAGTCTTAGTGGGCATCTGGTGTCTTAGCTGTAGATGAGACATTTAACCAGTGCAGTACAATTGCCAGCCTGGGGTCTTTAACAAGCACCTCACAGTAGTGATACAGTGATACACAACGGCACGCCAGTACGATGCTCATTCAAATCGAAACAGGCGGGGGTGCGGATTGAATTCAAATTCCTGGGTTCTACAGCACGAGATTTTGTACCGCATGCTGCGAGTTCTGGTACGCTAACCCACTCGGTCACAGATCCGCCCTTGGAATGGCAAGGAAACAACGGATTTGACATAAAATTAAACCTATAGAGATGCCCAGCTGTACCTACTCAAGGGGATTTATAGGTCTTGTGATTCACAAACATCTTTTCTTCAATTTCGATGCAAAAGAAAAGAAATAATTACTCTCAAATTTTGAATGCAAGTTGTCAGGGCATCTCTGCTTAACATACTGTATACTCTCACATAATAGCTACAGTTTAATTTTGAAAATTTTACTGCAATGCCGGTATCCGCATTTACAAAATTTCCATTTCTTTTTTAAATACACCAGGCCCGTGCGTGCACCATACCGCTTTAAAAGGTTGTTTCTCTTCCGATCGTGCAACTGCAATATTTGTACTTTTTGAAATGTCGATTGGGGAGGGTTAGCCCCATTGAGCATGCTTCTTAGCAAGCCCCGGTGCACTGCAGAGAAGCAACACCCGCGGAGCCCGCATCCGCGGGTGTTGCTTCTTTGCAGTGCATCCGTGCGCGGTAAGAAGCGCGCCCATTGGAGCTAACCCGCTGCAATCAACACTTTGAGAAATAGGAATTTCACAGTTCATCTCGAAGCAAATATCAAATAGCGAATTATTCGAAACTACTATTAGAAAATTTTAATATTTGTGCAAGACTAGTTCTGACCCAAAATTACAATGATTTTAGAAATTACACTTCTGAACAAGACTTGACGGGATAAATGGTAAACTGCCTTTTATCCGTAGTCTGAGATTTGAAAGGAAACTAGAAAGGCCTTTCTTTCTGACCACTGACCCTGTGCTCTGACCAAGCTAATCTCTAGAATACCGTGTTTTTTTTGTTTTTCTCAACAAGATTTTTTTGGATATATCTGAATCTATGAAAATTTTCCCAGGGAGTGTTTTCTTTTAAATATTATTGATTTTATTCGAAAGCACATCACTCTAACCGGTAATTCATAGAGTTCAATGAGACTAAGACTTCTGAAGAATGCTGAATGTAGGACTTTCCAATTGGCAATGAAGGTTCAATTCTAACTATCGTTGAAAAAAATCTCAACATCTAAGGACTTTTTTTAAGATAAATCAGAATGTGCGAGAATAGGAGTTGGGAGAGAGAGAGAGAAAAAGAGAGAGAGGTGTCTTGTGAAAAAAAAAAGAGTCACGGCAGGTAGACTGACCTGGTTCTCTGTCTCCTGTCACGTGTCCAGTTGACCATCCTGCTGCTCATGTTTGTGGAGGCCCTGGTGGTGGCTGCACGCCAGACCAACCACTTCAGAGTCCTGCGTGCCCTCAGGCCCATCTTCCTCATCGACAACCACTACCTGGGCGGCGTGCGCAGGTGATGAGCTCACACCTTTATGCCCCTTCCTCCCACTCACCGCTGTCGGGTTGCTTCTGGACTAATGCAGTCCAATAGTATGCTTTTTGTTTATCAATGAAGCTGTCTGGCACTATATTTAGGGTGCCTAAATATCCAGACATCTTAAACCTGGGACCAGTTCCTAAACTGGGTTCGTCGAGCACTTAAATCTCGAGTTATTGGCAACGTGCCGAACTGGAACCGCCGCTGTGGTCGGCCTTTCATAATTGGCCAAAAGCCTGATAATGACATCTTTAGTTTGATTCGTTATGCTTTCAGCGATGGAAATAAGAATAGTTTCAGACTGTCAACCTTGACGGTATCGGTTTAAGAACGCAATGAGTCCAAGCTTCCGCCGTGCTGTTTACGGACACAGTCAAACTTGTTGTTTACGGCTGGTAAAAAGTGGTCAGGATTACAAAGTGTCACATTATGGCAAGGCAAATTCTGGTTGTGACATCATGAATGGGAGCCGTAAGAGTGTGCCACCAAACTATCTCTGTGCAAATATTTTGAAGTGTCCTCGACATTCTCCATTGAAACAAAACATTCAAAAACCTAAGGTATGTTTCAGAGCATGGAAATATTCTAAAGCATTGAAAATGTAATGAGTTGTTCCCGGGCATTGAATACATAAAGCATTATGTTATTGTTATTACTCTTCATACTATTTCCTAAGGCAGCCTCATCCTTTCGCAGACTGACGCGGCAGATTCTGCAGTCGCTGCCCCCAGTCTTCGACATGCTCGTCATCCTCTTCTTCTTCATGACAATGTTTGCCATTCTAGGTAACCCCCACTTGCATTCATTGTTGGAACTGAAACCATTTTCATACCATAGCCTCGCATAGCATGCGGGGTCATCGGCAATCAGGCAGAGACTGGCGCTTTGGTCCACTGCAACAATCCCAAGCTGGGCGGACAACTAAACTTCTGATTTGTGCTCAAAGTGTGTTGCAGCATTTCCGGCAGCGTTTTCATGCTTTTAAAGCTAGCTTAAGTAACCCCTTAAGTGCCTTAGACGAGCTGAGCTCGTCGGCCACTTTTTGGCTAAAAATGCCGGGACGAGCTCAGCTCGTCCAGTGGTTTTTTTCGGTTGCCCTCGATTCCACGGACGAGCTAGGCTCGTCCGAGTAGTTTTGCAGTGCTGATCATAGATGGGCAGCACTCGTATTAGTTGGCAAATATTTTTTTCGCCTCCACTGATTTTCGCGAAATAAACTTTTCAAATTTTATGTGTAATACAAGAGGAGTAACAATTCAAAATAAAAAAATCTGGCACTTTTAAGTTACTTTTGGAAAAAAGAAATTGGCACTTAAGGGATTAGAGAGGACTGGAAAACAATGGAAAGACCAAACACCGAGCACCCTTTTATGTTTTTGGCTCCAGTTGTTTTTCTGGCTGTGTACTTGGGCATACTGTAAACCACTTAAAATTTCTGCGAGAACCGATGTAAAAAGGAAAATGTAATACAAGTCAAATTGTGAATACAAATTTGTTTTCAGGTAAGTCTGATAAAATCCGAAAAACACTCACCAGTGAAATTTTTCCTAATTTGGATGTATCTGAGAAACCCTAAACTTAAAAATTACAGTAACAAAAAAAAAAAAGAAAATAAATAAATTAATAAAGACAGTAAGTTTTGGTTAGTGGTCCCGAAGAGAGGCCACTTTAGTTTTATATCTCGGATCATAGACTAAAGGGAATTTACAATATATTTTGTCAACATTCCTTCAGCACAATAGGTCGTTGCACTCGTAGGTCACGGCAAAAGCCACTTTTCTGGTCTCCAGTTTGGACCATATACTATTTGTGCTTCTTAGAGGAGGTTAGGTCATGTTTTTATAACAGGGAAAAAATATGAACCCATAAATTTCAAAAGAAGGGGGGGGGGAGGGGGGGTGCAGGGCAGCGGAGTTTTTACGCTTCCCGGCGACTGCTTTCAACCAAAGCCAATCAGAGGCTGGCGTCGTTCTGTCACCTCTGAAACTCTTGCACAAAAAGCAGACGACTTGCTCCCTGCATTGCTGTAGATTGCCAACACATTCGTGCTTTTGTTAATAGTATGGCATGCCGCGTCCTAACGGCTTGCCTCGAAATCCCATCTTTCAGCTTACCACATGTTTGCTGCTGCACCTGAGCAAGTAAGTCCTGTTCCCTTTTGTTCTAGCATCCTCCATGAATGCCCATTGTGCAGTATTCTGCATCTATCCCTTGCCGGCATCCACCTTTGACTCGCTTTCAATGGTTATTAAAATGACCTCTTTTTGCAGTGAACATTGAATGCATGTACATAGGGAATACCTGTAGATGGTACCTTCCTTGAGGTGTCAATGGGGCTATTTATTTGAGAGAGGTTTCACAGTATGCCAGTAAAAAATTAATTTAGTGGGGAAGGTGTAATTTCACCCCTACGACCAAAAAAAAAACAAAAAAACAAAGAAGTGGTACGTACAAATGTTTTTGTTTTTTGCTTTTGTTTTGAGAGATAGACACTCGGTTTACGTGTCAAAGATTGAAGAGTCAGCAAACCGTACGAGATGGGTATGGGGATGGTCAGAGTGCCGTGGCTTTTTGGGAATTAGTCACAGTTAGCATCATGAGTAAAGCTTGAGTGGGATTCATCATTGGTCAGAGGGGAAAATAATATATTATCATCATATGCAATTGTACCCCAGCCCTGGAATAATACCACAGATTTTTGTGAACTATATTTGTTTAATTCAAAGGACATGCTATGGAAGATTTCTGTGAAGGAAAGAACCCCATTTTTATACTACTATTTTCATCAACCTGGAGTAAAGAACAAAATGATGTACCCAATTTAGTTATTTTATTTTTCGACAGAATTTAAATTGCGGTGTTCTTTTCTTCATATACGAAGCCTAAAATGAAATGCTTCGGTGATTGATTGTTAGACATCGGGTCTCCAAAATGTTCGCCTGAAACATCCAAGTTCAGCTCGAGCAGGTTCCTGCCTCGCGTTTCGATGCAGTCACGTTTCATTCCGCATAGACACTTAACGTGCCAGTGCCAGCTGTGTTCGTGCGGACCGAGTTTAAAAAAAAAAAAACTTTCCGTTACGTTGCAGTACTTCAGCACACTGTACGACAGTTTCATGAATCTCTTCGTGCTCCTGACCACATCCAAGTGAGTTGAGAAGTTACGCGTTTGTCAGAGTACCCTCGCCTTAAATTGCATTGGAGACAATTTGTGCACGGATTCTACGCTCCTATACGGAGCGTATAATCTATAATGGAGTGGCACTTTGTTAAGATCAAGTCTAGATTATAGCCACCAACAGAATAAACATGGCTGGGCATTTTTGAACCCCGGTCTCCAGCACGCGCTCCGTGCCTTCCGACGCACTTTGGCTGTGCGCACGCGCTCGAGGTGCCCGAGACGTGATGCGCTGTCTGAGGTAGGGAGCCTGTGCTGGGGGCGTGAAAGCTGAAACTCTTTCCTGTTATTTTCACCCCGTCCGTGACTGCAAATGGCCCATTGCCATTTTTGTCGTTTTAAAGCGATTAGCTTTCTTAAGACCTTCAGGCCACTTTGAGGTATGTTTCTGGCCTACACACAAATTCAGTTTGCCCGGTAGATTTAGCGGGAAAATCGACCTCGCGTGACCTCAGCACAACTTCAACTTCCCCGCTAAATTTGGTGGAAAACTTGACGTCGCTTGACCTCAACACCAGTCCAGTTTCCCCGCTAAATTTAGCGAGGAAAATGACATTGCGTGACTTCGGATCATGTGATCTATGCACAAATTCGATTTCCCCGCTGAATTTAGCTTGGAAAGCGACGTTGCACGATGTTGCGTGACCTACACACAAATCCAGTTTAGATTTAGCGGGAAAATTGACGTCTTATGACATGTCACAGCTCTTTCAGTTATGTCTGATGCTAACCGCTTAAATCAGACAGCAAGATATATACGTAATTGGTTTTGTTTAGCTTTGTTTTCTCCATTGAATTCACGCAAAATAGGTTAGATGAACAGGAGCCTCCAAAATGGCCTTCTCTACAATGTCTTCATGCGGGGTGGAGGCCTTTCCTTGACGTGTCTTATCTGCCGCGACTGGTTCCAGTTTTCCCGACGTGATGATCCCGTACTACGCACGCTCCAAGTGGGCCTCACTTTTCTTTGTGGTCTTCCTCCTGGTTCACCTCTACTTCCTCATGAACCTGGTGAGCAGCTCCCTGCCTTTTTTTTTTCCTGGTACTATTCAATGACTGTATCTGCTGCAAGTAATACAGGTTAGGGTTCCTGGTTTTTGTCATTTTTTTTGTTTATTACCATTCAGTGCAATACATCGGCATTATTTTGCTGTGCTTAAACCGCCATTTATTGATATTTGTTCCCCGTGGGTATGACTCTGTGAAAAAACGATGCAAAACGCGCATTACAATGGAACAAATGGAGATAAAGGAAAGCAAACAAAGTCAGAGCAGCGTAGACATTATCTACCAGCTCCCCGATTTTCGTTGCTTGAGCCGTTTCAATCAAATATGCCTGGAAGGGCAGTTGCACTATGATTGTTGCCTGTGGCTATATTTGATACTATGTACAGTAGTATTTAGCATTACTGATTGTTCCCGAGAGCACAGAAACTCTAATGTTTCATTTAAGATCCGCATTGTGGTGCCGCAAATAACGGATTAAAATTGCAACCCAGTAAACTCTAATTTAGTCGGAACATGTGCTCGAACCTGTGGGCTAGATAACAGCAGTAGCCGATTGCACACAGCGCATACAATTAACAACTGCACGTTTCACACTGTACGCTTTATAAAGGCTACATCCTAGATTTGGGCATGAAAGCATGAGAGCTGGCCCTGCATCCCGAAATGGATGGCAGAGAAACATTTGAGTGCCGATGCAAGAGGCATGGCTTTCCCCCTCAGGTGCTGGCGGTGGTGTACGAGCGCTTCTCGTCGCTGGAAAAGGACAAGTTCCGCAAGCTGCTGCTGCACCGCAGGAAAGCGTGCCAGCAGGCCTTTCGGCTCCTGGTGAACCGCACCTCCCCGTCCTGCCTGTATTTCTGCCACTTTGAAGGCCTCATGCGCTACTATAAGCCACGTGCCAGTGAGTGCCTCAGTATTCTAGGGGGCATTAATTTCTTACTGTGCGGGATACTGGCCTTGTCCGCATGGCAGAGTTTACTGTGTTTAGACGTGATGGGAATGGACAGCTCGGTAAATGCAGGCAGACAGAACCACGACAAGACAAAGCTGTCTTGTCGTGATTGTGCCTTTTCTTCTTCTGCACTTACTGAGCTCTTCAACCCCATGATATATGTATACCAACTGGCCCAATTTGTTACTTTCATACTGTATTATACACCGTCTCTCTTATAATTTGGTGGTGTAATTTTATATCTATTAAACACGCAGGACGGAGAGTGACGGGATTTAGCTCTGCGGCTTGTGTCTCGTGGTTTGGAATTAATTTGAACTTTATTTTATACCATGAGATGAAATTGTATTGTGACTTCGTCCCGTGGAAATTACTTTACGATTTCATATTGTATACAATACGAGTAGAAAATTATATCTTGATATTCTAAATTTGTAATGTAGACTGCAAATGAAAATCACTGCTGTCCATGGTCAGGGCGCACTGAAAAAATAATTTTCGCGGCACTTTTATTTTTTTAGAGCAATACGGAATCCTATCTCAAACACGAACGAAGCCGCAACTTTTTTAAAAATGCGTACATATGGACCCACCCAAAGTAAGAGCTTTTAGCCTTTGCGCAGCTGCGCTATGTGAAAGGGGTGACAGCGACACCAACGTCTCGAGCGTCGCTTTCTCCACACAGGGAAGCGCACTCAAAGGAGCTCCAGTGGACGTCATAAGGAGTAAAGAAATATTCAAATCAAACTTTATGGGATCCAAGGATCAAATTTAACACAGCATTTCTCGGGTCAATATGTGATAGGCAGGACAGGTCTTAAAAGGACGAGTCATTTCATCCAGAAATTGAATCAGATACATTGTTTCTTGAATTATTATGTTTGAGAGTTAGGCTGGATCACATAACAAGACAGATCATGTCACCTAAAGTTCAATTCAAATACACTATTACTTGAACCTATATTTGGGGGTTAGGATGAATATCAAAAGAAGACACGTCAAGTCCTTCTCGTGTTTCAGAGCGGAGAGAGGTGTACCTCATGTTCAAGACCATGGACGTGTCCAGAAATGGGTTTCTGTCCCAGGAGGACTTCCTTCAGGTGTATGAAGCCAGCACCCTGTCCTGGGAGGCAAGTTTACTACAGATTAGCTTAGAGCACTGGAAGTAAAAGCTGCCGGCTTCCCATTCTTATCTGGATGAGTGTCGTAATGGTGTGTGGACACACAATCACTGCTGCTTGATAAGTGTTAAAGACCTCAGATTAGCAGTCATACTACACTGGCCAAAATACCTGTCTTCAGTGAAAACGGACCAACTTTCTAACCGGGTGGCAGCCGATCACGGCAACACATACATTCGCATGTGCACTCACCGTATTATAAAAATTAATTTGAGTACTCCCTACACCCACTATGCTGACAAAGTTTACATGGATTTATCAAATAAATACGTGCATTTTTGTCTCAATATTACGGACCACTTGCATTATGGAAAATTTTGGGGGAGTGTAGGTGTTCATTTTGATGAGGCATCACTAACACACATTGAAAACCCCAAAAACCCCTGCTATAAGGTCTTTAGGAAAAGTTACAGTAAGGATAACACCCGAGACTGTGGTGAAGACGGTTAACTTTTAGTTGGAGGAACTTTCCCTTCTGTGTCTGTTCGTTCGACTAAAAGTTCTTAAATTCCTCCACCACAGCTCGCCTGCGCACTCACAGTCTTTTCACTATGAGTGTTTCTTTCGGCTGTTCTAGATATGCTTTAAATTAGGGGTGGGCGAATATTCGAAATTTCGAATACGAATCGAATATTATACATTTAATATTCATATTCGATTCGTAAACCAAGTCTCCGGCATTTTTCGAATATTTGTTGTAACACGAATATTCGAAATTAATTGAATATTCGAAAACATATTCACAAGCGTAAGTTTTGCTTTCGGCTTTGGTTAGTTAGGCCCATTAACAGCGACATAGCTGCATGGTGGCTTCAACCTAAACTGGTGGCGCCGGTGTCAGTAGCGGTAATCTGTGAGTTTCTGTGCCCTTGGGACTCCTGACTTTTTAAACTGCTCACTTTCACGTTCACCCACCCGTGTTATGGCGGATGGAAGTGTTAATTTTGAGAGGAACCGTCTGCGAAGCGGAAGAACAAACAGGAAACGGCTCCAAAACGAAGAAAAAGGAGCGCTATTTGGAATTATTTTGCCAGGGTGACGGCTTCGATGGCGCAATGTACGGCGTGCGACTCAGCGCCCACGGGGACGACAACGCCTCTTGTCAACCATCTCAGAGCACATCCAGCGTTGTTGAAAGAGTGTCATGGGATTACCGCTGGTAAGCCAGGAAAAGATCAACTGACGCTGACGGACTTCGATCACCGCATGGAGCCCCTGCCAGAAAAGAGGATGCGAGCGCTAAATAACAAGGTGGCCGCCGTGGTGGCACTTGATTTACAGCCTTACAGCATTGTGGAAGACCGCGGCTTCAAAGAACTTCTGACAGAAGCCGTTCCCAACCATCGCCTTACCATCCTGATCTACACTCTCGCGCATGCTTGTGCTACGGATGTATGACGACACCCGAAACAAGGTGAAAGCAGAGCTCAACAACGCCTTTGAAGGCGGCGCTGCCGCTGTTGCCTTCACGAGCGACATGTGGACATCGCGTGCTAATGAAAGTTACGTGAGCTTCATCCGCCATCTTCTCACTCCAGAATTCATGATGAAGCGGGTCACATCGAACACTTGACACATGGCTGCCAGTCACAGTTCAGTGAACGTTGCAATCATGCTGTAGAAATGTGCGGTGACTGGGAGATACCCGATGAATTTGCGACGTTCATTGTAATGTATAACGGGCGCGACATCCGTGTTGCAGTAAGGGGACTTCTGTGGACTGAAAGAGCATGCTTCGCACATACGCTCCAACTGGCGATTAATGACGAGAGATCCAGTTCACCGGCCATCGATCGCGTGTGCAAAAAAGTGAAGCATATTGGGGGACATTACAAGCAAAGTTCATCAGCTCAGAAAAGGCTTGAAAAGTACCAAAAGAAGATGAGAAAGGACGCATTACGTATGGTGCAAGACATGGAGACGAGATGGAATAGCCAATATCTAATGTTGTCTCGCCTTCTGGAACTCAAAGAAGCAGTCAATGTATAACTTGTTACCTTGGACTGTGACATTGATGAACTTAATTGGTTCATCACAGTGGAAAGATGTTTCTGAATATGCGCAAGCATTGAAGCCATTGTTTGATGCCTCTCTTATTGCCAGTGCTGAGAACTACCTGTCTTTGTCCTCCCAAGTTCCTATGATTTTGGTATGCCCCACTGTTGGGGCATCAGAATTTCCCACAGAACTGATAAGATTAATCAAGGCACGGTTCACTTTGTATAAGGTGGACAAAGAAGCATGCCTTGCTGTGTTCTTGGACCCACGTTCAAGTCCACTATTTGTAAAGCTGAACAGAAAAAAAGTATTATTATGGCTAAAAGCTCTGGTGCTGCAAAAGCTAGCCTCATGTGATGCTACTGAAGCCGGATGCTGCAACAGAGTCAGAAGAGCAGGGCTTAACACCTTCAGCAATGTTTGGCAAGCATTTCACCATTTAGTCAAAAATGAAATGGAGAGCGAAGTGGTTTCAGCTTCAGTATAAGAAGTTGTAGCTTATGTGGAGGAGGCACTGCGAAAAAGAGAAAGTGATCTGTGTGAGTTGTGGCGAACTGTCGAGTGCTGAAGATAGCCGAGTCTGGCGAAGCTTTGCATCAAATACCTGGCAAAACCTGCTACCTCTGTGCTGAGGGAGAGATTTTTTGCTGTGGCTGGAGGTGTGGATCCGCTCGAAGGGAGCGCCTCCTACCTGACCATGTGCAGCAGTTGATTTTTCTGCATGACAACTTGTGATCTTCCCTACAATTACAATTTTCGTTTTTGTGTTTTTATTCTCGTCAACACCAGTGCCTCACTGGTGTTAACGAGAATAAAAACACAAAAACGAAAATTCTACTTGTAGTGACGATAACAAGTTGTCATGCAGAAAAATCAACTGCAGTTCTGCAGTTCATAAATCAAGAAATCAAAAATCAACAGAAAAATCAACTGCATTTCCGACATGTGAAAATAAAAATGCTGTAAATAAATGTAACTGCCTTCGACTATTCAATATTCAATTCGATATTCGAAGCTAACTATTTGTATTCGATTCGTATTCGAAAATATTAATATTTGCACACCCCTACTTTAAATAAAAAAAATAATCATGTTATACACAATCAGCCACTGCCATATTTACTTTTCTCAAAATTTTTGCCTGCTGAAAGAATAGCCAGTTGTAAAAGGCCACCAGGTGAACTAGTGTTGACAGTTCATTCAGTTTGTCTCAAAGGATAAAGCGTGAGCATACCATTTGTTGCCTGTGTCATTATCGCTATCACATCACTAGGGGCACGGCAAGATAAATTTTCATGGGCATCGTTGGAGGTGAATTGTAAAAGCTATCCGTGTCTCAGCAGCTTGTTCATAAACTAAGGCTAAACTGCATTATTACAAGATTTTATAAAACTTTTTTGTTTTCTTGTTACTGCAGAGGAAATGGTCTGATTCACCCTGGTTCAGTGAACTCAAGAGACCCTGTGAGAAGAAGTTATTTCAAGGTATGATCACACTTGCTGCAGCTTTGGCCAACTTATCTTGTTTGCACATTATAACCAGTGAAACCAGTCATCATTCTTCATGATTTGTAGCGAAAATCAACATCTTTACCGTTTTACTAAGTACTACTGCTTAGCTCGCTTTTATTACTTTAGAATTCAGAATATTTCGAGACAAATAAGTCTTTGGGGGCTTGTTTAAAATGTATGCAGGTACTAGTTCCTAATGCTTTTAGAGATGTGCATTGATACATTATGAAGATTGGAGGGAGGCCTGCATAACGTTTGTACACATTGTGAACTTGACCACAGGGTGTGCAGAAGCTAGAATAATGTCAAAAAAAAATTCAAGAATGGCATTCCTAGAATCAGTGAAAAATACTTCATGCTTTTTGAAACTTTGTGTAAATGGATGCCTCAAAATTAGTGGACATCATTTACTCTGCAAAACATTAAAACTTCATTTTAAAATAGAACAATATATGGCTGGCTTCCGTGAGATGAGCAGAAAGTCACAAGAGTGTAAAAAAAAAAAGTGAAAAATTGAGCGGACGTTGTTGGGCAGGCCAATAGTGTTCCCAAATTAAGTCTCATAATGTCTTTTGTTTCTTGCCCAGGTGCCTACAGGTTAATAACGTGGAAATGGAGCAACGTCATAATTTGTAAGCAGCTTTGCTCCTCTTGGAACACGTTCTCCTACATGTTCAAATGGGGTTTCTGGTTTTCGCGGTTTCTTTTCGACCAGGTTCGGCGTAGTAAATCGGAGTTTATTCCACTTGGAGGGGATCGGCCTTTGCCAGTTTTTGTTTCGCATGATATCAAAAGCAGCATATAATATCAACTAAAAAAAGGATGTAAAGCAAACTGCTACATACTTAGAGCAAGTATAGAATATCAGACATATAATCACTTTTATAAGACTTGCTTTAACTTTTTCCGATTGTAATTGCTAAAAACAGCGATCTTTGTTTACCATGGGGACCTGGACCTATATTAATATTATTAACTAAAAACACAAGATGCCCAAGTAACATCAAAATAGGCTATATAGTTACCAAAATTGCCGATGCTTATCTTTTCCCACGGTTTTATTGGGACAGCATTTGGCACACATCTATTGGTGTTCGAAAAGAATATGAAACGAGAAAACATGGGTTACAGGCCACTCGCATCTTTACGAGTTGTGCAATGTCAACGAGATGCATCTTAACCCCTTAACTGGGGACTTTTTTGACCAAAAATATCTGTGAAATCGGGAGTTTTTTTTTAAGTGTTTTTAGCTCTCGAAGGTATAACAATAATCTCAAAACCTAAAACAAATTTATTTATATCAAGTTGGATGTGCACCCCGGCACTTCCTTCAATCCGAAATGGATCTTTTACTGTGGTGGCGTCTTGCCATGTTGCAGTGGACCCCGAAGTTGATGATGTTACAATTGTTCTGCTGTGTCATCTTCAATTTGCGTGTCAGATCCCGGGGAGCATTCCATCGAACTCAAGAAATCACTATCGCAGTCGCTATCCTTGCAAGTAGTTGGCAGCAGCTCAGCGATTTCTTCGTTGGTCAAGGGATGTGCTGGCAATTGCTGGACGCCATTTTCCAAACAAACAGTCAAAGGTGTCATACAGGAGTCTTCAACCTTTTTTTGTGGTGCCATGTATGCATCGTTTTTAAAACAAAAAATGTTTCCAATACACAAGGATAGATGGCGCATCCTACCCACACGCTAAATTGAGCAAGCGTTTAAAGACGCGCTTCCCAACAGCAGAAAAAGTGCAGCGCGTCTATAGACGCGCCCCCCAATCTGCGGTCAAAATCGATGGGCGCCTAAAGGCGCGCTCCCAGTTAAGGGGTTAAGGGGGGACACTACCCAAGAGGGTCAACTTTTGAGCCTATGGCTTAATATGAATTAAATTTACAGTTTATACTGGCAGTTGCAAGGCAAAATGCAGTATGAAGTTTCATCTGTGTACATGAATTGTAAAATAAATTATAGTCGTTTTTATCAGGAACACATCGACTTTGTTTAGGAAAAATATTGTGGGAAACTAATGTAATACCCAACATTTTTCTACTCTAGATCTGCAGCAGAATGCCTGGAGAGTGCAACTGTGAAAACAAAATTTCCAAAAAGTATTTTATTTTATGCTAACATCGCAGTGAAAAATAAAATAAATTTTTTGCTTTCTATGTTGTCGACAAAATCTTAAAATCTTTTATGAAAGACATCCACAAAGTCAAAAAACAATTTCACAGTCGCATTGCCCATAAAATTCCAGTTAGGAAAAACAATGAGTGAGTCTTTCGTCTTGTCCATTAACAAGCAATAGGTTTCCTAAAGTGAAATTTGTGCCAAAAAGTGGAATGGAGTGCTCCAACCCCTACCTTTTCTTTAGCATCGGTGGACCGAAAATAATTTATAAAAAATTAACTATGCTGTGTAAACTAATGAAACTTTCTGGGAATACTCTCTAGATGTTGGTGGATGTAAATATGCCATTTTTCAAAATCAACTTTTTTTACAGAAAAAATGTTTTTTCTGGGTAGTGTCCCCCTTTAAAGGGACACTGACAGGGTGTTTATGCTCGCCGAGGTTTTTAGTTGTACATGACATATGAGAGCCCAACTACCCAGAACACAATTTGCGACTCGAAATTCGGTTTCTTTCCGCCCGAAAACTGCCGATCAAGAACTGGCCGGTTCGAGTCTCGCTCACTCTCTTTTCCGCGGTCACGGGCCGTTTTCTAAGGTATCGAAGCGACCACCAAATTTAATCAAAGTCGTTGGTCACTGAAGTCAGACACTCAATATTAAAAATAGAAAAAAATATGAAACCCATTTTTTGTGGCTTCTAAAAAGCTGCAAATACGTTGATTGAAAAAAAAGTTGCACAGAGAACCGGAAGCATTCTGTGCGTGCGTCGTTTCGCGTATCGTGGGACTCGCGGGGACGGCGATGGCAGCGGACGACGGGCGTTGGACCTCTACTTCAGAACTGTCGTTCGCGGTACCGGCGAATTCTGTCTGCCTTTAAAAGAGAAATTTGGGACTCATCAAAAGAATTGGTATTCATCCCGTACAACACGCCCGACCACCAAGCTGATTTGCACGAAGACGTCGCCGAGCCGTCGCTCCCTTCTCGTGGCTGAAGGCATCGCTCACGCAAACGTCAAGCACGACGGGTCTACTTCGAGTTGAATATGCGCGCGTACGATTTCTTTACTATGTCGCCAATGCGTGGTGCTTCCCGATTTTGACCCGGGAGTGCTTTTGCTGGATGAAAATCGGCAGCAAACTTTCCAAATTACAGTTTACTAGCTGCATTGTCACTAAGGAAGGAAATCACCCAGTGAAAAGAGCTCAGTGGGAAAGACGTCCGCTTCACACGCGGTAGGACCGGATTCGATCCCCAATGAAATCTTTTTTTTTTTTTATGTTTACATTTCTTCTTTTTTTTTTTTATAATTATCACTGAAGAAACAAACAAAAAATAACAAACGAATGTTGTGGACGACACGTCGCTGAATTAAATGGTATGGGATCTCCTCTTTGACACCTGCGAACTCAATGTAATCACTTTCCACAAAATGCAAGGAGCATATAAATCAGGTAGCGTCCGCTTTCCGAGGTGCCCATGAATGTTCTACAGGAAATGCAGCCAGCCATTGGTCCCGATCCCGTTGATCTTTCGGAAACTCTTTCGCACAATGCCACTTTTTTTCGGATGCAGGACATGTGAGCCAGCTCTTCACGCAACATCTTGGGCGTATTCTTTTCGGAGCCGATCATGGAAATTCACCACGGGGACTCACTACTCATCTCCAACTCCTCAATGTACAAAACAGCTCATCTCGGAGTACAGAACAGCGAGCGGAACGAACATAACTGCAAAAGAATCGCGCGGCAAACAGTTCCCATGTCGTCTGCTACAAAAATGAGGAAAAAAAAACAAAAAACGCATGTTTGGATGTAGCCACGTGACTTCCGCCACTCACTCTCTTCTCTCCACTTCTCCAACCTCCGTGCGCGGGTTTCGGTTTCTGTTTCGAGCAGTTGCGTCTTTTGGCTTTATTAAAAAAATACGCTACTCTGTTGCAAAGTATTAATTGGGTAGTCCTCCGGCACCATAATGAAGCACCTGGCAAAAAATGAAAAAAATATTTTGGGGGGTGTCAGTGTCCCTTTAAGGGCTGGAGTGCGAAATTCGGCCTTCCGAAAGAAAGAATGAGATGACGAGCTTAGCATCTGAAATAATTCAGGACTCGTGCTAGCTATTTTGCTACCATGGGCAGCTAATGCGTGACTCGGTGCTCGGAGCAATGAGAGTTGCATTTAATTCGCATTGTGCTCAGTGTTCCTGCAGTCACTGCTTCATTACAATTGTAGATCAACCTAGTTGGGCATCGTTTGGAGTCTCCCTGCTTTGTTATTTTGTTCTCAGTTCACATATAACAATCACTGGTTATGGCAAACTTGATAGCAGTGTTTTGAGGGGTGGCACCACCTTCAACTGTCGACTTTTAAACCATTCGCTCAGTACTGATGAAATTCGAAGGGTCTATTCATCCCGTTGCTTACATGCACTGTATGACGTTTCATCTCCGTAGGACAATTCTCTGATATGGTACGGGGGAGGTATACAGCTATAAGTCACCTCACTTGGCAAGGAAATCTATCGTATAAAATTTCCTGCAAAATATTGAGCATTTCCAAGCTTCAGGCGTAACTAGAACATAAGGCAGGTGCGGCTATCTATTTTTTACCCTGATATCGGCGCTTTTTTTTTAATGCAAAATGACAGTTCGAAAGGCATTCCACTGTAATGAGGCATTTTCTCCTCATCAAAACCTTAATTTTTGGCAATAAGAACTTCATTTAAATAGAAAAATAAATATCTAGCCGCTTTCCTCATTAAATTTGAGTTCAGAAGCATCTATAGTGAAGAATTAATTCTGCAATTTTTTTAAATGATAGATTTTTTAAAACGAAAGTTGCTGCAAAAAAGTGAGACTGAAAAAAATCTATTTGAAGTTTCCACATCACCACATTTGATTTTACTGGTGGTGGTGGCAACTGAAAGGCACCAAAAGGATAGGTGGTGCCTTCTGCTTACACCCAATCTTTTGCATGGCCTTGCTGAGTGTCGTTTTGTTGCCGACATGTGGACATTGATTTTGAAACGAGTGAGGAATTGGATATGCTTGCAATACACGAACCAGCGTCAGCAATTATAGGCAGGGCAAGCATCATCGAAATACAATGCAGACAAACCTACGTGACTTTCTATAAATGAATATTGGTTTTAGTTAGTTTTCTGTTCAATCAGGGCGGGCTTTGCGATTCTTCGTCATGTGCATAGCCTCTTCCATGGGAAAGCTGGACATCTATAACATTCTTTCCCAAATGGTGTTCATTCTCGACCAAATATGTTTAAAGTACGGAAACTGTGAAGAAATGCTCTTTCCATCGAGAGTATGATCATCATTCTAGGGTGTACTGGTGTGAGGCTACAGCTGTTAGATAAGAGGGAACATAGAAGTTTCACATTTTCAAAACATGATTTTGCATCGTTGGCTTACCAAAAATGTTTTATTCCTCCGTAAATATTTCAGATATTGCAATAAAAATTTGCGGGAGTGTGCTCTATTAGTTATTGAACCACAATAAATAAGAATGAGAAAAAAGTTTTTTTCTTTAAATATTGCAAATTTTAGGTGGTATTCCCCCTTAATGATCAGTACAATGGAGCATTGATTTTGAGTTCCTGACGTAGCCTGAGCGTATGCTCAGGCTACGTCAGGAACTCAAAATCTATTTAAACTTTAAATAACTTTAAACTGCCTTAAAGTGCTTTGAAGTGCTAAGGGTACTTACTTTCTGAAAAGATTGTAAAATACTGCATTACTGACTTGACTCTTTGTAAAAGGACCGTAGTATAAACTAAATGAAAAGGTCCTTAATCCAAAACACTGCTTCCTTGTTTGCTCATTACGCTAACCTTCTCATTGCATGTGATCTCTGAAATGAGCACAAGTTAAGCTCTATATTTGTTGGACTCCTTCCTTGCAGACATGGTCATTGCTGCGAGCTTCATGTGGCACATCGTAGAGATCACAGAACTCACACGTGAGACTTGTTACGCTGTTTGGAATGCTCGTCCTTTCTGTGTTTGTGAAACCTATTGTCAAGGGACTGTAGAACAATTTTTGCTTGCAACCTTACAAACCAGATGGTGCGTGTTGTCGTACCAGTGTTAAAAACATCTTTTTCGTTCATGTTTCATGGAGGAGACTGTTTTCTTCTTACAATTCGCCAACAACTAACAATGCCATAATACAACTACTACCACTATGGCATCACCACTACAGCACTCTTGAAGACTACAGAACTTAGTCTTCAAGAATGCTGTAAAGGGGCGCTGCCTTTTCTCAGTCTGATGAATTCCATAAACCAGACAGTGTTTGATACATTGCCCCAAGGTTGTTCCATGCAAGTGGCACTTTCTCCGCTTGCAACAAATTCCTAATAAATTATACAAGTTTGAAAGTATGGCCTCAGAGTGCCGCCATCTTGCTTTGTTGGTGTGCGCGTGGGCTTGTCATAATCCGATTACGGCGTCGTAATAGGATTATGGCCGTGCCCAAGCGCACCCCAACTGAGCAAGATGGCGGTGCACTGAGGCCCATACTTGTAATCGGGTGTAACGAAGCAAATTTTGCAAAACAGGTTTTTGTTGCCAGCGGGTCTGACTGCAGATATTACAAATTGACTATGCACCTACCGTAAAACATAGAGTAAGCAGCCACACCTCATTATAGCTACTATAGTCGCTGACCGATTTTTCGGACTTCACAGGGACCGATGAAACGTCCGAATAATGGAACAGTCTGAAAAATCGGCAGATTAAAAAACTTGCCTTTATTACGTCTAAGCGAGCTTAAAAAAGCCCTTAATAGTGCCCCAATTACTTCAGCTTACGCCTCCGCTTGCTTACGGCCACTTTCTGTTAGCTTGAGAATTGCTGCCTTCTTTTCTAGTGTTATGGTCGAGTACTTTCCGCGCTTCTTAGTGACACTTCGCGGCGGCGGAAGAACAGATGGGGCCATGACGTCCAAGCCAGCATAGTCCGAAAACACGACTCACCGAGGCGAGATGAGAGGCGCAAGTCCATATCTGCAGAATGGCGAATGAACGAAGCAAAATTGTAACAGTGATGATGATAATGGCATGCAACTAGACAAAAAAAAGAAGCCGTAGCATAGCGTCACCTAGAGGTAGGACTTGGCAGTACTTTAATAGCGCTGCCGAACCAAGCTAATTCCTGTGCAGTCAACATAGAATCTAAAATGGCGGCTTCTCGTTGGTGTTTCCCGCTGATTGCTCGCAACGATTTTGTCCGAAAAAGTCTAAATTTTAGACTTTAAGCGGTTGGAAACATCGGTCGTGAATATGCACTATTTCCATCGGGTAGGTCACGGTTCCTCTTTTAGGTTTGAAATATCGAGCAAGTCAGAAATATTGACGTCCAATAAATCGGTCAGCGACTTACCATTTTTTACAAAATTTGGGCATTATGGTACATGATTTATACATAAGCATGTATAGCATACCTGCTCTTTCTAAGACATCTTTGCTGGCCAAAACATTCCCTTTTCCTCAAAAAAAATTTACAAAAAAACAATACAAAAAAAGTCCGTCCCATTCTCCCAGCCTCTTTATTTTTTTCGAGGGTGCACGAAACAAACAGCAAGCATCTTGTATGCATAAATATGGTTGTGTACTCGAAGTTCAGTAAAGTACAAGAAGGACATAAAAGCTGCTTGTGTTTTTCTTTCTCATGTCAAGATGGAGGCATGTCGTTCCTTGGAAATGGCAAGACTGGCTTCTCCGCATGGCTGCTGATCGGGCTCTTAGCATGCGAGTAATCTTGCCCCTTGGGCTGTGCCGCACATTTTGTGCAGACGGCAATATAGTACCCACGTCTGCTTTGCCTTCCAGTTTACGTCACGGAGATGCTCTTGAAGATAGCGGCATTTGGAGTTTCTGAATATTTTCATAAAGGATGGAACAAGTGAGTAGCGGTGCCCTCAGCTGGATTGACTGCGTTTCAGTGATTTTTGACGATCGATAAAAGACTTTGGTTTGTGCCGTTGTATTAGCTTCACTTTAGTTGTGCTGCTTCAAGGTTTATAGTAATTATAACAAAATGGAAAGTTGGGCTAGTAGGGACATCGAAAAAGGAATAAGTACCTCTAAGGCAAGGAGAGAGAACAATATTTTTTTGTCATTGAAGACTTTTAGAGTTCTTAATTGGGCGCCATCAGCTTGCCGATTTTGCACTCTGTGCATGTGGCAGTTTACCTACTTTAATATCACGAAAGATGCCCCACCCTCGAAAGGTAAACCGATCCCTATTTTTGACATGATTTGCTCCCTATTTTTTTTTCAAAAACACCAAAAGATAGCCCACTTCCAGTAATTGAAGTGCCCTGGTCAATGGTGACCTCAGCCGAAATGGGGTCTGTTAGCTACGGGAGGAGATAAGCAACCATTGCTGACTGGGAAAGAAAGTTGTCTATTATACTCCATTGCTCCTCAATGTGAAAACAATTTTAGCAAATCACCAAATACAAAGATAGCAGTTTTTAATTATTTTTATTGCACATTGAAGGTGAGGCCACTCCTTATTTTTACCCCATTTGCCCTTGCTTTTAGGTGGGCCATCTTTCGAAATGTTATGGTATATGGCGTGTGAGAGTCTTGTGTAGTATCCCTTATTTATGTAAGAATAAGGGATACTCTTTTTTTTTTATATCTTGAATATCCGGATGAAGAGATGCGCTAAGGACTGCAACGAAGCAGATGCCTGTGCTACATTGAAGCTTCAGAAGTGGTCACATACCATGCCTCAACCATCTGCAAGAAAGGCATTTGCTCCGCGATATTTTTATCTTTTATGACGAGGAATCCAGCCATGGTTCTGTCTCCGGAAAAGTTTCAGCTTAGGTGCAGAGATTGCAAAGGGTGCTGATTTCGAGCGCTGAAGCATTTTTATGTGTGCAATTGATTCCTGAAATTTTCTGGCGTGTAACGGGTCTGTCTCTACTTTCTTTTAGGTTTGACTTTGTCATCATCTTGGCTGCCATTGTCCTGGGGTCTGTTGGAGCTTTCCTGGACGCCAACCTTTTGCGCATTCTAGTCTTCCGTTCCTTGAGGCTGCTCAAGTGAGTGGTTGCTTCGAACCTCTAAAGTCGATACTGGTACTCGCAAGACGACCACAAACACGTTCCAGCCATACCTCTAAACTTAAAAAGGAAAGCTGAGCAAGAAATCTTTCCCAAGACGTTCTCAGATAAATCTTATGCATGTAAATCAGGGGTTCCGAAACTCTCCTATCTTAAGGAATGCTTAGCTACTTCTCTCGACCGATAGCCGAAGAACTTCTCCTGATCTCGGCATTCATGCTGTAATGCAGTGTAGAGTCCTGCCAACCTCGTGCAAAAATGGTGCATATTGCCTCACACGTCTTCGAGTAAGCGCTCCTGTGGCCGAATGGTTGTTTTACTTGGCTCCAACTCAAAAAGGCCCAGGTTCAATGCCTGGGCCGGTTTTCTCGAAGCGATGGTAAACCCATTTTGGTAAACCACGGTGCCTAGGAAGGGAAAAGTACCTAGGTACTGTACTAAACGGCTAGATATAGAACAACAATAATTATTTTTGATTGGGCAATAAGATGCGCCATCTATCGGTGAAACAAGCCAGTAATTTTTTTTATCCTCTTTTTCCGCTAGTTTTCATCGATCTAGTATGGTATTTTAAGTCAAAATATAGTAATATTGTACTTGAAGACCAATTTATTTGCTTCCGATGGTACGAAGAAATTTTAGCTACTATGCTAGAGTTTGTCGACGAATATTCGAAAATGTAAGAAACATTTCCTTCAATATGTTTCGCCATAAACAACGCATAACGTTCCCGTGTTTCTTCCAGTCTGGCAACGCCGGTGCTGTAGTTCGTTTTCGTTCCTTGCGGCGCACGTTTCTTCGATTCCTGCTGATCTCAACTGTTTGCCTTGTCTTCCGTTTGCCCAACCGATTCACCGGTGACGAGAAGCTAATTAAGCTTCTCGTCACCGTTGAATTGCTGGCCACCGGGGATATGTAGAAACCTCAATGCTGTCGGCATACTGTCGGCGCACTGTGAACAAAAAAACAGTACAATGTCTCAGCTGTTCACTCGGAACGAAGACTTTATTGAGGATAACCCCCTTTCTCTGCAAAGTAATCGCTGCTCACGAGTTGGCGTGCATAGTGTAACAAATTAAGCATCTTAGTATAAATATGTACCAACACTCGTTCGCAAAACATTTTTTTTACTCACCATAAGAACACTTGCAAGGCTTATGTACCGTCATATGTCTTAGATCCCGGACTGCTGAAGAGTGATGCGTTCGCAGAATGCCGCCGTCGGTTAGTTTAGTAGTCCCTCTGAACTATCGCTTTGCTTGACGTGCTAATAGGTTGATGGTGAGTCATTAATATAACAGCCAGATCGAAATGAATGTTCAGCAGAACCAAGCAGAACTATTAGCCCTCATTAAGCGACGCCGCGGCCATTTTGCTTCTAGGTACTGCTCCTCCCTCGGCGCCCCTGCTCTCCCAGTCACGTGACCTGGAATTCCCCCTTCTAGGGACAATAGTTAACTTTAAACCACGGTTTGCGTTCGAGAAAACGGGCCCTGGAAGCGGATGCACCTTTTTGTTATTTCTGTAAATGTCTCATTCGGGTAAATTCGAGAACCCTCTTGTTTGATGGAGGTCCGAATTTTCTATGCGCCGAACCTCCTACGCCGATTGTTCCAGAAGCCCACGCGTGTACATAAGGGGCGCCACGTGGCGAGCCGGGGCCAGTCTCACCCCAGCGTTCGATCCCGCTGTTACGCCGCCATCGACGCCTGCGATGCTAGCCTTCTTCAGTTTTATTTTGGGGACAAGTTTGCCCCATTAAACTTTTAGTTTCCTTCATTCATTGGTCGCCTCATCAATTGTCATTTGTGACAATATATACTAGGAAGTATTTGGCATCATCTTATGCATCAAGGGATGACTCATAACTTCAGAAATAAAGCTTTAACTAGAAAAGCACTTTACTTCGGGGACGGTTGAGAAGGTTTTGGAATTCAGTGAACCCTTGAAGGTACTCTGGGAAGCACCTGGGTCCTTGGGAACCATGCTGTAAACGACTTCATTTTCGCGAATTTTGCTACTTGGAGAACATAACAAAAAGTGTTCTTGCGAATATATTGCTCGACGGTAACGAATACATGACATATCACTCCAAGTCGCAAAACAGTGTGCTCGCGAAACGTTTGCCCAAACCCACACACTCTTTCCAAAGTTCGCTAAATGTCGAGTCCGCGAAAGTAAAGTCGATTAGTACATCATTTGTTGTGTCTCTGTGACTTTGAGGTGAAGCTACATATTGAGCGCAGGAATTCAGCGGAGTATACGAGTGATCCCTCCCTCAGGCTGTTCCAGCTGAAGAAGAGCTACCACGACGTCCTGGGCACGGTGTTCATCCTCATGCCGCGGTTCCTCAGTGTGGGGCTGGTCCTCATCGTCGTCTACTACTTCTTCGCCATCATCGGCATCGAGGTGTTCTCAGGTTACCAGATGGAGGACTGCTGCAAGTGAGTCTCCCCGACAATTGTAAAAATACTAAACCTAGGAAAAAAATTTTTTTTTCTACCTGGTTAGGACAGGCATGTTTCAAAAAAAAATGTTTGTCGAAAAAATCTTTTTTTGCCCAATATTTACTCTACGATACGAATTTCTCGGTTTGCGGGCAAAACCGAAATTGTACCTCTGTGGGATGATGATGATGAAAGCATTTTTATCCATAGTGTGCGCTCTACGTTCGCTGGACCTCCGAGCGTACACCATGCTCCGTTCACCCTTAAAAAAACACTAAAAGAAAAAAAAAAGAATTATTTTTTTAAAGGGCATATATGAGGACATACTTTTTAAAATAATTTTTCCACGAAAATATATAGTATTTTTTTTTCCATGCAATGTTTATTTTGTTAGGTGGAGGTCATGTCCACTCTAAGCCACACCCACAAATCAGTGGCCCCGGCCATTACCACTAGACTGGCTTGGCTGCTCGACCGAACACGCTAACAAGCGTAGTGTCTTTCTTTCGCGACACCTGGTGCATCTAGCCTGAAAGTCTAAAGGCCCGTTCACAGTCTTGCGAACTCTTAGAACTGGGTTCCTTGAAACCTCTTACAATGCGAGGACACACTGGCGCCATCTATTGGGTAGCAGTGTAATCTTGGTGGTCCGGCGTATTTTCTATTTCTCTCGCGCATTATCCTTTCTTTCTTTGCTCCGAAAACTTTTGTCAACGTTATAAATGAGCCTTTCTTATAGGTATTACGCACATTTGACCTCGGAATTCCCGCAAAACCTTCGCTCTTGTGAAACGCAGTTCCAGGGTCACCGGATAGATGGCGCCAGAGTGCCAGTGTGTTCTCTCGTCCTAAGAAATTTTAAGAGGTTTTAACAAGTCTCGTCTCTCCCGGTCGTTCTCGATTGCAAGAGTGTGAACGGGCCTTAACACTATGGTGCCTGGAACGCGTCTCCGACTAGTGTGTTTAGCGCGTCCAAAAAGGTGATCCCTTGATTTCCACCTGATGACGTCAGAAAAGTGTCATGCTGTCGCCGGTCGCGATCCTGGCGGCATCCCAATAGCTGTGGTGTTTGTGGCAGACGCCTGTTCTGCTGCAGGTCGCTCTCCAGTGTGGCAGTTCATGAAAGCTTCGACAGCCAGAAGTTGAGACGCTGCGATGACTGCGACGTTTGTGTTCGGTTGTGCTACTCGCAGCTTCTCGTTAGTATTTCTACGACCAACCGCCAGGGTCGCGACATGAACAGCATGACACTTGGGCTTCAGTGACGTCATTTGTTGCCACTTTGGGACCACTTTTGATGCATGGGCAGCATAGGACGCTAAGCACACCAGTCGAAGATGCGCTCCAGGCACTATACTAACACCGCCTGCTAGTCGTGCGAGCATACGCGTAGCAGCCTCCGGCATTGTCTGCTATTTCATCGCCGTATATCGTCATATGCAATGCCCGTGAGATGCGGACGCAGAAGTTGCGCGTCGGCGTTCGTTTTGCTCCGTCCGTCTGCTATTCTGCCCCCTTCTAAAAACGTCTGAAACGCTCAGGCGACGCGACCATGAATGCGGTGTTCTAGCGTTTCATCATGCATGAGCCACGGTCCAATACAAGCGTATGTCAGTGTCTATCGATGTGCTGTAATAAGCGACCTAGAGAAGTAAAAAAATCAACAGAATAAATATGCAGTCTTTCTAACTTTACTGTTCTTGTTATTTTTTTCACATGGCATCCACGAGCAAGGTGGGTGAGCGTCATGATGCACAATTGAAATGTGACATAAAAGTATTCACTTTGGTAGGTCAGGTGCACTGCAAAATTTGAGAGCCTCTTGTCTTTTGAGGCAAAATGACAGGAACATACCTGGACAAACTTGATGCGAGCCGAAAGGTTTGTCTTTTCAAAAATGGTTATCATATTCCGATGTTCAGTAAGAACTGCCACTGTCCCTGGGGGGTAGAAAGTTGCCAAAGTAATACCGGCACCAAAACTGGGTGACTCTAAAATTATTTCCAATTATTGCCCTGTTTCTCTTCTGAGTATGCGTAGTAAAATTCTAGAGCATGTGGTGTTCAAGCATGTATCGTCATACCTTGAATCTAACAATTTTTTTACCAGTGCTCAGCATGAATTTCGCAAGAAAGTGTCTACAATTACGCAACTAGTCGAAGTTATTAACGAGTTTGCCTCGGTTATTAACAAATGGGGACAGATAGACATAATTTATTTAGACTTTTCAAAAGCTTTCAATCTCGTATCCCACGAAAGGTTGTTAAACAAACTGTGCACAACTATAAACAACAATCAAATATCAAACTCGATTCAGGATTACCTGTCTCATCGGCGAGAATATGTGCAGTTGAACACCGCACGCTCTTTCTTTGCTCATGTCTCTTCAGGTGTCCTGCAAGGGTCAGTGCTCGGGCCATTGTTGTTTTAATGTTCAGTAATGACATTCAGACTGGAGTTCCTACCAAGTTGCGACTGTTTGCAGATGATTGCATTCCTTGTCATGAAATTAAGAGTTCCGCTGACTGTGAAATACTACATTGTTCTTTAGAAAAGATTCATATGTGGTGCAAAGATTGGCAAATGTCAGTTAATCTTACTGCAACTGTGTGTATGTCCATCACTCGAAAAAAGGATCCTATTTACTTTAACTACGCTATGCTGTCGGAAGTCATAATCTACCTAGAGTGTCCTCCTTTAAATAACTTGGTGTCACCATAATGTCCGAGTTGAACTGGAATACGCATATTCCAGTTCAACTCGGACTGTGCATATGGAATATGCACAGTGGACCGCTAAGTGGCCGTCTGGCCACTTAGCGGTCCACTGTGACCGTTGCGATTGCGGGCCCAACTCTGAAAAGTGCAGCCCCATCTTTGGTGATACCTGTGTCATGGGCCATTACAAAACAAAAACGGCAAGAGAAATTCACGAAGCCTTCCTGATTAGGTCCCACCACCGCATTATTTGTATAAGCGCTCCCTCTTTGTCCTTGACTGATAAAGAATTCTACTACTTGATGAACCAATGACGCTGGCATTTGAGGGGGGTGGGTGTTTTTAGACCATATCTTTGGTGTTCCGTCAAGTGTGCTTGCTTTTATATTTTATTTTTTTAAATTCTGTCTTCCAAATAAACAATTCAGTTGAAAGTTACGCCGCGTCCTGTCTAATTCTCCCTTCGTTTTTTGTCCCTGTTGTTTTGGCGTATTACCCCATGATATTGACCAAATTGTTGCAAGAGTAATAAATAAACTTGGATTTTTGTGCAGGAATTTTAAACATGGATCACATGATGCTAGGTTGTTATATAAAACGTTTATTAGACCCACCCTAGAGTATGCTAGCAGTGTCTGGGACCCGCACACAAGTTGTAACATAGTAACATAGCTGATTTACAAAGAGTTCAGAGGCTTGCAGTGCATTTTATTTATAATATGTATTCTTCCTGTGTATCACCCACAGACTTATGTTCTAGAGCAGGACTAGAAACGTTACACGAAAGAAGGAAATAAAATCGGCTGAAATTGCTTGACTTAATTGCTAACGATGAGCTGGGAATAGTAAAAAATCAATGCATTGAATTTTTTTGCCCCAGAGTAACCAGGTTTTCACATTAGAAGATACTCAAACCATATAATTATAAAAATTATTCATTTAAATATTCCTTCCTTTTTGGAACAGTAATTGACTGGAATAACCTGCCACCCAATGCCGTTAATGCAACCACCTATTCTGATTTTTGCAATGTTCTTTGTCAATGCGTGCACCATGAAATATTTGTATTTATGTCTTTTCCACTCCTGCTAAACCTCGAAAAAGGTTAGCAAAGCACGGGGCGGGGCTTAGCGGGCTGCGAGTTCACCTTTTGCACCCAAATTGCATCTAACGGCGTAAATATTAATACAAAAAATATCTTTTTCGTAGTAATTTTTTTTTTTTTTTATATACATGTCCCATCTATACTTTTTAAAAAAATACTTTTTTTTCCTTGCAGTGTCTCTTTAAGCTGAGACTAAAAGCTCTGCCTTCAGCGCAAGCTTTCTGTTCTTGCTAACACAAGTGTGAACACGCAGGCACGCGCAACCAAAGCACCGCGGAAGCCAGCAAGCTTGCGCTGAAGGGAGAGCTTCTAGTCTCAGCTTCAGGGTAAACAGAGTATAGTTGAGTACAAATGCTATCATCATCCCACAGGGGTATAATTTCGGTTTCGCCTGCAAGTCGAAAAATTTCTACTGTAACATAAATATTGAGCAAAAATTATTATTATTATTTTTTGTGAGGAACATGGTATTTTTTAGATTTTACTGTCCTAACCAGGTAGAAAAAATAAATTTTCTTTTCCTAGGTTTAGTGGGTTCCTAAGTGCTAGAAAAGAGTAAAGAGGATTGCACTAGGTTCCTTTGCAACCTGTTTAAAAGAACTGATGGTGTGACTAGCTGAAATGATTAGTTTACTAAGCCTTGAAATGCTTGAAGCTAGGCATTCAGGAAAGAGGTTAACGTTTTATGTACATGATATATAGTGGCTTAACTCAAATGAATCACTCTTTTAAAGAGTTCCAGTGTCATGAGCGAGCACTCATCTTAACAACAGAAAAATGATAAGTGAGTTTTGTGCATGATACTTTTAAATGTTTGTTTCTTTGCCAGGACAGTAACTGCGTGGAATAAGTTGCCAAAAATTACCGTTGATGCTATGAAAGTAAAAAACATCCATTACAAACTTGGGGAGTTACACCCTTGTGAAAATATTTTGTAATAAGCTTGTTCTCTTCTACGAGATTTTTTTTTTTTTTTTGCCTTGTTGTATTGAAGTTTCTAATGTTAGTTGTGTGGGTCTTTTTATGCTTAGACTCGGATGACTCTGCAGTATTAATAAATAAATTAAAAAAGGCATCCTTTTTCGCGAACTGCGTTTTGGGGCGAGCACAACCGGAATTGCTAAGAGGTCTTCAGGAGATTAACAAATCACTTGCTGCAAATGAAATTAAATTACATTTTGCATCATGTTCAACAGCATTAATTACACTAAAGGCTGGTTCCCAAATTTGCAATCGAGCGTGGCCGGCTACGTTACAAGCGCTTGCAACTGCTTACAACGAGTTGCTATGCCATGCCCACGTGCAGCGATGCCCGCGTGTATTTCCTAATTTTTTACACATTATATATTCCTTCAACATGTGCTCGAAATAATTCTAAGAGTGTTATAAGCGACCATTTCTCATGGGAGCAAATAATCACAAAACCCTCAGTCTACAGTCGGTGACAGGTTTTGTACCCGCGAGCTTCGTCGCACATGCGGCCGAAGCCTGGTGAAAGGCAACGAGTGCGTGCTGGAGACGGAGCACCTGCTGGGTCCTTAGCCTTTCACCGACTGTAGTTCAGAAAATGTAGGCAGAGCAGAAGTGTGCCAGGGCTGCCCGGTAGATAACACCAGCACGTCATCCCGCCGTTGGCAGTTGCGAACGGTTTTAACGCAGTCGGTCTCACTCAAAACGCAAATCTGCGAGTTGGCCTTAAAGGGACACTGACACCCCCCAAAAAATTTTTTTATTTTTTGCCAGGCGCTTCATTATGGTGTCGGAGGACTACCCAATTAATATTTTGCAACAGAGTAGCCAATTTTTTTAATAAAGCCAAAAGACGCAACTCCTCGAAACCGAAACCGAAACCCGACGGAGGTCGGAGAAGTGGAGAGAGGAGAGTGAGTGGCGGAAGTCACGTGGCTACACCCGACCGTGCGTTATTTTTTTTTTTTTTTTCTCCTCTCCGGTAGCAGACGACAGGACATGCGGCGTGCGATGCGGCGTCGGAAACTGCTCGCCGTGCGATTTTTTTGCAGTTATGTTTGTTCCGCTCGTTGTTCTGTACTCCAAGATGAGTTGTTTTGTACATTGAGGAGTTGGAGATGAGTAGTGAGTGCCCGTGGTGAATTTCCATGATCGGCTCCGAAAAGAATACACCCAAGATGTTGCGTGAACAGCTGGCTCACATTTCCTGCATCAGAAAAAAAGTGGCATTGCGCGACAGAGTTTCCGAAAGATCAACGGGATCGGGACCAACGGCTAGCTGCAATTCCTGTAGAACATATACGGGCACCTCGGAAAGCGGACGTTACCTGATTTATACGCTCCTTGCATTTTGTGGAAAGTGATTACATTGAGCTCGCAGGTGTCAAAACGTAAATCCCATACCATTTAGTTCAGCGAAGTATCGTCCACAACATTAGTTTGTTATTTTTTTTGTTTGTTTCTTCAGTGATGATTGTAAAAATACATATATATATATATATGTAAACATCGGAAAATGTTTGAAAAAAAAAAAATAAAGTTTCACGGGGGATCAACCTGGTCCTACCGCGTGTGAACCGGACGCCTTTCCGACTGCGCTATTGGGGCATCGCTATTCTGGTAGATCTCTTTCCTTAGTAATAATTGAGCCGGTAAACTGTAAGTTGAAAAGTTTGCTGTCGAATTTTCTCTAGCAAAAGCACTCCCGGGTCGAAGTCGGGAAGCACCACGCTTTGGGGACATTCGCAATTAGTAAAGAAATCGTACGCGTGCATATTGAACTCGAAGTAGACACGTCGTGCTTGACGTTTGCGGGAGCGATGTCTTCAGCCACGAGAAGGGAGCGACGGCTCGGCGACGTCTTCGTGCAAATCGGCTAGGTGGCCGGGCATGTCGTACGGGATGAATACCAATTCTTTTGATCACTCCCAAATTTCTCTTTTATTGGTAGACAGAATTCGCCGGTAGCGCGAACGACAGTTCTGAAATAGAGATCCCACGCCCGTCGTCCGCTGCCATCGCCGGCCCCGCGAGTCCCACGTTACGCGAAACGACGAACGCACAGAATGCTTCCGGTTGTCTGTGGGACTTTTTTTTTTTCAATCAACGTATTTACAGCTTTTTAGAAGCCACAAAAGATGGGTTTCATATTTTTTTCTATTTTTAATATTGAGTGTGTGCCTTCAGTGACCCACGACTTCGATTAAATTTGGTGGTCGCATCGATACCTTAGAAAACGGCCCGTGACCGCGAAAAAGAGAGTGAGCGAGACTCGAACTGGCCAGTTCTTGATCGGCGGTTTCCGGGCGGAAAGAAACCGAATTTCGAGGCGCAAATTCTGTTCTGGGTAGTTGAGCTCTCATATGTCACGTACAACTAAAAACCTCAGCGAGCATAAATACCCTGTCAGTGTCCCTTTAAGCGACTTCGGTTAATGTTTGTTTCAAAAATCTTACATCGTACACATTTCTTTTTCAGGAACACAACGGTGGAGGTCTACTTCGCAACAAATACCTCATCAGGCCCTGGATATTTCTACCTCATGAACTTCCAGAACGTTGCTTACAGTTACGGTACGTACGGTCTTCTGTCCTCTGTACAGCCGGTACAATATTGTTGGTAGTAGAGCTAGTTTTCGAGAACAAAATATTCGTTACCTCAGAGTCTGTACCACCATGTCAGGCGTACTTCAACTCTACCTAATAAATATTTATTATTAATTGGTCTATAATAGGTCGGGGAAGCGACGCTTAAAGTGAGGATGTTTGAAAAGATGTAGTACTAAATGACTCTGTGGTACTTCCAAAATGGCATATTCTGACCCCAGAAAAAGATAAGCGTTTAGGAAAATAGCAGGGCCTGACAAACTTTTCTGCGTGAGAGTAGGGAAAGAGGCACCTAGGATTATGCCTACCGGCCTACCGGCAATGTAACCAGCGCTTGTGTGTCGTGCATGTTCCTTTTCTCTGTCCTTGTCTTTGTGTGCGCTGTTCTGTTCATCATATCATCATACCAACTCGCCAACTTACAACACTTCTGCAATGTAACCAAAAGCAGAAGCCCAGAAAGGGAGCAGAATAATTTGGGAAAGGTACCATTAAGTACTATTTGAATGACTCTAAATTGGACAGCAATGGTTAAAATTCAACATGAAATATGACCAGCAAGATAGGGTTGTGAATATTAAAACTTTGTATAGTTCTTTCGAATAATGCATTATATGAATTCCCTTTGAGATGACCCAAAATATTCATACCTTTTGAAGTGTCAGTCAAGCAATGCTCGCGGCGAGTTAATTAGCTAAATTTAGAGCGCTTCTCTACGTGCACCGATGCAATGCGGAGAAGCATTGTCAGCAGAGCAGACACCGCGATCCTGTGAATCTTGCTTTGCCGCAGCGCTGCCGCGTGTCTAGGGAAAAGCACACCTCCAGAGCGGGACGATGCATGTGCACGTGTGGTGTATTCAGAAATAAAAACTGGAAGCCAGTGGATATTAATATCTAGCTTTCGGTAAAATTTTCGAAACTAACTACATGGCTATTACTCAAGAATATACGAGAGACAGCAATGTCCTTACATGCTACACAGATTATTAATTGTGATTCTTTTTTTGCAATTTGAGATTGAAGGAGGGATATTTGGGTATGGCGAGAGGCCTTATAAATCTCCTCGATTAGTTATAACTAGGGTTCCGCGTTTTCGGTTTTTATTTTTTCAAAATTCGGCATACTTTTTTCAGTGTTTATTTTAAAATTCGATTTTCGTTTTTTTTTTTTTTTCGGTGTATATTTATTCTAAAAAAATTTTACCTGTTTTTTTTTGGTGAACATCAAAGAAACACCATCGGACACTGGATCAGATGATCACTCAAAGAATAACGGCACATATATAAACGTAATCTTCGCTAAAACTTCCGTCAGGACACACCTAAAAATCGTGGAATTCGCGGGCATAATCTTCAGCACGCTTCTTTTTCCTTCCCATTCTGACGGCGTGACCGTCTGAGGTGATGACCGTACAGAAACCAGTGAAATGGCAAAACAAAATCTATTGTATTTATGTTTTTAACCACAGGGAAGTTTGAGAGAGGGTGATAAGAAGGTATCAACGGCTTTCCTCGATGTCTTCTGAAGTGCATAACACCCAAACTTTTTTTAGGAGCAGGAACTTGGCAAACTAAGCCCGATCACAGAAAGGACACAGATGTCCCGCGAAGGCCAATCTTGACCTCTTTTGTTGCATGTTGAACCTTGGAAGAGGGCAATCACGAAGACGTCACACAATGTGGAATCTTGCAAAGCCCTCTCTCCCCTCCCCCCCCTCCCCCACCCACCTCGACGCGGCCCTAAGAAACTAACCTTTTTCGGTTATAACCGAATTTTAGAAAACGGATTTGACATACTTTTATCGGTTTAAACCTAAAACGTTGAACCTGCAAACTGACCTTTTTTGGTTAAAACGGAATTTCCAAAAATGAATTCGGCGTACTTTTATCGGTTTAAACCGAAAACTTCGAACCCTAGTTATAACAGGGCGTTGCTCTAGGCTTTCTTTTATGTAGAAACCGTCTATTACTTGATACCCCTACGTAAGCCTTGAACGGTTCGATCTATTAATTCTCCTAAAATCTTCCTTGCAGTGACGCTGTTTGCCTTGATGGCAGTCAACAACTGGTTCATTATCATGGACGGGTACGCCGCCGTGACATCCGAATTCAGTCGCCTATTTTTCATGTCCTTTTATCTGATCACCATGGTGAGTGGTTCACACTGGCAATCCAAAGTTACTTTCATCCTGACAAGTGATAGATTTCCCCTATGTATGGCCAAAGACGGCACAAGGTCTGAAAGTGCAGTCTGCATTTGTATCACAGTATAGTCTCTTGCAGGTTAAGGATAGCAGAACAAACTACTTCCGCCAAGCGCTTCGCTCCCTCCACTTTAGCAGAGCAAATGCTGGAGAGGAAAAAACCACCAATCACAGAGAGCAGAGCTTTGTGGGAGGATTTTGTCCCGCTATTGTTAACCTGCAACAGACTGTAGCGGCACCCCAAAAGTGTGATAGATGCTGCATCAATCCATTTCATTGACAGTTTTGTGCAATCAGTACAAGCGGGAAATTTCCAGAATATGTGGTACACCATTACAATATTCCGACGGCTTTACCGTCATGTTTTGCTTGGGAGAAGGAGCAATGCTTTATCAGTAGGGTTCCCGGATTTTGTATTTATTGTTTATGTGGTTTGTTGTAACAAATAAGGAGTTATTGAAGTTACAAAATATCTGTGTTTATCGGTATTTATGTCATATCGATGTGACTCCAGTAAATAAAATCACTAAAATAAAATGTGAAGGGCCAAACACCAATGTCTGGAAGCAAGTGACTGTTCTTTTGATTGGTCTTTCTTATATATTTTTAGTAAGGCAACATTACACATGACAGTGTCTAGATTAGTATCTGCTGCAAAGTATTTTCATATAGGATGCTGAGAATAAACAAAAAGAAAGAAATAGCAGATGGTCTGTTAGACTTTTGGATTTGTATAAGCATTTTAGTATTAATTTCAAAAACAAAAAAGAGCCAGTAAACAATTAACTCTGCCAAACTTGGATTCCAATAATAGCAAGCTCTACATTGAGACCAAGCACCAGCTCACTTGGTAGCAAAGGAATGCTCAGAATAACACTCAAGTTAGTACTAGTGATGAGGTTGAAACTACCGAGGCATTCAATCAGTTGGCATGGTTTTATTGACTATAAAAGTTTTACTGCCAAAGTAAAAACAATGAACCTAATAAAAAAAAGCATTCTCGTCCATCCCCAATTGGCCACCTGTGCTGCTGAGCATTCCCATTTGCCTCGCTACTCTTAGGCTCAAACTTTTTGTCTGATTTCCCACTTGATACCTTCATTATTTTAGGAAGAGTAGAACAACGCCATTAATTATTGCTCGCATGGGGCGTGTTTGCGTCACAGCTTTTCTAGCTGAGAAATTTACATCCTATGACTTGACAAGCAGCAATTTTGAGTCATTTTCTTTTTGGAAGCGAATTAGGTCAAGATGTTGACTTATAAGCAAAAAACTTCTTTTTCTTATTTCTAGGTTGTCCTCCAAATCGTGGTGGCCTTTGTTTTGGAAGCATTCATATTCCGGATACAGTACAAAATGAAGATCGGAAGGGATAGCAAAGGTGATGATTGTGATGATGTTTAAAAGGGTATGAAAGTGTTTTTTGAGATTCTCGTTTTGTTGTCATAACCCAATCTACGAGCTCTAAGCATCCTAAAAAACTTGAAATTACATTCATGGGCAGCCAATTTTCATATTACAAACGTGATGAAAGATTGCGTTTTTGCAATCTTTTATCTTTTGATACGTGATAAAAGATATGAATTTATTTGTGATAAAAGATTGCGTTTTTGCAATCTTTTATATTTATCAATAAAAGATTACCGTTGTTGCAAAACGACAGATGGCGCTACAGAACCTTGCTGAATATGTTTGAACGACAGACTGTGCTTGTCAGCCACTCGCGGGCAACGAGTTTTCGCATGGATGAGCGGCCGACCAGTCCGACTCGTCCATGCAGGAACCCATCGCTCGCAAGTGGCTGACAAGCGCCGTCTGTTGTTCGACCATATTCAGCGAGGCTGCCCATGAATATAATTTCAAGTTTTTTAGGATGCTTAGGGCTCGTAAATTGAGTTACAAAAGTAAAATGAGGATCTCAAAAAGCACTTTAGTGCCCTTTAAGGGGTATTTGTGGTGCAAAAGCTTGATTGCTTGCCATTCGGGAGGTTCGATTGGAATGCAACATAAAATAGACAGCAACGGTGATCCTCAGAACAGACTCGCTATGAAATACAGTAGGCTCGCTATAATTCAAACTTGGATATTTTGTACTTCCGGTTAATTCAAACAAATTTCAAAATTTTTGGTTGTCCAGCTATATTTCTAATGTATTCATAAGCCGCTTAATTTGAACGGCGTTTCCGTGCATTTCATAATTTTTGTTCACGGGCACCGTTGAGTGCACTTCTTTTCGAGCTCCGGTGCAGTGCAGAGAGGCAACACCCTCCAAGCTTGCTTTTGGGGGTGTTGCTCCTCTGCAATGCACCGGTGCTCGGTGAGAAGTGCGCTCAACGGGGCTCCCGCAGGCACACACGAGGTATGAAAACGGGCGTCGCGCGGAAATCTCTATAACAATTTGCGCAGACGCTGTGACGTGGCGGCATGGCATAGGCCATAGTCATAATTTTATCTTGCATCATATTTAGATCAATGTCTGATAATTCAAACAAAATTTGTGGCTCCCTGGAGTTTGAATTGATGAGTCTACTGTACCTCTAAGAAAAAAAAACCTTTGGAAATGCAATTTTCAAATACTTTGCCTCACACAAATACAGACTCGGACGACAGTAAATTTATGCTCCCAGATGACGTGCTCCTTACAATCTGTGTGGCCGACCATAAAAGCAATGGTCCATTAAAATAGTTTGATAAAGAAGGGTCCATCGCCATTTCACATAAGCTCAAGTTTTAATGAAGGGGGTTAGATTAAATGGGGCCCGTAAAACTGCAATCGCCAAAGCGACTCGCGGTGAAACAAGCGGACTTCCTTCTCCGTGCATTTGTTGTGGCGAGCAGCCGTCATCTGGCGTCTCTCCACCCTCCAGAGGACAACCTGGTGAGAGTGGAGACGCGCATGTCCAAGGCCGAGATTGCACTGTGCAGCGACCCTACACCGCACCCTCCAGCTCCGGAGCCCCTCAACTATGCGACGGATGCCGCGGCGGACACGCTCGTCTTCCGTGGCGTGCGCTGGAGGACCAAGTTCTCCTTCTGCCTCAAGATGTATGCGGAGGAGGTCAAGGTGCGTGCGGCCTTTGGGAGATTCAGTCGTACCACCAGCTCTTGGAGTTTTTACATCCGCGCCTTGGATGCAGCCTCGATGGTTACGCCAGGCTGATGACGTCACGGTGTTTGAAACAGCGGGTGTCCGACTGTGGTGCTGGAACAGTGAAGAGTCCTGAAAGAAGAAATTGTCAGGTCGTTTTTCATCGCATCACATCACCTGACACAGTCATGTGATGCGACGCCGTGACGTCATTGCACGTTTGCAAGAAAGCTTCAAGGAGTACAGGAACTCTCTTTGGCATCAGTTTACTTTGTAAAAACTGGTGTGCCCTGGTGACTTTGCCAATGCAGACACTGCAAGGAAAAAAACAAAAAGTTGTAGTATTAATGGACTCTTTTCACAAGAGTGTGGCATCTAATGGCTTCCGAGCCAATTGTCCGAGTCCGCCATTGTTTGGGCATGTGCGCCGATTACGTGTTGGACGCTAGGGCTGCGTCATTGTTCAGCACAAACTCTGCTCAGCACGTATTAAAAACGAGTACTGTGTCAGCATTCGGTGAAGACTCGGATCGGATTGTTTGCTTTGTGCACAAGAAATGGAGGCCGCCAATGCAGCTTGATGGGGTTTCGGAAAGGGTCTATTGGACGGCGAAGTGTCGAGTTTTTCGGCGTGTTCCAAATTAGAGTAGCCATTGCCAACCTCCCCGCGAGTTGTAGGAATTTTCGAGCCCACTGAAAAAAACTGGGGACGACGTGGTCATTGCACAGAGTGCATCGGCGACAAAAACGCCGTATTGTCTAGAAAAACGACGATTCGTGCGGCCATGATGATGACGCAAAGCAAATGGAACAAAAAGAAACAAAAATTCTCGTTCGCTCAATCATGTTGACAACGACCAGGGGGCACGGAATGCATCCCGTGCGCCGCACAGGGATGCGGGACACTAGCATGAACCACACTCTACGTGTGGTTTGTGCTAGTTTTCTTATTGTGCACCAGAGATGTTAGCCAGACCTCAACGTCGCATAGCGCTCCCAGCATGCCACCCGTTCACGACACTTCTGTATGTCGATTGCTCCCGACGCTCGTTTGTGACAATTTTCTCGCAGAAAACAACTCGTAAAACACATTCCATGTTAAAAGTGGTTGCCGCATTCATGCGCAGCGGCCGGTTTGTCTGTCCTCTTGCTACACACAAGTGTAAATTCCCATTTTACTGCAATCATAGTTGTAAAATCAACAAAACTCGTATGAAGCATTGACATTCCTATCAAGAAAGCAATTGTTTTAAATCCTTTTATATTCTTGCTAGAAGCAGATGCTTATTTGGTCTCAATAGACCTTTTGCTAAATTACCCAAGCACCCAGGAGCATGCTGGGTGTAGTTACATGTGCTGGCGTCTGCAGCAGTTACAAACCTTCTAAAGCGCGACATCTTGCATGTGCATTCATCAACGCTTTAGTTTGGTTATTTCCAGCGAATCTTTTATGCAGGGAAGGCTAGCGCATAGACTTACATTCCCAGCATTCTCGTTGATGCTTGGGTAATTTAGCAATAGGTCTATTCCTCGTAATAGTGACGTAGTGGTGCTAGTGCAATAATGCAGTATCCTAGAATGATCAGAGCTGTAATCGGCAAAGCAGAAGACAATCTTTTGGATTCATACCATTGCCATTTCTGCCCCGCTGCTGTAGTAAACTTTTAGTGAAAGTGTCAGATTATAGTCATCTAAAAGCCAGGACCTTTGTTGATTCGTTAATGAGGTGTCAAGGACTCCATCTCTCAAAGGTGGCCGCATGACATATAAACTGTGTACCTCGGAATTCATGCCGACCTTAATGCGCATCGCAAGTTTGTTTGCTTGCTGCACTGGGGTTGTGACGATGTCAGAACGCCGAACTCTTATTCGCAGATTGAAAAAAATAGTGAGCAGACCTCAAGACGTCTAGCATCGAGGTCTACCCATTATCCTTTCAATCAAAGCCAATCGGAGCTCAGTGTCGTTCCGACGTCTCCACCACTCCTTTGCAAGAACCAGACGGCTTGCTTAGCTTGCGTTTGGCAGCAACATAGACTATTTCGTCACAAAGTGCTTGGAGCTTATTGTTTGTGTTGGCAAAGTTTTAGGACATGAGCGGAAGAAATCGCGGCCATCAATTCTTTAGGAAAACAACTTAAGAATTAAAAATTATGCAACGCTTTTACACATACCTCGCAGTTCAGACCGAGTAATGTGAAGTGACCACGAGACTTTGCCATTAAGTAAGGAATTTCCCGTCTTTCCCTTCAGAAATGGCAATAGTATAGCATTATTATTGAGAAGCAGGACCATGTGAAGAGCAGCATCCGACAGATAACTTTATGGCACGTTGCAACCCTTTTTGCTCATTCAGGAGTGGCTGGATCACGCAGAGCTGGAGGAAAGGCGCTCCAACGAGTGGCTCATCCTCAATGTGCAGAACCGCGAGGGAGACAGCACGGCGCTTGAAGCAGGCCACGAAAGCAGACGGACGTTCACCCTATGACCACCGGACAGGGACTTCGTCGTCCCCGGAGTTGCACCGTTGTCGTCACACATTTGTACATGCAAGCGGAGCGTATTGAAAAGCGTTTTATGCTAAGGAAGATATGCGCTGTGATACAGCATCTTTGAAAAGTGCAATCCTTGTGTCAACCATGCAACGGCGTAGCATGAAGAAGCGCTTTCCTTTCAAGGCGGGCGCATAGAAGTGAAGAGCATTTACGAAAGTTGTCAGTTTTTTTTTTTTTTTAGCATGGCCACAAAACTTTTATGGAGACTTCTCGCATTTTGTGCGACGATAAGTGGTGTAAGCGCGGACGTAGCTGTTGTTTTTCAATGTATACCATGCTTACATTAATTTGATGTGAAACGATGCCATTGTTGTAGTTTTAGTAGTCTACTTAGATTTTTAGCTGGTGTTGAGATTATTTACACTACGATGAAAAATGGTGATTCTGCCAGCAAATCAAAGTTTTTACAAGGACTGCAGTTCCTACGAAACAAAGTGCCTTTTTTGTGCTAGCGGGCACACTGCAAGTGTTCCTCCGTGCAAATCTTTACATTATGTACGACTTAATTTTTGTGAATTTTCAATGCCGATAAATTTGTGGGAATGTGGTTTTACAAGAGTGACCGTGTTGTTTCCAACATCCAGGATCTTTTATAGGTTTCATGGAGTTTACAAGATGTAGAACTTTTAAAATCAAAGCCACTATTTATAGGCCCCTGCAGAACAGAGTAATAACAGTACATACTTAAAGATTGGCCAAGATTAGTGTTGGTAAACTTTTTCCTCAGCCGTTCCAACAGTCTTAAAAACTTTGATCCCCTTTTTATCCTGTCGTGCAACAAAATAGAATTGGACACCTTAACATGCTCCACGAAAAGGGGCAGCGCTCAAGTTCATTATTATGCAAGAAGAGTAAGAATTTTACGTCATGCAATGTCAATTCTTTTTTTTACACGGAGCAATATCAAAAAGAGTGGACTGCAACATTCATCATGTATGCAATCTTGTAGCGTGCTTTTCGAAGTAAGGCTGTCATTCTCTGGATCTTTTCTAATGTTGAAGCATATACACTTTTTAATATCTGTTGACGCCATATTCAACTGCTTTTGCACAATACAGTATGTACTTTCTTTACCGAAAACCAAATCTCACTGCCCTGTTTACTCTGAATGCTGCCTGCCACAATGTTTCCCTGCATATTTATAATACCGTGTGCACGCACCCCTCTAAACATTGGTGCGATCCAGACTGCAGGCTCTCATCAATCAAATGCGACAACTCGGGCAAACATCAGCGTTCTCGACTTTCCAGACAGGTGGCTGCCACGAGGAACCCCACAAAAACAAAGCAACACTCCAGCAGCTCCTTTGGCAACTAGTGCACAAGTTGTTCCACTAGTCTATTACAACACACACGCGGTGGGTTGCATCTTTGGGATCGAGCCGTGCCGCCGAGGAAATCCGCATGGTTGGTGTGATCGCTGAAACACAAAGACACGCAGCTGCTCTTCAAACATCAAGAACCCGAAGGAAGTTCCGCGGTGGTGAGGCCAAGAAAAGCATGTTGCGAACTGTGGAAAACGTTGGAGCTCATTAAAACCGACGCAGTTTTTACTGTAGAACTCTCGCCTGCATGCCAATGCCCCAATGGAGTCCATTCGGAAATTACAATGAAGCATTTCGAGTATTTGGTTCGGCTCATTAGAGACAAAAAGAAAAGGACCCACACGTGCCCAACATTAAGTCCCGGTCGCCTCAACTGAAACGGCAAAGAAACCGACCTTAGAGCTGTGATCGAGGAAGGCACAAAAAAAAAAAAAGCCTCTGTACATGTTCGGTGAAAGTTGGAACAAAGTGCCGCAGATTCGCTGCTCACACAAACACAACACACTATCCTCTGCATCAACATTTGCAGGAATACTTTGGATAACTGACCAGCTGGCACGGTCCATGAAACACTCCCAAGGGACCCTGACCACAGCAGGTTATTTCACATCGGTGTTACACTGCAAAAAGATATTATCGATGCCTTGCAAGAGCCGCGGTTTGGTGCATCCTCGGTGTGTCTCGGCCCCAGCGAACATCTCTCAAAGTAAATGTGATCCAGAAATGTTGGCGCCACTTCAACATACTGCCTTCGGTTCGTAACAAAAAACCGGAAAAGGGTGCAATGCAGCGAGCAATCAGTGAGATCGATTTGCGTCGGCCAAGCCTGCTATAGGCCTTCCAAGTCTGCTTCGGTCACCACTTCCTTGTCCTTGAAGATGGCTTCCACAGCCACCTTGGCTGCCTTGTCAGACATGGTGTTCTCAGCCACCAGCTTGTGAGAGAGGAGCTTGCAGATCTTCTTGAAGAGTTCTTTGGATACCTTGTTCTCTTTGTACTTTGGGTAGAGGAAACGGTTGATGTGCTTCGCTGCCTGGTTGAGGTCTTCCTTGACTGAGGGCTTCTTAGCATCTTCGTCTGCTTTCTTTGTGTGGCTGTTTGGCTGCTTTGCTGTCCCCTTTGCTTCTGCCTTGGGATCTTTTCGTGCGGCAGACTCCTTCGTAGGCACTTTGGAGCCCTCGGCCGTGTCTGGACTCTTTTTCCGAACCTTATCATCATCCCTCGCTGCGTCCGGACTCTTTTTTCGAGCCCCGTGATTTTTTGCTCTTTCTGGGCTCTCTTTGTGAGCAGTGACCTCTTTTTTTCTTGGCTTGCCTTCCTTCGGAGCTGATGCGTCGTCACTGTGCCTCGACATTTTGGGCGAAACCTTCCTTGTGTCTTTCGCCTTACGCGACTCTCCCTGTTCACCTCTGATTCGCTTCCTGCACTCGTCGTCCGCCTCTTCGACAGGTGACGCGGCCTCCCCACTATCCTCTAGGGAACCCTCCCTCCTTCTCTTGTGAGGGGATGCTTCAAAAAAGTACCGTATGGTCTGCTTGTTTTCGTCGTCCTCGTCCGGTGTAGACTGCGATAGACTGGCAAGACTCCCGCTTCCGCTCTCTCCTGACTCGCTGCTCACGGCAGTGGGGCACTTCACGTCCTTTGCTTCGGGAGAGCCCGTCTTACCGCTGCTGCTGAGAACAGAGTCGTGCGAGCTGCTAGAGTCGTCCGAAGACAAACCGAGCGCAGCCAGCCTGGCCTTGCCGTTGTTGTCCGCAACACCGCGCACTTTGGTTTCCTTGCCAGAAGCTTCCTCACTCTTTTCCTGACCAAAATACTTGAAGATGGTGTGCAACCTTTCGGGCTTCTCCTTTTCTACCTTGGCCTTTTTTGCCCCTCGCTCGGGGCCGCCGTAGGTTGCGAGCAGTTTGTGCAGCTGCACGGCCCTCGTGTCGTTCCGAAGTGCCACAAACAGGTTCACCAGCTCCTTCCTGTATATATGGACGTTGTGCTTCGTCTTGAATACGGCGAGCTCGTGCTCCGCGGCACAGTTCTTGATGTCCTCGGAGGTCAGCTTGGGGGTGTCATTGAAGGCCTCCCAGGCCGTATAGTTCAACTCCATCTCTTGCCTCAGCTTCGACACGTAGTCCTGGCGCGTTTCGACGGAGACCTCCTTGATCGCCGAACACTTCGGCTCGAGCACGGAGCAGTTTTTCGGGATGCTCCTCTTCTTGGGCTCTCCTGAACTGCCGCTTTTCCGGCGCTTGCTGAATTCATTCTGTATCAACTGCGACAGCGCCACTGCGGCTGCCCTGTCGTTGCTGTCGCCGTCGCTGTCATCGTCAGAGTTGTAGGACTCCGTCTCTATCTTCTGTCCGTGTCTCCCCCCGCCGTAGAGCTCGCTGTCGAAGCCATTGCTCCGGCTCGTCTTTTCAAACTTTCCCGTCAGCAGCGTCCCGCGGAATGCGGAGAGGCGTGCCTCGAGGCTCTTGGACTTGGCGCATGCATCGCAGTTTTTGCCGCAGCGATCCAGGTCGTCTCCAAACTCCCGGCAGAGGACCGCGTGGCGGCACGTTGTCCCCTCGCAGAACTCGACCATCTTCTCGAACGCCTTGGCTGCTGCCTCTGCGACCACCTTGCCCCTGTTGTTACGAGCACGCTTCCCGTCCTGCTGAATCAGAAAAGTTATGGCCTTCCTGTCTCTGCGGGAGTAGTAGATGCGGCAGTAGGACGGCCGGCCATCGCGGCCCGCCCGGCCGGACTCCTGGTAGTAGGCGGGCACGGACTGCGGCACCGACCAGTGGGCCACGAACCGCACCATGGCCCTGTCCACCCCCATGCCAAAGCTGACGGTGGCGGCAATGACAGGCAGCCGGCCTTCCGTCCACTCTGCCTGGTTCTCCTCCCGCTCGGATGGCTTCATGCCTCCGTGGTAAGGTTTGGTGAGCAGGCCGAGGGACGTCAGCTTCAGGCTGACTTCCTCGCACGCGTCGCGCGTCCTACAGTAGACGATGCCGCTGCCCCTCCTCTTGCAGTCCTCCGAATCCCAGTCGGCGCCAAGCGCCTTGAGAGCAAAGCCCTTCAGGTTCTCGAAGGGCTCTTCGAGCGCTTCTTTGAACTCCACGTCGTAGTAGAGGTTGGCCCGGAAGCTAGAGGTCTTGAAGATTGCCACGGGCTGGCGGAGCCGCAGCTGGACCAGGATGTCGTCGAAGACTTTGGCGGACGCCGTTGCCGTCAGGGCGACGACGGGCACGTCGGGAAACATGTCCCTCACCCTGCCCAGCTTGAGGTAGTCCGGCCTGAAGTCATGGCCCCACTCGGAGACGCAGTGGGCTTCGTCGATCGCGAACCTGGCCAGCTTGCCGATCCGGTGCAGCGCCTTGAGGATGCCCTGGAAACCCTCTGTCGCCACCTGCTCGGGCGTTACGTAGAGCAGCCGAGTCTCGGGTGACATGCTCAACAGGTCGGACCGGACGCGGTCCCGCTCGGACTTTTTCATGGTCGAGTTGATGGTCTCCGCGTCTATGCCCAGGTCGCGGAGCTTCTGCAGTTGGTCGGACATGAGCGCAATCAGCGGGGACACCACCACGGTGACGCTGGAGTCGGGCGTCACTACTGCGGGGAGCTGGTAGCACAGCGACTTGCCCGCGCCCGTAGGCATGGACACGAACACGTCTTGGGCGCATTGTGCGACCGCTTCCACAGCTTTCTCCTGCAGGCCGCTGCGGAAGGCCGTGTGGCCGAACACAGTTTCAAGGGCCTCCCGGAGGGCGCACGACACTTTTTTCTCACTCATGCTGGCGGCGACGCGCGTTCAGCCCCACGTGTGCTCTTCTCCGTGGCTGGCGTCATGCGTTTTTCATCCGCACATTCAGCTGGACGTCGCTTCGCTCATCTCCCGCCGTAATCCGCAGAACCCGCAACCACCGCAACGACGAGGGCTACGTACAGACCAGACGTGGGCCAAGCGCAGACGGCTCCGTTCCAATATATGTCTGAAGAATAGCCGTCTACGGTTTCTTCGGCTTGTTTTGTTCACCGATTTCTGTTACTACAGTTCGATCAGCGCACGTTCCAACTGCTGCTCTTTCAAGCTGACGGTTTATGGAGGAAAACAAAAGAAAGCCACATGTTTTTCTTCGATTTTCCAGGTGTATATTTTTCAAACCCACTTCCTGTTTATTTAGTCAGCTAGTTTGCCTGTGGTTTGCCACCTGTTTTCTGCGAAGATACCAACCATACCAACAACCTGGAAATAATAACGACGAACATGCAGACTGTAAATGCTGTATGATTATCGATAATTTAATTCAGTTAAGTTAAACGTGGTAGGATCCAATGATTCACTTTATTACTGTAATTTTGGTAATTTCGACCTTTCAGCTCGCGACGGCAGGGGGCCAATTTTAAAAACACCGAATTTCGCCGATTTCGCTTTAGAAATTCCTCGGTCTGCGTTTGAGTTGTGTTGATTTCGCTCACGTCGAAAATTCACAGAAAATTTATTTGCATAGACCACTTACAGCAGAGCAGAAAAATGTCGGGCTACACGAAGCAGTATCTGGAGGACAAACTACGAAAAGAACTTGACGCAGTTCACATAGTAAGTGTTCCCGGTCAATCCTCACGGACTGTGTGATCGTGCCCGAAACTTGCCGATGTCGAAAGACTCCGAAACAGTAGTTCAACACGTGGTTCAACTCATGGTTTCCACATTTTTCCCACGCTTCCGCAGGACCTCGAAGACATATCAGACGGATGCGGTGCCAAATATAACGCGATCATTGTGTCTCCAAAATTCGAGGGTAAAGCTCTTCTGGAGAGGCACAGGTGAGGGTGCAGATTTGTTTCGCTCTGCGCAGTAGTTTCCTCTCTGGGGGTGAACAAGCACTGTCAAAGTTATGATCTTTGTGTTTCTGTGACTGGTAGAATACACTGGAGAAATGACAACGCTTTTGAAGCTCTGAAATCTCTTTAGACATACCTATCTGAATGCAATATAACACCGTACACCGTTTTTCTTTTCCCGGTGCAGGATGGTGAACACCATTTTGGCTGAGGAACTCCAGGTGATTCACGCCTTCTCGCAGAAGACGCTCACTCCGAAGCAGTGGGAAGAAAAGAAGCAAGCGTGACAAATAGTGTACTTATTACGCCTTTTAAGAGTGGTAAAAGTGTGGTCCAATTGAGCCTTCTGTACTCTCTCTCACAACGTAAATGATAGTAATCGTTAATTAAATGCGTTTTGAATCTGTCGCTGAAAGTTAAACTTACATGGTTTTCATTGATTTTAGCTTCTCATGCTTGAGCTTATGCGGAGAGCTAGTCGTCTGCTTCAAAATGCTGCCGAGTTCTGATTGACTGATTGGAAGGATGGTGGGTAGACCTCAATGCTAAATGCCTCAAGGTCCACCCGCTATTTTTTTTTTCTTTCAGTCAGCGAATAAGTGCTTGGCGTCTTGACGTCATCGCAATCCCTTTGCAAGAGGCAGACAAACTTGCGCTCTGCATACGTTTCTCTAACTGTCGCCCAACATGAAGATGATCGCCAGGCAGACCTTTAGTAGATCAAGCAAAAATACTAGGCTCCCCCCTCCCCCGGCGAGGGAGTAGCCAATTTTCCTCTGCTACCAGCTGTACCCATTAGAACGGGCGGCAGCTAGCGCAACCTAGTCGAGAAATTAAGGACCAAAAGTATAATTTCTTTACTTTGCCAATTTGCTTGCCCTCTGCAATTTCGTAACTATCATTAGGCGGTGTGGGATATCACCAGGGCGCAGTGGCGTCACGAGGATCAGCGTCACCCGGGGCAGTAGCCTACTGCGACACCCCCCTAAGCGCTGAACCCAAGGCGGTCCGCCCCCCCCCCCCCCCCCCCCCCTTGTGATGCCACTGCCAGGGCGACCTTTGAGAGATTAAGCAAAAAAACTAAAAACCTCCCCTCCGCCCTCGAGGGAGTCGCCAATTTTCCTCTGATTAAACCAAGTAGGCGTTGCCCCGGCACCAAGCCCACTGGGAGACAGGGTGGAGTTTTGGGCCAGAGCCACGTGGGAGGGAGTCCAAATTTTCCTCTGTCCCCGGCTATGTCAGATAGTCGTACGTCATTCAATTTTCCCTAGATAATTTCCACCAGTCTTCCAATCTCCTCTTTTTTTTAAAATGCACTTATCGTCGACTCTTCTGCACACACCAGCGTTCCGGCTGAATCCGTCACCCTCTCTGGGAGGGCGGGAGCAAGCCCTGTGCACCTTAACACCACATGTTCTGTTGTCTCATCTTCTCCTTGCAATACAGCGCAGCACATATCCATTTCCTCACACTTTGTCTTATATCTCCTAGTCTTCAATATTCCCGTTCTAGTCTCGAATACTATCAAGCTCCCCCGTGAATTATCATACCAATACTCCTTCCTTATTTCCTGTTTTAGTCCCCTATGCCATAGTTAAAGCTGATTTTCCCTGCATTCTTTCCTCCCACATCTTTCTCTCGGCTTCTTTTACCTCCTTTTTCACAGGGGTAGTCTGCTCTGCGCCAGCACTTGACTGTTGGTATTTGAATTGTTTGGTTTGTCCATCTGGTGGGTGTTCGGACTTTTCATGTACAGGTGCTCCTTGCCGATTGTGCATCTTCAATTGCGTCTAGCCTTTGTTCAAATTTCAACTTTCTGATCGCCTCTCTAACCTGGAAAGATGCCCAGCCCATGTCTCCCTCCACTCCTTCATTTGGTGTATTCCTATGTGCCTCCAGTGCCACTCCACATGGACCTCAGATTTCATGCATAATACCGCATTGCCGAAAGACAACCCTGGCACCACGACTCTTTTCCATACTTCCGTTACTACTTCAAATCTATTGTAATTCCATAGTGCCCCGTGCTTCATAATTGCTGCGTTCCTTTTTCCTTTCTTCAGCATATTTTCTTCCTGTTCTTCTAAGTATTGCTTTCCTTCATTCAGCCATACTCCTAGGTATTTATAATTCTCTACGTGTTCTATTAAAATGTATTGAATTTTCAGTGGGTCCCCCTTCTCGTCATTATAAACTATTATCCCAACTTGTCGCTACTGAATTTCTGGTCCAGGGAGTCTCCTTCCTTTCCACAGATGTCGGCTGTTCCCTTTCCATCTGGTGAGCAGAGCCCGCGGTCCGCTCTAAGGAGAATTTATTGCCTATTTTTCTGCCCCCAAGTTCTCAAGACTGCTAAGGGCACTCGATGGCGTTTCCGGCTTATTTTCCCTGACTGGGCTCGCTTTTTGACAATTCCCTGATTTTTCCCGATAACTAAAATTTCCCTGACAACTCCCGATTTTCCCGGTCGCTAGACACCCTGTCAAGGTTGTCCTAAAAGTCGTCCTCGAGGTCGTCCTTGAAGTCGTTTGAGAGGTCATCCTAGGTGTCGTCCTCGAGGTCGTCCTAGAAGTCGTCCTTGATGTCATCCTAGACATCGTCCTAGAGGTCGTCCTTGAGGTCGCACTATAGGTCCTCGTTTAGGCGTCGCACTATAGGTCCTCGTTTAGGCGTCGTCCTTGAGGTCGTCCCTGGGTCGTCCTAGACGTCGTCCTCTAGGCTTCGTCCGAGACGTCGTGAAGATAACAACTCTGCCGGTCCTCCATCTTCATGTGAAGTGGAGGGGGTCTGCAATTTTTTTTAAACTAGTGTGCATTGCCCAGGGGTGATTGGAGTGCATCAGTTATTTTCGGGAATGGTGGTAATGACTCTACAGGTTTTCCCACTCATTTTAATCCAAGCGACGGCCAATTTAATCTAAGTGCCACCCAATTTAATCATAGCAACACACAATTTAATCCTTGCACTACTCAATATAATCCCGGGGTCAGTGAATTTAATCCACAATATATATATATATGCACTTATTGGTCTTCAGTGGTCGTGTTGTGGTATTTAATTCAAATTTATGGCCAATGGTCAAGAGTAGCTTGAAGTAATCAAAAGAGGAATAATACTAATGTCAACTGAGTTCATTATAGATCAATGGAAGCAATAATAACACAAAGTAATCAAAAGTAATCATTAATTGCAAATGTACTTTTATCATCTGAACTGTAGCAATGTTAAGTCGAGTAATAAGAACGGTTAAACAAAACGTCCCTCCAGCTAAAATAAATTAGAGTGCGCCACAATAACTCGAGGTGCGGCGATCGCTAGAAACAATATGTCTTGACCACAAGGTGCACTTATGCTTCGTAGAGCAATCGCCAGAGGACACTGATAGTACCGCGGGCCACGCAGAGTGGTGTTCGCACTCATATTGATCGTGATAGTCCAGTATGCTCTATGGGGAAGACACATGTCCGGACGTAAACATAGTCACGATAGCGGGGCATTACCTGAATTCAAGCGGTGCTGCAAAAGTTAATTCGCCAACTATATCGACCAAGCCCACTATACAAGAAGCAATGCCGACCTCCCACCAGATGCCCGGAACCAGAGACCTCGCAGGGCCTCACCGAACGCCCAGGAGGAGGAGCAGTTGGAAGTCATTCTCAGAATGAAGGAGGAGTCATACAGCAAATTTTGGCGCCCCCCGAGACCAAGGGGTGGTTTTCGTATATGCAGGGTCGCCGAAATATATCCAGAAAATTCACCATTTTCAGGAAAACACACAAAGGCAAAGAGAAAATGAATATCCACCATTTACTGTGCTTTGCTCGGTCTGCCATAACGTCTTCCTGGCTGAGATTTTCTGAACGTCTTGGCAATGCTATAAACTTGTGTCTTCTTGTAGACCACGCAATGACTTGGTTAGGCGACTTTTCGGCGTGAAGTGATTTGAGTATTGCTGCCCTCCGATCATATTCTTTGCTCATTTTAGAGCAAGTCGTTAATTGTTTATTATGCGATGATCCGCTGTCGAATCACGTTGCCGCAGAAGCCCGATACAGCCGGTTAGCTTCGCTGTATTGTTGGGAGACGAAATCTGGAAAAAGTCAGGATTTATCTCGACTACCCCGTAGTGACAGTAAATTACGTACCACCTGGGGGTACGCCACTGTGTTGACGCAAATTTCCTATTTGCACATCAAAAAGTATTATGGGTACTTCTCCTCCATGCCACGTCTGCCAGTCGAATTTCCCTATCTATGCATTACTCTGGGTGCGTTTAAGAGGTGACACTGGCTAGAGGCTGAACTTTTGAACTACTCAAGTGATCGGAATGAAATTTTCAGGGGGGATTTAGCTTCAGATGTAGGTGTACTGTGCAAACTTTCAGCTTTCTAGGACACATCTACATACCTGCATAAGATGATGTGTCACTCTTCATTAAGAAATCTATGATATGCAAATGAAGCTATTAAGCATCATTTTGACTGCTTGAGTATAAAGTGGGGGATATGGGACCTTGGGCTATCTAGTTTTAATAACTTAAATGTAAATATTTCAGGAAGAGTTACTACAGTAAAACCTCGTTATAACAAAACGGGATATAACAAACTAATGGATATAACAAAGCAATCATAATTCCCCTTGCTTGCTAATAGTGGGAAGAAATGGACATTGGCTATAACAAACTAATGGTTGTAACGAAATAATTACGACCGCTCCTTCAACTTTGTTATAATGAGGTTTTACTGTACCTCAAAATATGAGATGCATATCTGTCCTATGTCAATTTTTGAAAATTTAGTTTTTTATCACCGAAGACTTCAACTTGAAACAAAATAAAGTAGATAGCCCGATTCCCCAGTAAATGTCAGTTCAGAAACATGTTGATTGCGGTATCAGAATACTTTCACCTTCGAACAAAAGATTCCTTCGTATGAAATTTGCAGCAAAAAGTGGAACTGAGAAAAATGCATTCAAACATTGAACTTTACTTTGTTACTGCCTCACGACGTGTTGAAAATATTTTATATCAACGTAACTATTTGGCGTATGGTTATCAAATTTGGTGTAAGGGTGTATAATTAGTTTCTAAAACTGAAAACCTCAAAATTGAAAAACTAATTTTTAAAAAAAAATTTAAAATTTAGGTCCATGTCCCCCCTTAACCTAGAAGACTGGAACTGGCATGGCTTAAACCCGTCAACTCTGACAAGTTGGTTTAAGGCGCGAGTTCCGTTTGGTCTAAACCTGTACCTAAATACGGGTACGGCCAAGCCAGGTGCTGGAGCGACAGACAACCAAATGGTTACCACCGAATCCAGCAAGTTTCACGCGAACGATCATTGCCTTCTAATTGAAAAGTATCGGGGTGTCAGCATGGGTGCCAATGCCAACATGACAAAGTCTGACACCTCACACGTGCATGGGCGATTCTCGGCACAACAATTGCTAGAATTTTATTTACTGCATCGACTTTACGCCACATGGCAACGAGCTTATCAACACATTCCCGTTCAAGAGCCACATTGGAACCCCAATCATTAATTACAATCACAACTTTGAAAATGGCTGGCTACCTACATTATGTGCACCCCAATGTGCAGTGACTCCAAGACGTACATTGCAACATCTTTTATGAGTACGATTAAAGCAATACCTATCCTAGACTTCGTTAAAACAAGACCAGGTAATAAGCTCCTTTAAAAAGCTGCAACATAAGGATTTTGATTCTGATGCGACAAACCAATTGAATGAGAGCACAACCACCAGGGCATTGGGCAACTACCCATTTCTGGCAAGGCGCAACCCAGCGTGTGCTTTGGGATCCTGACTGTAAGTAAAAAGTCTGTAGACTCTCTAAGCAACGACAACAAGTTTCAAGACATGTCTGCATTTTTTCAAGTGGACACGGAACTGGTCCTAGACACTAACGACAGTATATCACCCATGAAGAAGGTCAACAGTGCCTGTGACGAACACTTTATTAAGATAAAGTTCAACAACTCTAGTATATTCCTGCCAATAGACAAACTCGCCTGGGCCATTACACGTACCACGAACAACCAGCATCCAAATATGACTATCTTAAGCCGTAACAAAATTTTCATTGCTTCCTCCCACAACTCCTACATTGATCATGTGTAATGAGGTCTCTCATGACCTGATCCCACTCTTTTTCTGCGCAGGTTTGTACGCGGTCGTGCTAATCAATTTCAGACTCTCCCAGCCAGTTATCAATTTCCAGGTGGTCGTAGTTGCTTTGCAACACCTTGGCCACGACGTCTGTCTTTCCTCATCCCGGACGCACACCCTCACTTCAAATTTCCTCTCCGTATATCCCATCAAATTTTCCACTAGCAGTTGTAGTATTTCTCCTTTGGCCCGAACCAAAAATTCCATTGCCTTCCCACTTGATGATTGCAGCTCGTCTTGCAACATGGTTGCACTGTCGTCGTTGGCGCTATCGAAAGGGATATATATATATATATATATATATATATATATATATATATATATATATATAATTTTTTTTTTTTTTCTAAGGGACCAACAACATTTTGTTTATTTGTTTTTTAATTTTAACGGGACTTGCACATATACTTGTTTCTCTCCGAGACTTGTCGTTTGATATATGGCACGACCCGGTGGGCCAATTAGGACCCCCAAAAATTTTGACGTGACCAATGGGCCATGACATTTGGTGACCTATACTTTTTAAGTGTGTGCGTAAAATTCTGCATGACAACACCAAGCACGACTGGGTGCGGCCGCTTTTCAAAAAAGTTTAAAAATGGCCCAAACCAAATTTCTAACACCCCCCCAAATTGACGGGCTTACAATTTGTCAATATTAAAAATGTTTGCAGACGCTTACCAAAATGATGTACCTGATGTTGACCTCCAGTCCATCGTTATCCTTGACTTGTTCCGTGGAGGTCTATCTCGCTCGAGCTGTCCTCGACAAATGAAGCTTGGTCTTGGTTGAACATGCTTGTGTACAGACATGGCAACAACCAGATGCTCTGCTTGCAACTCTGTACATGGCAGTATTGTTCGTCATTCAATGACAAGGTGTCCTAATCCTTTCAAAGGCTATGACACAAATGTGTACCTCTAAACCCCTCACTTTTATTTTTTTGGGAATATATTGTATATTGAGCCATTTTAAGAATTTTAGTGGAATTCTACTTTATTTTCTGGCAACCAAAGTTTGTAAAGAAAATTTGAGTGAAAATGTTTTTCGCCAAGAAAGCTTGTGAAGAAAATGTTTTCCAGGATAAATGGCAAGTGCCGTTTGAAAGTGCTAATGAATATCTCGACCCCATTTTGAGGTGATTAGTAGTACCTTTTGAGCAGCAAGGGCACCGATACAAGTGTTGCCGTTAAAATTTCAATATCTTTGTAGATCACTTTTGTGTGCGTTTCATTTTTTGTATAGAGGACAGAAAGATCTCTGAAAGAGAAAGTGTACAACCTAAAGCCAGGATCCTACCAGCACACTGTGGAATCTGTGTGGGCCATTAGAAAAGATGCAGTGGTCGCCATATTTTCTTACGCATCCCAAAACAACACTAATTATGAAGTCAAGTTCAGACTTGTAGGCTCAGCAGAAGTCTCCAGTTGTGTGGTTGCATCTTCAAAATGCGTACAGCCAAGCATCCAACATGCAGGTCTGCCATAATTGGGCACTGTCCTTCTGTCAAAAACAAAAGATTTTATTTTGAAAGCAATAGCTTTATGGGTGACACTTTGCAAAGATTTCGTCTTCGTCGCTCGTCGTCGAAAAAGTTTTCCCTCCCCACTTTCCGCGAGGGCGGGAAGTCGAGACTCTCTCCGCCGTGCCACGTGAAGCGAGCAAGGACAAGCAAAAAGGGCAGCCCTCGCATCCCGCCAAGAATTGCGCAACAAATGGCGAATCGTGTTGTCTGCTCGAAAGATATTTCGAGCAGTGGCATTTCACGTTATGCGAAATCCCACTTTGGCAGTATACAGTTGCTACTCGTAATGTTGGATGGTTTTAGAAACTTCCACCGCACTTACCCACATACTTCATAGATCACAGGTGGCGGTCGTCACGTCAGCGACACAAACCACAATGGCTATGAGAATTAATCACGTCGCACCTCCATCCTCATGTACACCCGCCAGCAATATGAAAGTGAACACCTTACCTGGTTTCTTGCCTGTTTTACGGCTCCCTAAAGCTATATTAACTCTCAATGTCTCAAATGGTACGTGGCTTGGGGGTCTAAACTTTGCGTACTAGCTCTCTTGAGTGACACCCTTTGGTATGAAACATAAAGGTCCTTTCCTTCGACTGCTGCGCCCTCTCTTTTTCTGCTACAAAATCAGTCCCGGAACTTTTTGATCACACTTCGTAATTATGTGAAAGGCAAAAGACAACTTTGGGGTGAAAGCTAATGAGCCATATCTTGTGATTCTCTAGCAAAAATGCGAACTGAGTACCATCTTTTTTCGAAAGCTTCTCTATCGTGCTTTGGAAAAAGGACAAAGAAATGCAACAAGTGAATCAAAGATAGTCTTATTTACACACAAGAGTCTCTCATCCCAAAAAAGCCCCGTCAACCCGAGTCTTCTTTGGCCTTTGACTCATACTTTTTCTGGCGCTTCGTCTTTTCCCTCTCCAAGAAGTTCTTGAAGGACTCATACTCTCGCTTCTCTTCCTCGTCTGAAAAGACAAACAAATATAAGTACAGTTATTAGATTTCAATGAACATGTTGGCATGCTTGTTAAGAAAATGAAAGCCAAAAACAAAGAGTGATAATAGCAGAAATGTACAGGCTGTAGATATGTCATTATCCCTGTTTGCATAGCAAATACACAATATTTAGCATGCATTGTTTAAGAGAGGAATACAAGTTGAACAGTTATTAACTTAGAACTGCTATTAACGGCCGTTGTAAGTGAGGCAACTATTTTTACTGTCAACCTGAAAAGACAGTAGTATGAGTTGCTAAACTACTCCCAAATACCAACAGTTAGCTTCAAATTTTGAGATAGTCGCGAGAAATAGGGTTGAGCACTTGTTAAGTCCGAGAGCGGAAATGCGGGAGGTTCTCTGTGCGGCTTGTAATTCGTCAGCTCTCCCTTTCCTTTGGTTCCACCACAAACTTGCTAGTGGTTCCTTCTCTCAACCATTGCCACTATCACGTCTTGTTCCGTGCAAGCTCTAAGATTTTGATTTTTTGTTCCTACTAAGGAACCTTGTTCACTCTCCCCTCGCGACTGCAGTTGGCGACAGGTTAAGAATGCAGTCTATAGTAGCTCCGCCTCCATCATAGACTTTCTACCTTCAATGACATCTCGGCGTCTCGTGAACATGCACAGCTGCAACATGACAGAAGGTAACGAGCGCATGCTGCAGGCTGAACTTGTCTTGCACTATTAAGCTCTCACTGACTACAGTATTGCGGAGAAAAAAGATGATGGGCAATTGATGTCCCCAGCATATTTTTCAACTTGCTTCATTATTATAGAGTAGGTGGCCACTTCATATGTCGTCTGCCTATTTTTCTAGCACTTCAAAAGTAGGGCTGGGTGCTTATTTTACAGAATTTTACGGTTTATATTAGGGCCATGAAGTATCGTCCACAAAGCATCAGATAGGGTCCTGACGCCATAAATGAGGTAAACCTTACCCTCGTCTTCCATGGGCTGGCCCTCCTCTTCGGATGAGTCGTCGCTCGATCCATGCTGCACGTTGATCTCGGTGTCGTCCGAATGCAGGACGCCTGTTTCCGAGATGAGACGGCGGCAGGCATTAGGACGGCCGTTGTGTGAGGAGTGGAATGCAGACACGAAGAATAAGCGACCAGAACCAGCCGGGGGAAGGTACAATCTTAACTACAGTCACCACTTCCATGAAAATTCATATTTCTCAACGTCCCAACTTATATCTACTAGGTCCTACATTAGGCAATATGTCATCTATCGTTACTGGCTGGATTTAAAAATTGTAACAGCTCCTACAATTTAAACGGAGAGTGCACCACAGAAGAGCAGAAACTTTCCACCAGCCCATTCCACTTTAGTGAGAGCACTTAAACGAGGGCGTTTGGAACGCTTCATTTACAGGAATGGGGAAAGGCAAAAACACTCGAGAGAACACGACAATGCACTCTCCTTTTGGCATGAGATAGTTCCACCTCAGAGGCAATAAGATCCCTTTGTTGCAGCGTTTGGTTGAGCCAAATTCTGCATTCGACGTTCCAGCGTGACAAATGCACCGTACGGAAGCACCCTCGCAGTAAGTCGCAGCACCGTACCGAACCGATCCTTGCATGTCTGATTCAGCGTTGCAACAACGGTGATTTGGTATTCGTTTTTCGAAATTTTTTTCCAGCCAATAAATAAACAACGATGCGCAAGAAAATAGGAAATATGTGGGAATCGCAAGTATTTCACGGCTACACGATGAATGGCACCAGTCTGTTCTCTCGCTGGAAGAGATAGCGCGAGGTTGTAAGTGGTCGCAGGTAGCGTGACGGGGCCTCCGAGTGCTCCGCTGCGCTTCCCACAGGGAGCTTGCTCACCTATGAGGGGCAGGGCATCCCCTTGGGCCACATCCAGCCTCAGCCTCTCCAGCTGCTTCTCCTGCGCGGCAAGCGTGGCTTCTTCCTGGAGAAGAAAAAAAAGATGTTTTTACGTTTAAATACACTTACAGATGCAGGCATGTTTGTAAGGGTGTTTGTAAACGACTGGTACCCCTATGCAGTTCTCAATATAGGCATTAATTCTACATACCTTCTCCTTCTTCAGCTTCTCATAGACTTTCTTGTAATCTCTGTAAAAAAAAAAAAAATGAAACTGGCAGTAAGTTTTAAAAAATGGCCATATTATTGTATTTAAAGGGGTGATGCAGCAATTTTTGGATTTTGAGGACATACCGCTTAGAACGGATCCCCAACATTAATTACCCATAAAACTCTTGTTTGTTTTTCACCACACGCAATCGAAGTTGCAGCAAAAATTAAAGACAAACGAACGGCGTTCACCCCCTGAACTCGCAGCCAGAACAAGGGGCCACGTGATCTGGAGCTGATTACATGCTGCCAATTTTGATCATAGCCACACACTGGGGTTGGCAAGGCACAGGACATGCAACGAGTTCCAGACATTGTTATGGTTCGGCTATTGTCATCATTGCAGCGTTTGGACATGGGTCACTACCCGTATGCTTCTCAAGCTATAGATTATAACGAGCCCAAATCGAGTGCCCATGCAATCCTCGGGTCCAATTTATCGGCCGTATTCAAATATCATCACTGGGCGGTACAGCAACCGCCCACCTATGCCATCAAGTTTTGTGAAGGAGGGATTGAATGAAAATGCTCCTTGAAATTACACCGCAACAAAGGAGTTTCTTGGCCAGTGGCGTTGCGTGCGAATATCCTCGAGTTCCACTAGTGAAAGTAAGCTCGCGTAAAGTGAGAAACATTTTAATTGAACATAGTTGCACCGCCCCTTTAAGGTCTTTTGAGTAAACTTTCACTCGGAAGAACAAATGAACTTTGATTGAACGACGGATCGCCGCCGAGCAGTGAACAGGACGTGCCAGGCCCACTCACGTGTCATACTCGTGCCTGGCCTTGGCAAGGGCGGCGAAAAACTCAGGCACTCCCTTCCCCGTGACGGCCGACACCCCCACCGCACTCAGGTTGGAGTAGAACTCGTCCAGCACAAGGCTGAGCGAGCGGCTCAGGTTGGAGATGTACGAGGTCTCCCCCTGGAGGGACTCTTGGAACGCTTCGAAGTCCTGCATCCAGTTCATTGCAAACTGGTGGTCCACAACGTCCACCTGCGGGAGCAAGAGGCAGCGGAGTTGTCTTCCTCGAGTTGGCCCCAAGCTTTCCCCGCTCCGCTCGTCGACAAACTCCCTCCCTCCACCAGACGGCGGGAGGTAAATTTTTTGAAGGTGCGGTTCCGTCGGTCTACGGCCACTGCTAACGTGCAGTACGGCCATAGATACACTCGCTATGTACAGCTTACCTGTAGTCGCATACAGAATGAGAATGGCAGGCCGCGTCGTTCGTAAACCCTGCCTTTAGCGTGTGCTCCGTGCCTTCTGCCACGCTTTGACTGCACACGCGCGCTAGAGGTGCACGAGATGTCGAAGCGTTGTCAAAGGTAAGAAGCTCGCGCTGTAGGCGGGACAACTGAAGCTCCTCCATATTGTTCTCACCTTGTCAGTGACTATAGGATTTTCTACCATCACATTAAAAACAACAAAAAAATTGAGTTAGCAAAATAAGTTGCAAGTTGGTGTCCTTCATTCACTTGGTACTCAATGATCACTGTCGCTGCACCTCTTCCGCAAGACTGGACAGACCCGCTGCTAGCCCGCTTTGCCAGCACTGCAACCCAGACCTCCTTCCTTCCTCCCTCCCTCCCTTCCCTTCCCTCCCTTCCCCCCTCCTCTCCTCTCCTCCCCCCTCCCCCCCCCCATTACCGACAACAAGGAGCTCGACACAGTACATACCTTGTTCATGGCAATGACAAAGGGCAGCTTGGTCTTGTAGAGGATGCTGCATGCATACAGCATGTTGGACATGAAGGTCACAGGGCTCACGCTGCGCACCGTGTCCATCACGTACACCACCACCGTCGGGAACTCGGAAGCCTGGAACGGGGCAACGGCACTACATCGCTTTCCGCCCTCTTCAGTTGGTCCACACACGCAATTTTGTATGCCCTGCCAAAGGGATTTCGGTGGTGGAGGGGTTGTCAGACTTTGCAAGGGGATGTACCCCTCACCAATCTTCCCTTGAGTCTACTTTATGCTCCAGCCCGACCAGGGGGTTTGCTGCGGTATTCCATATTTTGTGCTCAACAGCTCCTCAGCGTTAACAATAAAACTCCTCCATAGCAAAAAAAAAAAAAAAAAAAAAAAAAGTGACATTTACAGAAAATATTTTTGCTATCTTCACTATTATAAGCACACTTCAACTTTCCTTTACTATATCCACATTGTTTCTAAATCGGTCCTTGCTATAGAGAGGTTCTAGAGCAGGGGTCGGCAAGCTTTTACAGCCGCAAGCCAAGTCGTCCAGAAGCCGACATGGAGGGGGCCGGACGGCAAGTTGCGAACTGTGTCTGGGGAGGCGAAGAAAAGGCAAAAAGGAAATGGAGACATTATCTGCCAAAGTATGGGGATGCTAGACAATGCCAAATGGAAGTGCTCCTTGAGTCTTTGCGAGGCAGCTGGAAGGGAGGGTCTCTTTCTGGTGTCATACCGGGGGCTGCATAAAAGTGCCTCGTGGGCTGTGGTTTGTCGACCCCTGTTCCAGAGTATCACAGTTTGAAAGCCACCCATGCAACATCCTTGCCCCACTGTAAATATTCCTCTCAAGCAAAGATGAGCAATGATGAGTAATAGCTGAAACAATAAGGCCCAATTTATTTGAGAAGCAGAAGTCAGTTTCCTGATCACGTTTATTGTGATTTCAGGATGTGTCATGCCATGACCACTGCGGTAATTCTGCACAATTAACGGTGGGATAAGTCTATGTAATCTAATATACTAGGCTCTTTTCATTGAAATCACATTTTTCAAACTAAGCCAAATGGGAACTTTTGACATCAGGATAATGTAATTGATGAAGAACCTCAACTACTGTTAACTACACTTCAAAGGGTCTCAATTTCCAACGAAGTAGAATAGCCATTTGAGAACCAAAAATTAGATGCTCACCAGTGTCTCCGTAATGATGCTGCCAGATGCTGACCAGGTGAACACCTCTATTTGGCCAGGAGTGTCGAAGATGACATACCTTTTGAAACGTAGGCAAATACAAGGCACGTGCATAAGGTGGATTGGAAAGAACATTACCCCTCTTTTCCTAACTGAAAGCAAAGTAACTCACTCTAGTTCAGACTTCCGTTTCCTTATCAAGTTCATGACCTGAAAGACAGTGCAAGAGTTTCATCCAATCTCGAGTCAGTTGCCATCCACAGTAACGATGTGTCAAGAGGAGACAGGTGCATAGAAACGAAAAGAAACCATTTTACGAATCACACTGCAAAAGACTCACTTGATCGAACCTTGTCGAGAAGAGATTTAAAGATGTGATGATGCCGCCGTTTGGTCCAAGACCGTACCTACAAATTGCTAAGGCAAACCTCACGTGCAATAAATTTTTGTTACAACTACCGCTGGTAGTATATGCACACGGTTTGACTCACGCTCTTCAGCGAGTACAGGGGTCAGACTGAACCAAAGTGAAGATACTGAGATATACAAGAAAACACTCTCTTCAAACATCAGAAAGAGAAATACCTTTCATGTTTTTTATACTATATTCGCCCCTCCGGAGTGACAATGTTAAGCTGTAACACTGCATCGAGTGCATTCCAGAAGCTTTTAGCATATTCCAAAATCTGCCGATATGAAGGCTACATCACTGAAAAGTGTGAAATGGAAAATATTACTCATCCATCTTGAATGATTGAAAACAGTGGATACAACCAATGTTTTTTGGCCATTCTAGGGGTAGCAGCTTAAAGGGAAGCTAAAGAGGTTCTTGAAAAAAAAAAAAGTTAGAGGTGAATTTTTGAGTATTTTTATCCCGTGAATCTCAATATCACGTTTGTTTTACCCGAAGATGTAAGTAAAAGCGAGAAAACACGAAAACCCTCTGACCAGTCGTTACGTCATATAGGATCTTTCGGCCACCAAGCACATGTCACTCGTGTGGACAGCGCGTGCAATTGCTTGTTTGCCAGGTATATTCTCTCGCACTGACGCCAGTCGTGACATCTTTTCCTAATCTTTTTGAAAAAAGCAAGAATGTGCGTACATGGCTTTGATAGGCGCTGAAGATGCGCGAGAGTGGAGATTCCGAAGACTCTGTATATGGCGTCACGCTCTGGGGAGGAGGGACTTCAATGGTACTTTAAAAATTATTTTCCGCAGCCTCCTTGCACCAAATTGAAAAATAATCTCGATATTCGAGATCCCGGAGGCCAAATGAAGACAATTTTAAATGTTTTTTTTTCTCAAATACAAAACCGCTTGAGCTTCCGTTTAATTCTTACCATGACACCTAGCATGGTAGCCTCTCATGCAGTACAAAAGAATAACTGTTTGCTCATGGATGAAGCAGCATTCCACTTGAGCCATATAATTTGCTGGCTGTGAATACGTGCTGGGCAGAGATGCAATTATGGCGTCTGTCCCTACACCGTATGGGAATTTTCACTCTTGTGAAATGAATAGAAGATTGCTCCTCTGGGAAAGACTCAAGTTAGACATCCAAAAGAGACTACATGACACATTTGTCATACACTGAAATTCCTGCTGCACCGCTCATGCTGGTTTGCACAAAATCTGAGAAATGGTGATAGTATTGTTAGAATATGATAACAATCAATTGACATATATCAGTTCTTCATCCAACTGAAGCTAGAGGAGAGGAATTTTTGACAGTGGATGCCAGGTGCTGGTCACGTAAGATAAGCAGAAATTGCCTCATAACTTTCCCTTGTTAGAAAAAGTTTCTGCAGGACCTAATCAACTGTTAGTGCTTGAAGCAACTTTGAAAAGCTATTAGACTAACAGCATGCAAGCTTTCAGAAGAAACCATTTTCCTGTGCTTGAAGCAAAGCATGATATACAAGAAAAGGATACTGCTTCATGACTTCTTTGTACTTTACGGTGTCTCTGATATCTGCAAAAGGAAAGTATAACAGTCATAAATAAATGACCAGCTTCGAGAGGAAGTATGTGGCTGAAGACAGATTCATATGAGCTGCTCCTACCGACGTTGGCTGGGTAAGGCACTTCGCTGCATGCTGGATCCAGGTTCACAACGTATGGAGGCTTTTTAATGGCATGGAGATGGGCTGTTATCCTCTGCAACGATTTGTGAACAATGAACACTTGTACAGCAAGCATGTTGCATTTAAAGTGTCTACTATCAATGAAGGAGCCCGTCTCCTCTTAAAGGGGCCATGAAACGAATTTTGGGTTGGAATGAATGATTTTAAATTGGAACTTTACTAATCGCATATTGTTTAGTTCGCCAAAAGAAAGAGGCTAGAAAGTCAAAGGCCAGCTTTTCAGTACGAACATTTCAAAATATAGCGGACTATTTTGTACCTTCTTGCCTTCGAAAGCTCTCCGCCTTTTCACTGTGATACATCCGCGGTTCCAAAAGCGCGTCACCGGCGCCAAACTGATGTCAGCAGAGCCCAGCTCATGCATTGGACACGAGAACTGCGTCACTCGGACGTATGCGCTCGTCAACAGTCAATCCGTCGACGAATATTTGGATTCGCGTTCGTGGCCAATGAGTGCCCTGACGGAACTTATTGTCACTGGGGAATCACAAGTACGATGGTGTGCATAAAAAGCGCGGTGGAAGCTAGGAGTCATCGCACCGGTGCCGAAGGAATGTCACAACCACATGATTTCACAATTCGCATTTGAGTTGAGGATTAAAGCTAAGGAGGAAGAAGTAGAAAAATCGTTTCATGACCCCTTTAAGAACTACAAATAAAACTTCTATCTTACAAATAAAAAAATGTTAACTCCCGACACTTTGGCAGCATTGTCCCATTTGTATATCATAAAATATTGAGCAACACACACACACACACACACAATGGGGGATGGGCACTTGTCCGGTTATCATTTTACACATAAATGTTCTGTGCATATTTTCCAAGATCTTACAAATTTTAGAATGGACGCTTGTCCGGTCTTCAATTTTACATATAAATGTACTGTGCATATTTTCCGAGATCTTACAAATTTAGGAATGGGCGCTTAGTGTGGAATGGGTGGATGCACGGCGTATTCTACAGTGTGTGCATTTCGGTTGGGTTTGAGTAATGTGTAGTGTGAGAATTCCCTTGCTGCTACCCGTCTCAAAGAATGTCACAATGCAAAGGTTCAACAACACATAGTAATTTGTTCACCGTCATCGCCCGCGCCGCTGCGACGGCCTTTCATTAACGGCGGAGCGCCGCTCACATGGCCAATACTGTGAACGATTGGATTTCCAGGTTGCCCACCATAGTTAATTTGTGAGGTATGGAAAGCACAGTTTGTTTGCTTACAACAATGGAAGTGTCTAAGGTAATGGTAACTACATCTCATTGGCTGGCCTGCTGCCTCCAGCGGTGGGAGTTACAGCTGCAAACTGGTGCTCAGAGCAAGAAAAGAATCACAATGTTTTCTTCGGGTAGCTATTTAAAGGTCTTCAGTGCCAGCCACACAAAGAATACACCAGCCAGCCACTAGCTACTGTGTTGAGCTGCTGGGGATTATGCACTGAGAAACTGAGAGACAGGAGGGAATGAGAATGTGCGGGAACGTTAAAATGCCAAGCTGTGCTTCAAATGATTAGTGGACAGGCCTACAGCTGGTTGCCTTTGTCTCCACTGCCCTCATTAAAAGCGTCCGAATGCGAGAGCCAAGCACCGGATGCCAGCATTCCGCATTGTAACGCATTCAACAAGTGCAGTGGAGGGAGGCAAGGGCAGCTAGCTTTAGGTCTACCCACTAATCATTCCAACCAGAGCTCGGCACTCTGAGGTCCTTGTGCACTCTCAGTTTCTCGATGCATAGCAGACTAGCATTGAAACGTTGCCAACACCAAGAAGACTTGCAAAATGTTACAGTAATGTACAAATAAAATGATAGCTCTTGCCAGCACTTTTTTTTTTTTCCGAAGCAGAGTGCCATTGTAGGTGCGTCAATGCCTGGATAGCCAAGCATCGGCACAAGGCTAGTGGACACTGGCAACACTGCCCATCCAGTTGGAAGCATTGTGAAAGGGATGCAATCTGGTTAGTTTCAGTGCCCGCAGACCATTCTTGAAGACGTGCCGACACCTTGAGTCCAGAACGTCAGCACGTCCATAGAGAAGAAACTGTCAAGTGTGAGCCAGGTGACTCTGGCAACATTGGGCAACGCTTTTGCCCGGCGCATTTTGCCGCCACATCAGTTCAATCATGCGAGTTCGTTCATTAAAACCTTTTAATCAACCTTTAACGCTGTCCACCCTCTGTGCTGGTACGTGCGAAGGAAGTGATCCAGCATTTGTACACAGTGTTTTACCACTAAGGTGTTCCTAACGATTGCCTTTCTGATCATGAACGTCTTTTCAAGTCTCACGAGTTCAGACGTTCCCTGGCCCTTCACGGCATTCAGCAACACTCTTCAGCTGCTTATCGCGCCGCAACTAATGGGCTCGTTGAGCCAAGTAATGCGACACTTGTTTCGGTGAAAAAGGCTAGTGCCATGTCGTCCCTTTGGGAAGGAAAACTGAATGCTGCGGCCTTTGCCGTGAACGCAACTACAAATGCCAGTTTACAGTTTTCACCCCTTGAATTGCCACATGGGTATGTTTCCAAATTGCCAAAAAAGAAGTTATGGCATTCAGGAACTGCTGCCCAGGAGACGAGACTTCTAGACTTCGTAGAACTTCACAGTGAAGCACAACAAAGCTCGGCGAGTCCAACAGCAACAAAACATCACTATGACAAAACTCACTGTGATACTATATTTCAAGTAGGCCGGCTTAAAGGGATAGTGAACCGAAACTGGGATTTCAGAAAACAATGCAGGAGGGGTAGGTGGGATCAGGGGCAGATGCAGGAATTTCCTGAGGGGGAGGGGGTCAGGTGTTGGTCAGCAAACCATATGTTTAGGAACCCCCTCCCCCTCTCCTTCGTTTTACGCCCTAAAATTTACACAAGCAGAAATCAAGAGGAGGGTCAGGACATCCGGACCCCCCCCCACTAAATCCGCCCCTAGGTGGGATGCTAGAATCCGTATACCGCCACCCATGAGGCGACATCTCGAATGGAAAGCCGTATTTTTGGAAAAAGCGGTCACGATTGAACGAGACTGACGAGGCGCGTGACATTTCATACATCGTTTCCTCCTCTCTTTGCTTCGGCACCTCAAGGTGGCGAGGCTGAGAAGACGCAAGGCCGTTTTCTCTGCTTCTTGACTTTTCTCGGAGAAACAAGACGTCAACATATATGAAATGCGCCTCCTTTTTTTTTTTTTAGAAAAATATGGTGATCCATTCGAGACATCGCTGTATGAGTGATGTTTCGGTGTTTGTAGTGTCCCATTGCACGCTTCTGCCGCAGCGTTTTGTGGAATGCAGATTTCGGTTCAGCATCCCTTTAAGCGCCAGGAGCCTGTGACCGATGGCACAATGAAACTCGCCCCAACATTCAAGGGACTGCACTGAATCACTAAACAAAAGACTACAACCACTTATGCGGTCTGTCGTGCCACCACCCATTCAACCAGTATGTTGTCAAGAGATGAGAAGGTCGCCCATTCCAGGCAGATTAAGCGATTCTGTTCTCCGTATGTTGACCCAGTGCTCTTTCTTTGCCAGCAATCCCACCTTGCCAGTTCTCATGCTGAACCTTCGCAGGCAAGAACAAATGGTGCTGAAGTCTTCACAGAGACTGTTGTGAGCTCTGACCGAAACGTCCCTGCGGAAGGGTCACTACGGGCTGCAGGCCGTCCATGGCGCCACGTGTAGCAGCCTAGGTGGCTGGACGACCATGAGGAGTGAACAGGCTTTTCTGACCGTAACACTGTCAAAGAGGAGTGTGAGCCAGCTAACTCTGGCAACATTGGGCGACGCTTCCGCCCAGTGCGTTTTGCCGCCATGCGAGTTCGTTCATTAAACCCTTTTAAAGGGCAAGTCCGCTCAATTCCGAAGATTTCGGGATAATGATTGATTTCGAATTAAAAAGCCCTAGTAAAACACACTACGTCATTTGCTTCGTGAAAAATGGGATATATATTTTTAAATCTAATTTTAAACACGAGCGGAAATCGAAACCGAAACTTCGGCTCCGCCTGGCAACATTAGCCTCGGGTCGCCAAGTACATGTCGTCTGGACCGCACTCTTTGCCACGTTTTGGTGTCCACGGCATTCGACGACGTCTGCACAACTGCGGCATAAGTCTGCGTGCGTGGTGTCCGTAGTGTGGACGAAACTCCGAGAGACAATAATCACAACCGGTGAGACGACGACGGCGGTAACGGCGGGCGGCCGGACGGCTCCCAAAAAACGCACTGCGCAGGCGCGTTACACCAATCACGTGGACACCGCTGAGCGCCAAGAGGCAACGTTGCTGACGTCATGCGCTACGCTTGCTCGGAGAAGTGAAAACAAGCAAAAGGGGGCCATGATAATGATGTTTAGCTCAATGTTGGCTCTGCCCATGCCGTAGCCTTGACTGCGCTGTTGGTTGCGCCTGAATTCGCCCGCTCAAGTCAGCCGATTTCGGCAACTTGGCGAGGTGCAAAGTTTGCCGGACCGTTTAAGAAACATTTAGACAGAACCGCGTCGTAACATTGCACGTGTGGTCTTCCTAGGCGATACTGAAGAGTACTGCACTGTTTTTTCAAAACCAAAAATGAAGCGGAGTTGCCCTTTAATTAACCTTTAACGCCGTCCACCCTCTGCAGCAGTACGCTTTACACAAGGGACATTCCTCCACTGTTCTTTTCTAGGCGATTCCCTCGCTGACACATTTCTGTTTAGGAAAGCTTCGTTCGTGACTACAGGCGCACTGTCGGAAGCCTGTAAACTCGGCCCGATAGTTTAGGCATGGTTACGCCCTTTCCTACTCCTCGCAGCTGTTCTTACTTGTGAAGATCTCTGTTCACGAAAGGGGGTCTCACCTGAACCCAAGTGGTCTTCCCTGAACCTGCCATGCCAAGCACGATAACGCAGGTGGGCAACGGGCCGTCCGTGCTCGCCTGGCTCGGCTCTTGCGCTTGGCTGCTCGATGCCATGGCGCCTTCAGAGGAAAAGCGGGACAATGTCAGAGCTGTGAACGTCCCCTATGTTCTCAAGGGATTGAAAGCGTACGACCGCCCCCAAAACGAGCACACCGAGTTCACTCATCGGACTCGTCGTGAGCTTCCGTGGTTTGATTCATTCTGTTGTACACCATAAGGGATTGCAGTGAAGTACTGTTGTTGTCTTCGGGCGACTGTACTATCGTAAATATATTAAGAAAACATGTGAATTTGATACGAACCTGTTGAGTCCATCAGCAGGCAAACGAGTACGCGCGCGCGTCCCTCGTGCACAAGCGTTTTGGAGTTCCGGAAGTAAAATATAAACGAACAAAGCACTTCCGTTGTATTGTCACGTGGTCTGTGACGTCACGAGCGGCTCGCGATTGGGTTTCAGTTTCAGTTTCCACGAGATTTTCCTCTTGTCGTGAGTGCGTTCTGGTAAATTGAACACCACTACACTGGCCGCTCTCGAGGTTTGATTAGACGCATTGTCGGTCGTGACAAAACCACTTGTACGGAATTACAGGAAAAATTTACCAATGCTGAAGCACTGGTAACGGCAAGGGCAGACGCGTTTTATTTTGTGTAGGTACCACTTTTATAAGACCAACAACGTGCAACACCTAAATTACGGTGGCTAGAAAGGGGAAGTGTGACGGGCGCCGCATGCGCGCAATGATCAGGAGGGGCGCGATACGCGATGAAAATTTTGAGAGAGCCTAGATTGTAGAGTGGGTCCATCTCAAACCACGGGGAGCGTTCACAATTTAATGGCGGACGCCACCGGCAAAGATTGGTCGCAAGTCTCGCTCGCAAACGAACAACGTGTTCGTCACCTCTTCGCAGCTCGTATTGCAAACGTGATTCATACACCACGTGAACCCCATTGATCAGTTAGAAAATCTTTGTAATGTAGGACCTCCCAAAAGTTTCCGGGGCCGCTGACTCGCCTGCTGGATGCAGTGCCCCCTAGCGGCCCCCAAAAACTACTTCACGGAATTTTCATCGCGGAGTTCAGGCGCACGAAATGTAGTTGCAGAAACCTGAGTCCAAATATAAAGAAGCTATGTGACTTTTCAGCACACGCACGGCGGAGCGCGCGTGTTGCGATCACTCTGGTTGTGATCAACGGTTGCGATGAAAATCTTCGCACCGCGAGAGGTGCAGCAATCTGCAGGCGAGCTGCAGGCGAGCAGAGGCGAGTCGTTTTCATCGCAACTCTGTGCAGTCCTTCACTCCCGCCCGTCACACTTCCCCTTCCAGCCACCATACATCCAAAATCCTCGTGGATTTTTTTTTAAACATTTCATCGGTTCCTCCATTAGTAATAAATGGTGGCCACGCTTGCTTGATACTTGAGATATGTAAAATCGCGCAAAAACGTTTTTTTGTTTCGGCTTGTTTTGACGCAGTGGCGTAGGCAGGAAAGGGGAAGGAGGGGTCGAACCTCTTCTTTTTTTTTTTTCCTTTGACCAAAATAATAGTTTTTTATTTCTTTTTTTAGAAGACATAGAAAGACAAATTAAGACGTCGTCCTGTCCCTTTCTGTTTCTTCGACTTTTATGTTCCTTTCTACCCCAGTCTCGGGTATATTCAACATGGTTGAGCGTTTTAGAAACGTTGTTTGGTGCTAAGCACAAACCGATACAATGGCGCGCTCGTCGACTTTGTGCGTTTGATATCCCCGGCTAAACCAATCACGCGCACAAAATGCCCCCGGATTTTGCGCTTTTTTCGGTGGGCGATTGGTCTGCCCGGAGATATATAGCAAACACAGTGATGTGATTCGTCCGAGTGATTGTGGAGACCCTCTTTGGAAAAGCCCCCAAAAATCCTATTTGAAGCAGCAAACCAAAAAGTACTTTTGGAACATTTAAAAAGATACTGAACCGATTTTTCGAACTCACTAAACAAGGCCGGGCGGATAGGCGGGAAGCTGCAAAACCAAAAAATATCACTCATACGGCGATATATCTAACGGATCGCCATATTTTTCCGGAAACAAGTGCGCGATTGAACCCGGCCGACGAGACAAGGCACGTCACGATTCCCATTCTCTCTCCTCCTCGCTACGTCCCGTCAAGCTGGTGAACCGAAGCGAGAAGGAGAGAAACGAGGCCGCTTCTCCTCATTCTCAAATTCTCCCAGAGGACAGTTAGGTCAAAGAACTCGCTTGATCGCGCCCTTCTTTTCCAAAAGTACGGCCATCCGTTTGAGATCTCGATGTACGAGTGTTTTGGAGTTCGTAGCGTCCGGTTCAACACTTCTGCAGCCTTACTTAGCGAAATCCAAATTTTGGTTCAGTATCCCTTTAAGTACACATTTCATTTTCATTCATACCAGTGCGAATATCATGTTAAGATTTATGTGAAATATAAGGGTTATGATGCAGGCTAGCTGGTGAACGTTTTAATAAAGCCCAGTAAGAGGGGAAAAGAAAGGGACAAACACAAAAGTCAAAACGCAGCTGCAAATTTCTTGTAAACAGCACGGGGGAGAAGGAAAATCTTTGAACGGGACGACATCGTCGACAGACGGCTAAGGTACCTCTGTTATCTCGCACGATGCTGGTAGATTTCCTACCTAATGTTATCTAAAGTGACGGCAGGATCATGTGTGACATTGCTAGGGCATGGCAATTGCTGCTTACCTGATTTACCACCGACTGATCAAAACAACCATACTCGGCGAGGGCGCCAACGTCACGGATAAATAAATATCTATTTGAAGCATTCTTCGTTTATTAACGGGACCAGTTGGCATCCGGGCAGGCAGGCCAAGTCCAGTTTAGGCAGCACGGTGGTGGCGGCACTCGAGCATAGGGTGTCCCAAGTCACCAGGCTTGATCAAAAATGGACCGTAAAAATCGACGCCTTCACGTAGCAATCTAAACTTTTTGTCAAAGATGTCCCGTACGAAAATGTTAGATCGGAGCGGTTCCAGTTCGGATCTGCGGGATTCTAAACTTGTGGATAGTTCCGATCCGCGCGATTCTGGGTGTAACCAGTCGGATCCAGGGAAACGCAACGCACTGGAATTGCACGGTGTTCGGTGGTTCCGATCCGCTGCCGTTGTTCCAGTAGAGTCTGCTCCCAGCCAGCGGGCGCGCACATGCGTGACTGGAGGAGGGGAGGGAGGGGGAGGGGGGGGGGCGGGGTCGGCGGGGAATTTTCGCGGTTTCTCGCAGGTCACGTGTTAGGGACAGGTGCATCCGCTACGCAGGCACTGCGAGCGGGCGTTCTCCGCGCGCGCGCCTGGCTCTGTCCATTGTCTGTTGCAGTCGGCGGCAGCTCTCCGATCGAGAGTTTAATCAGTTCAGTTTCTTCACTCTCTTCGGACTGCCGGTCGGCGTTCGCCCGGTGGCGACGTTCGCGCTTCGGGCGCACGGATACTGACGCTACCATCATTACCCTGGATGGACACCCACTGACCTCGGCTTTGAATCTTTATATAGTGTGAGGCTGCCGACCCATTGCACTTTGGCTCGGCATCTGAATGCGCTTGGCGCTGGTGTGCTTGGTGACAATACTTGGACAACTCGGATATCGCTTGCCCGCCGACACTTCCCGATGCACTCGACACTGGATACTGTGCTTGTGTGTTCTGTGTGAGTGTTCCGTGCACCGTGTTTGGTGACGACGCCTGGACGACCGTGTGCGTCGCCGGAATTACCGTTGCGCTCACCACTGGACTTTACAATAGTATTTCGCGCGATGCCCTTAGCCGTTACAAGCGAGAGATCGTCGCGATTTCAGACCCAGTCCGCCTGGGTCTGAAATCGCGACGATCTCTCGGTTGTAACGGCTAAGAGCATAGCACGAAATTCTTTTGTAGAGTCCAGTGGTGAGCGCAGCGGAAATTCCGGCGGTACACCGCCTGGGTCTAAAACTGGGGCTGGAAATGCGCGGTTCCAGGCTGGATACAAACTGGTGCCCCAATTTTGGGTCTAGGCGGAACCGGCATTTTTTATTCCGGCCTGTATCTGACATTTTCATACGGGGTATTTCGCAGGTCGGTTTTTTCTTGTAAAATTACAAAGCGTAGCTCCATTTCTGTAAAAAGTAGGGCCAGGAAACTTGCCAAAATAAACGGCGGGCGGCGACGCAGACGACGAAGTCGTCTGCGTCGCCGCCCATCGTTGATCTTCGACATTCATGGAAGCTTCCGTTTCCATGAATGTCGAGCAGAAACTGGTGATTTCCCTACAAACCCCCTGGGAAATCATTGGTTTCTGCTCGACATTTATGGGAAACAAAAGAGGGGAAGGACGTCGAACGGCCCTCGCCTCGACGCAATTTTGCAAACAATGCCAACTGTTTTCCCGCCTCCCAGAGATAATCCGCATAGAGTCCTTCTCATAGCCGAAAATAGTTTTTCGGGTTGGAGTCAATCGCGGCGTTTTTTTGCCTTGGTGCTGGAGTGAAAAAGGTAAGCTTTCCCCAAAACGTGCCCCAAGACGAAGTAATCTTGGATTTCGTCCGATCGTTAAGTTGTGACTGTCGTCGACTGTGACTGTGTTATTTTCTTTTCAGATAACGCTGCATCGTGTGCTACATACAATATATATTGTTCGAATGTTAACACTTGCTAAATTGTATGTCCGTGTCCTGTCAATCGGTAAACACGTAATTTGTGAACCTGAAAAAGGCATGCCTTTCGGCTATCTTCGGTTGTAAATTATTTTAGCTAAGCGCTTTGTCGCCTGACACGAGGCTAATCGGGCGGCGCCATCAAAACTTATCGTAAAAAAACAAACAAACACGAAAACTAACATTCCAGTCGCATACGCTCTGTCGTGGGCGTACAAAACAAATAGTTTGCATTTTTTTTTACTTTATTATTTTTCTTTTCAAATGTAGTACATAGCATTTTTAATGTCCCCGGGAAAATACCTACACCATAAAACACAAGATACACCGGGAAAAGACGATAATTCAGTCGCCAGCAGTGTTTGAAACCGCTTTTATGCAGGCTGCGCCTATCGAAATCACAGTCCACTCGGTTAGGGTTAGCAGGGACGCCGGTGAAAGTCTAGCCTCAAACCCAGTGACTGGGCTCGAAAACGGTTTGTTGCCCGTGAAGTAGAGCGTTTCCCATAGAGCCTGCTTTGAAAAAGTGGCTTCTATCCGTATGCGAGAACCGAACCAGCGTTACTAAAACACTTAGTTGGGGAACTCACCCTTGAAACCTGTCGCTGGCGTCAACCGAGAGCGAGCTAAATACGATGACAGCGCTATCCTTTAGCGATTCATTGGATGTTCCCAGAGTACCGAAACTTCCAGGCTCGAGGAGCCAAGATGGCGGCTCAATTTGTTTTCTTTGGTGAGGTCACCATAAGCTTTTAGAAAGCATATTTTTGCGTAAAAACAAAATAAAAAAAAAAACTCTTTTTGTAGAAACTTTTGTTGGAGACAAGTGCAAAATGACAGGCGCGATATGCTTTTTAAAACATTAGTTTACAAAGTCTTGAGGTAGAACTTTAATATTGTTTTT